CTTGAGGTTGTGCCGCCGTCTCAAGTCTGAGTTAGCGTGGGATAGGATTCGCTTTAATTCTTCAGCTGCCTCATTCTTTTTCTTCAAAGCGCGGAAAATTCGGAGCCTTGACACATCTTCTACTGTTAGACAAAATTAACTATGTCCCTCGATGGAGATCGAGTTTAATGTACCAACATCGCAATGCCATCCCTCACCAAAGTTCTCCATCCATGAAAGTCGCTTGTTCGGGGTATACTTCAGTGATTTTTCCCTTGTCACACGCCTTGTAAGGTAGGCTTTTGATTTCCGACACTTCAAGATCGATCCCAACCGAGTTCTTAATCGTCCACCTCAGTCTCTCAGCACTTGGGCGACAAAGCCTTCTATGCCATAAGGTAAGTCGCTTCATCACGTCATCTGACATCACGAAATAACCGTTCGTGAAGCAAGCCTGGTATGCTCGGATAAACGATGCTTCGTCTTCTGAATGTCTCTCCTTTATGATCTTAGGCTGAGCTGTGATGGTGCTTACACTTTTGTTCCTCGCAAGCAACTTTATTGGTTCTGGGTGGTTATACAGCCACAGGAAAAATCCTCGTCTCTCAGCACATGTGTGAGAAAGAACCTCCCCATTCGGGTCCCCGATTTGCTCATCCTTCAATAGACCATCTTTTCTATAAAATCTTTCACCACTGACTACTTTGAGAGGAGAATCCTTCAAAAATGCGACGTACTTGAGTCTCATTGTTGACTTTCTACCGTTGGGATCATTCAGTGGCAGCCAGACCTCACCCATGCTCTCTGCATGCACAGTAACATTTCCAGTCTGAATTGGAAACTGGCCAGGTCGAAGTTCAACAATCGTTCCGGGTCTGAAATTCTGGCTTTGATCTGTTGCATCGATATTTGCGCCTGTGTCGAACAACCATCGGTCGGAGGCTTTGTCATCACCAGTAGTGCTCAGAATCTGCTGTGTGACCTATACAGCGGCTATGGATAATTCATGATCAGAGACCTCTGTGTCATCATCATGCCGATACAACTTATCGCTTTGAGGATTATCCTCCTCAGACACCTTTCCACGACGACGATTCATCTTTTTCTCGTAAAACTGCACCACTTCATCAAAAGTTTATGGTTTAACCTGGGTTGCGTAATTCCCACCTGACAGTTGGTCTTCCGGAACTTTGCAATACTCATCTGCTGTAACGGCTATAAAGCCGGTATTTCCTGTAGCCAGTACTGGCAAGTACTGGCGTACAGCCACCGGAGAACGGGCAGGTGCAAAAGCCACGTAAAAGATACTAGAATCTCCTAAGAAGGGACTAGAAAAGTCTCCATATGAGTAAGACTGATACTGAACCTTGGAGAAGCTGCTAGAAATGATACCCTTATAGTAGCAACTGGAATCATCTAGAAATGAGCTGACCATGGAGGGAAGAACTTAGAATGTAATAAATCTGTATATATACCTGGATTAGTATGTAGAACTTAGGTCTTCATAGTTGAATTATAAAATACCATCATCCATACAAATGCTCCTTGCTTTCTATAGTTGATCTGTGACATCTGCAACTGCTTCAGGCGGTCCGAGATCTGACTCTACTTTCTTATTGGCGACCATCAATGTACTTCCCTTACCACTAGCCTTCTTCCGACAATCTTTCTTAATACGACCGAGACGTCCACAGTTATAACAGCGAAGCTGATTGCTTCGACCTTTTCCTTTTCTCGGCCCCTGCTTCGGGTTTTTCTCTAGTCAGGTGTCTTCCTGCCCTTGTGCGCCGCCGAGTGTCCCATGGAATTGAAGTTTTGAATTGTTTGAGTTGTCCTCCTTTCCGATTCTCTCGTGATGATAGGATGTGAAGTTTTGGAGAAGCGGTCCCAACTTCCATTCTTGAAATTGGGCAAGACTCGACACCATTTTATGCCATTTCCTGGCCTTTTCTCTCACAGCTTGCTTGAAAAACATTATTATCTGAAAGTCCAACAATGTGCCTCCGGCATTCTGATAATTTCTAACATCTGTCTTAAACCTCGTGACAAAGGTTATGGGGAAGCCTCCTTAGTACTTCAGATTGGTTTATTTACTCCACAGTGCCTCGAGCTGCACTGTACCCTCCCGACGGAATGTAGACTCAAAAAGTCTCATCATAGAAGAACCACTTTTCATTCCGGCGATCAGCTCAGCAAGTTCAGGGTTATATTAACCAGACTATATGGGAGCAGGACGATGGATACTCTTGGGGAATTTATGCTCACAGTAGGTCCCTATAGTCGCTGTCGTGTGTGTTCTCGTGATATGTAAGATTTGACTCTATATTCTCGTATAAAGGAAGCTTAGTTACTATGAATGGAAGGAGGTTGAGACCTTCTTATATCTTACTCCAGACTTACTGTGTTGTTCACAGCCTAGTGCTAGAACATTCTCTTATGATATCATTTCTCTCCTACGAGAAATGAACAGCTCGTTCTCTCTCAGTCTCCCGCTGATTCCATTATCTCTATTCCATAGAGTTCTAGTTTGGTCCAGCATACCCACACATGCATTACACGCTAAACACCCCACGGTTTAGTTCCACAGTCACGTGCATATGCTATGACGCGACCTAAAGCATGTACCATGGTAAATTACATGGATAACACTACATTCAGGGACGACAGTCCGTTGAACGACTACGGCAAGTTTAATTCATCTAAACGGGTCAACTTCGTTTCCGGCTCGTACCCAATACATTCAAGCTGCAGTAACAAGGACTCCTTGTATATTGGGTAATTGCTAATGCCCTTCAAGAAGTTTTTCGGATCTGGCTTCCAATAAAATAAGGCCCAGTCAAGGGCAGTTTGAACCTCAGGCTGTCTCCTCTTCACTGTTCGTCGGTCCAGACCTGGCTCGGATAGTTCCTCCCATTCCAACTCTTGATCATCTTCCCGATCATGAGATCATAACGGCATCTTCCCCTTTGGTGAAAACTTCTTTACTGGCTTGGGAATGCTTTTCACTCGCCTTGCTGAACTCTGCTTAGCTTCGAGCTGAGGGATATCTCCAATAGTAGGCACTGGGGCCTCACTTGTTCCAAATGGCTTTGTACCGAACAACTCTTTCGCTGTAACCTTTGCTACCCTCTCTTCTTCCTTACTCAAAACGCCGTGAGCGATGATTTCCCTATCCGCTTTCGACAATCCTAACGAGCCAGACAAGATGTCTGAAGTTCCTAATAGATCGTTGCAAAATTTCCTTCTCCTACAAACTGACCTAAGAGTCTAAACAGGCGAAAATCCTGTTGCGTGACCGAAGAATAATGCTACCATGTAAGCGCAGATTGCTGTGTCATAGCTAGATAGCTACATACGCAATTAAAATCTGATGCAAAAAAAAAATTAAAAAAATTAAAACAAAAGCGCAGATTGCGCAGACCGTCATCTGTCATGTGATAGAAAAAGTGAAATAGAGAGAACAAAGAACCTTGAAAAATCTTTACGATTGACTTGTTCTCTCTATTTTACTCTTTCTATCACGTGAAATCTAAGGGTTTGCGCAATCTGCGCTTACAGAATTAAAAAACAGGAAGTACACGATATCGCGTGACATATATATTTTACTACAGTGTCGCCTGCAACCTCGCAACTGAAGCCTTGGCACGCACAAAACTCAATTTGTAAAATTTCGGTGCCAAAATTCGAAACTTCACGCTCAATGGGGTTACATTCATCCTATGCATCAGGTACATCACCTGGGCCGGTCTCCCAAGCAGATTCGAGATAACTTGGACCCACATTCCACGCGAAACAGAAGATCGCTGGTTCGAATCCGGCAAAACATAACCGCAATTCTCATAGCTCAATTGTACATGGATGACGAAGGCATGCTTGGATGATCAAAGGGTTTGAATCTACTTTTGTTGGGTACTTATGGAGGAAGGTCGAATATTTGTGTAGGTGAATAAACCTCAAAGTGGTATTTGCAAATGAAATTGAGAGTATGAGTGTCTCCAACGTCAAAAGAGTCATCCATCATGTATACATAGCACTGGTCATGTCTTTGTATTTAAATTTTTAAGTCCTAGGTTACACCCGCTATCCACTAAAGGTTAAAGACCGGTGTTTACAGCTAAGATCAAATCTATGATAAGCCCAGCTCGTTCCCACCACGTGAACCACTGCACAAATAGTGGCCAGTTAAATTACATACAGCAATTCACGTAACAGAAATCAAAACTGAAACTCCCGGCTCCAAAACTGTGAGCTCCAAATTAATACTAGCACTCGCGGCTGGGAAGCAAAGCTCCTTGCCTCGTTTCCCTTCCTATCGTGTCGTGTTCCATGACTAATTTAATTGGAGCTCGCTGAGAGCAGAGATATAACCTGTAGGTGAGCACTCACAGCATCGGGTTTTCTGTGCAAAGTTTTTGAAGTCTTCAAGGTCCCTGGGTCCGAGAAGTTGGTATTAAGAGTCGCCGCTCGGAGTTGATCATGTGTCGTATCTAAATACCTGAAAACTGTAAACGTTATTGGCTCAATCTTGTATTACAGCTAAATCATTAAGGCCCTCTCTAGGTTCAACCAGAAGGACCGTCCTTCTTAGGTGTATGTACGCACGGATCACCTTGGATGCCTGCATAACTCCCAGTCCTTATATATTACATGACTGCATAACTAGAGCTGACTATACTTAAATATGCATCCGCTCGCAAAAACACATTAAATTATTTAAAAACAAAACCACAGCGCTAACCGACCCAATCATCATCACCTATACCACGAGGCTGAAAACCTTAAGACTGGTTCGGATAAACATTGTGCCGTGTATCAGAACTAGACAACCCAAAGAAAAAAATTCTTCTTCACAGTGGGCATAAGCGCCCCTTACTGTCCACATTGAACATTTTTTCAATCTCGCCAGCTACTGGTTAAAGTATTCTCACTCCGTCTTGGTATATTATATATTATCTACTGATTCTTAGCACGCGCATCTTATTAAATCTTAGCCTCCATTCGACAATATAAACATCTAGACGATGTCTTCAAAGCACACATCGCCAGACGTGATTCACCATCTTAAAGCTCTTGATGTTCTAGAAGAATACGGAGAAAATGATGGACTCAATATCGAGTCTCTCATGGACTCAAAAAAGCATGGAGGGCTAACGTATAATGACTTTCTCATTCTCCCCGGCTACATTGGGTTCGCTGCCTCTGATGTCGCTCTGGACTCTCCAGTCACAAAAAAAATATCTTTGAAAACTCCATTTGTTTCATCCCCCATGGATACAGTGACGGAGCATGACATGGCCATCCACATGGCACTGCAAGGTGGCCTCGGTGTAATACATCACAACTGCTCATCAGATGAGCAAGCTGAGATGGTTCAAAAAGTGAAGAGATACGAAAACGGTTTTATCTTGGACCCAGTGGTAATCAATAGAAGTACTACCATTGGTCAGGTCAGAGACTTAAGAGAGAAATGGGGATTCGGTGGCTTTCCAGTAACAGGTAAGCCACAAATTTAACTACCCTCTAAGAAGTTTCATTATGATTATACAATTACACATAACTTTCGTTCATCCACATTGACCGAAAGGTCATGAGGAAAAAAGTTTACTATATGAATGTCTTTCTTCTAGAAGAAACCCTTTCATTGGGCTTAATTCGGTGCTAATAATTTATAGAAACAGGGAAAATTGGGTCCAAACTGATTGGTATTGTAACAAATAGAGATATTCAATTCGAAGAAGATCCTCGGCGACTCGTCTCCGACGTCATGGTAACTGAGCTCATAACGGCCGCGTATGGAACTACTCTTATGGAGGCCAACAGTATTCTTGCTAAGTCCAAAAAGGGAAAACTTCCCATAACAGATAGAGAAGGAAACCTTGTTTCCATGATTTCACGATCCGATTTGACCAAAAATCTTCATTTCCCACTGGCGTCTAAGCTCCCTGATTCAAAGCAACTTATTTGTGCTGCTGCCATCGGCACCCGCCCAGATGACAAGACTCGCCTTCAAAAGCTTGTCGAAGCCGGTCTAGATATCGTCGTTTTAGATAGTAGTCAAGGTAACAGTATTTACCAAATCGAAATGGTCAAATATATCAAAAGCGAATATCCCAATCTTGAAGTTATTGGTGGCAATGTCGTAACCCGAGAACAGGCCGCATCTCTAATAGCGGCTGGGGTCGACGGCTTGCGTATTGGTATGGGCAGCGGAAGTGCATGTATCACTCAAGAGGTTATGGCTGTCGGCAGACCCCAAGCTGCCGCAGTGTACAATGTCAGCTCTTTCGCCGCCAGGTTCGGAGTTCCTTGTATGGCCGACGGTGGGGTGCAAAACGTGGGTCATATAGTCAAAGGACTAGCACTAGGTGCTTCATCTGTAATGATGGGTGGTCTCCTGGCTGGTACTACAGAGTCGCCCGGGACATCATTCGTCAGTCGTGAGGGAAAACTTGTCAAAGCCTACCGCGGTATGGGTAGTATTGATGCTATGCAATACAGAAAGACAAACTCCGACGATAGTGGTAGCCAAGAGACAAACGCTGGAACCGCTCGCTACTTTTCTGAAGCCGACAGTATTCTAGTGGCTCAAGGGGTCTCCGGATCTGTAGCTCATCGTGGCTCAGTTACTAAATTTATACCATATCTAGCAACTGGCTTAAAACACAGTCTTCAAGATTGTGGAAAGAAGAGTTTGTTGGAACTGCACGATAGTGTTAAGAAAGGAGATACAAGATTTGAACTGAGAACGTCAAGTGCTCAACTTGAAGGTGGTGTTAACATGGAAAGCTATGAGAAAAAACTATATGCTTAGTCCCATTCGCACTGAAATGCATGCATATAAATGAGTGGTAGATCATCCAATCGGACTGAGCGTGATCCTCAAATAAACGCACGACGCGTATCTGTTTAAGCAAGGCAGACGATCAAAAGCATTAATATACATTTAGTGAGTCTAATGGGTTAAAGAAGCTTGACCGATCCTGATGACGTTCTCTCAAGTCGATGTCAAAAATGTAGCTAGATATCGTCTTTCTCAAAACTGTCCAAAATTGGGACGATGTCATTATGTGGATCCCATTTTCAGTACACGGAAAAACACCCAATCCGATCATCACTCAGATTATCCCAAGTCAACGAGCCACGTGAAAATCCCAGCGAGCTACTTTTCAATATATTATAATTAGTCAATTCCGCCACGAATTATTGAGCGGAGTAGGCACTTGAAATAGATTTACGCCGCTCAAGGGTTCTAGCCAATTAAATCTATGCCTAGGTGCTCGAAATACAAAGTTTTAAACATCACAGAGCAGTGTGGAATAGCTTATCTGGTTCGATTTAAGTGGAGTGATTGGTTCTTGCTTTGTGTATAAGCTATTTCCTTCAGGTTTTAAATCATGACCCTCGGAAAATTAATTACCACGTAAAATAAATAAACATTCTGTAAAATTTTTGTAATGAATCAAAATTTTGAATGTACGCCTTTTCTGATCGACTATTCTCCTCCCGTACTGTAGTAATCTCATCGCTTTAAGTATATCAACTGACTTTGGTGTATGTGATTTGTCAAATTAAGAAGCGGTATGTTCTGATTGAATATAGTACTTATAAACTAAGAAATTTTGTAAAATGATGATTTGGTACCTTATTGCCCCCATGCATTCTACTTCAACATTGGAAAACTTGTAATCCTCTAACTGCGAGAAAACATGCTAGGGGGAAAAATGAGCAGCAATCCGTGGTGTATGAAACGTCAAGTTGTGTTCAGGCATTCAAGTTGGTGTCTCGTCTAATTTCGTTGTTTTACGATCACGGACTTATTGTTTTTGCGGTTGTTTTGAAATTATTATCTCCGCATAATGAAACAGAGTTAGCGTTTAAAACTCGCTCTGGATGTTTCGGATTGAACTGAGGTAGAAGTTGGATCAAATATGATCATTAAATATATAGACGAGGTTTTGACCTTTAAAAAAAAGGGAGATATACAGATTTTGATTTTACCAAATGCAAACCTCATTTTTCCTAAAAAGTCTAATACGGTGCCCTCTACGAGCCTGATAGCGGAAAATTCTCCCAAAGCCAAGCTCAGTCAAATTTCGCAATACCTGAGAAGTTGGCCTCCGAGCTAACGATTCAAGACACTCCGCCACATCAGTCTTCTACTCCCAGCGAGTTGCTTTCCTGCCAAAGTTTAATCATGTCTGCAAGTACGACCAAGTGCATTATCTTAATGACGACACCTCTCATGGACTATTCTCTGGCCTCAGCTGGCTACTAAATATACGCGCATGTTAGATTATTGGGACTTCGATGTTTTCTCCAAGAGAAGGAAAAGAGGAAAATGATTGATTGTCCTATCTTCCATGATCTCACTTCTGTTTAAATACATGTTCGCTCGTCTTCCTTCAGTCAGTTCCCATAGTCTAGACCACGTAATCTCATCATCTAGTCTTACAGACTGTGTTATCTAATTTTAAACACAAGGTAAAAACATGATGAGCGCTTAATATGGTAAACAGGCAAAAGTAGGCGCAACTAAATATAGTACAAAATACCAGTATTATGTAACGCACGGTTGATTGCGCGTGCTTCCTTCTCAGCCTTATTCAGCCTCATATAGAGGTCTATTAGTTCGACAGCCCACGACAATGCGAATACCCGCGGGAGGACGAAAATTGCAGCACACAAGTTAAGTGTTGTAATGGAAGTTGTGTAGAGAAGCGTAAGCAGTTAGGTTTGTATTCAATATCACCTAGTGAAGAGAGTTGGGAGATTGAAGAGTCTGAAAACTATAGTGGAGAGTTTTTGATTAAACCCACTTAGTATGAGAGCGCTATTTAAACTAATTACTACATTTAAGTGAAAGACACAAACGATGGAAGGTGTTGTGGTCCGCCTCCTGGTGGTGTTCTCTGGTATGGTCTGAGTAGCCTGGGCACCTACTCCACTTGGGAAGGAGACATCTCAGATTACATTTCGCGCGGAGAAAATTTGATGGATGACGGAGGCATGTCTGGATAACTCAGGGTTTTTGAGACGTTCCCCTGGGTGGGTATTCACGGATGAGGGTTGACTTGGGGTGAAGAAAAAGCCACCATAACTTCGCAGTGGTACTTGCAAATGAAATCTGAGGCATGAGTGCTCCTATTATAAAATGAGTCATCTTTTCTGTACTTTTCTCTGATATTGTGTCATAGCTAGATAGCTGCATACGCAATTAAAATCTGATGCAAAAAAAAAAAAAAAAAAAAAAAAAAAAAGTGAAAGACACGATTCACTTGTTTATGCTAAATAATTGGGAGGCTGGTCAATGTATGAGTTGTCATGAATGTGGCTAGTAATAATAGAACCTTATTACGTTCCGTATTAATGCGCCTCTTCATTGCCAAATAGCGCCAATTTCAACATTTAGAAGGCAGCTCTTCAGGATAGACGTGTGAGGAATCATTACAAGTTAACATGATGATGCATACGGCACGAGCCGAAGTTGGTCTATCGCCCGTTGTGACGGCTTATAAGCCGATAATTGCCTGTAGCCTACGCTGTCCGACGTAGGCTTAGCGTGACACTAGTCGGAGCCTATTTTCGGAAGTAGGGTCTTACAAGTGGCAATATCAATTTTGTACAACTTCCGAGAATGAGGCGCAAGGGTGGGATACGAGAACGGATGTGCGGATATACGAATAAACGAGTAAACGGATAGAAAGCCGCGTCATTGGCTGGGATAATAATCGTGTATAAAGTAGCTGTTATTATCCTCTTCGATCTATAGTTCACCATAGATCGAAAATAAACTACCTCTGACCATAAGGTTGCCCATGTGCCTATGCTTAGACTGTGACATCCGTTTTTAGGGCCGCTTCTTCTATCACTGTATGGATCACCCTCATTGGTTCAAGTTATAAGCCTTCATGTACGGGCGTTGATCGCACTTGGGCCTTGCCACCTACATAGGATAACTCTCTGTAGATAGCTTAGATAGACAATCGAGAACAAAGTGACCAAACATTATCTGCTAGCAGATTCAGCCTGTGCCAACAATGACAATCTCTGGTGTTACTAGTATTGGCCCTTCCAGTGTTCAGAGCCTATCTAGTATATTAGGAGCCAGTACCGAGATCCAGTTGGAAGCAGCTTTCTGTTTCATTTCAGTGCTCTCCAAGAGTACGGCGGCCGAGAGGAGCGCGCTTCTTGCTCCATTTACTTCAGCGTGTATCGCGAAGCCTGTTTCATTGCAGAATTATCCAAGTGTAACTTACTTACGAGACTAATTTTGATGTAATGAGACATGCATCTTAATGTATGATCGGGCTTGAGCCGTAAAAACACGCACTCATCTGGGCGGGCTGAATTAGTAGCTGAGTTATTTGGCCTCGGCGGTCGTGTAGGCCCCAATGCTTTTGAATAGAATCCATGAGCTGGCAGCGGTTTTCTCGCCGCTGGGGTCGCGGGCTTTGCCTGTTTCATCCCTACATGAGTCCAGTATCTCGCAGAAGTGATAGAGTTTAGCAGGTAATCGTCTCGGTTTAACCTGTTAGATGTCGCCGAAGCCGGCTCTTTGCCTTTTAATGGGCTGTTACTTTCCCTAGCAAGAATGATCACTGGTCGTGGAGCGCTCGTGTTGGTCTTTTCTCCCAATTTACTAGTTGGCGTAGGATTAGGCATCGGTTTCCTACCCCTGAAAGCCTATAATGGCCCGTCGGATGGAAATTAGTTGGGTTCTCTCCGCAGAATATCTGCTATCACGACCAGTAAGGCCGCTCAATTATCTTCGACAACTTTTGATAGCTGTTGATCGGTTGTGCCTGCTAATAGATTGATGTATTCAGTAACGATGCGCTCTGCTTCTGCGAAGCTTAGATCGAAAGCCTTCGTGTAACGGCTGTTAAGCCTAGAGATTCCTGTAGCCTACGCTGGCTAGCGCAGGCAATGAATGCATGGGAATCTTTGGGAAGGATCTCGGAATACAAGGAGCTTAGAAGATTCTCAGTGAACCTTCTGGAAGCACACTGAAGGTACATGAGGACAACAGGTGTATCAAGAATCTTCTACGGTATTGTCAAGGATTCCATGTTACTCTAGTCATAGGGAGAACCTTACAGAAGAGGAGTATCTCAGTGTATATATTTGTATTCTAGCTATAGAAATTCTCTCTCTAGAGAATTATAATTAATATACTGTCCCTACAAGATCGCCCAAGCATGTTGTACTGAAACCGTGACACCTCGCTTCATTTGCGAAGAAGTTAGTCATGGTAATACCCAATGACACGGTGAGGTTTGTTGTGTATTTTTGAAGTGGTACGGTGGCCCTGTGAGGACCATGTCGACATCAGGGCGCGTCGAATTTACGGTTGATAGGAGGGCCAAGAGCCAGTCTCTACTAGGGATTGGGGCAACATGCGTGAGAATAACGGTAATTATTTGTAAGTGGTAGAATAGAAGATATTTAGTGGTCTTGATTGTTGCGTGTTATTCAAGGAGTGTCGGCATGTAAATAGTGTTTGTCAGACTATAGGCTGCCGCCGCTGATCCTACCTTTGCGAATTTTCTTAATTTCGAATTTGCGCATGACGTAAGAGATAGGTTGTAAATTTATATATATCACATATCTTGTGAAAAGCAGGAGTTCTATTTTTAATTTTGCGGCACATCTAAAATGGTAGGTGTTTGTATTTTTCACCGATAGTCGGCTTATGACTAGGATAGGAACAGAAGTCTTGAATTTAGCTAGCTTTCATTACGCAAAACTAGCCATATTAAAAAAATAACTTCCTGGTGCATATATTTACATATATATATGTATAATTATATGCAGTCACCTGCTTGTTACGCAGTCTGGTAAACTTCTTAATTCTCGTTTTGTGAAGCCTCTATAATTTACTTATCATACCTATGATATTGTACTACCATTTTATCATCTGATCTAGGTGAGGTAAATCTTATGTTTTTTCGACTGATTTAAGAACACTAAGAGGTGATAAAATCTATCGATATACCGCCAAGTAGCAAGATATATGGTTGTAGATATTGATATGCGTATATTGGCTTTGATATGACCACGTGTTAATATCGATTATGTCGTTTGTGTAACATGTACACCAGACTATAATTCTTTTGGCAAAAAAACACTACAATAGTTGTCTTTCCAGCAATTACAAATGTGATTCATGTCATTAAAAGTATTTCCTAGAATATTAGAGCTAGCTTGAAGTATCAAATATTAGAAATTAGTCTCAAAAGGTTAAAGAATAACACGAGCTAACATTAGATTTTAGAAATCTCTAACCTATTATTCAAGATAATTTATCGATTAGATGCGACTAATTATCTTTATTGTTATTTATTCTTTTTGATGTTACACGTGAATAAAAATCTATGAATCTCCATGATAGAGATCCATTAGCCTAAAATTACCACTTGGGATTTTCTTTTTTATGGCTTAATGAGGTTGTTTCTTATCTACTCTTGAAATAGATGGTTGATTTATAGATGAATATTTTTCAATTTTTGGAAGTAAATCTTGAATCAAGAATGGTTTTGATTGGACGTCGTCCTTCGTGAGATATTAGTATTGTAAGAAGATATTAGATAGCATGAGAATATAGCTTACTACACCAGCTACAACAGCTGCCTCTATCTGCTCCAGCCTTGCATTGGCCGTCACAGCTATTATAGGGACATGCCCGACAATCTTGCCCTCTACCTCAGCATCTCTTATATGCCTTGAGCATGTCAGGCCATCCATAAATGGCATCTCGAGATCCATTAATATTACTGTAAGGTCAAGTCCATCCTGCTCATTTTCTTTCCAGAATTTAGTTGTCTTGAGGAACTCTAGAGCCTCGCCTCCATGGTTAGCCAACGAGGTTTTGAACCCCTTTTTAGAAAGCTGCTTTTGTAGTACACGTTGGTTGACTAGATTATCTTCTACAATCAAAATTCTTTGATTGGTGTAGTCCATAGACCCTTTGGGTAATAATTTTGGTGATTCTTCGTTAAAAAAATGTCCTCTTATATTTGACCCTCGAATTGGCATAATGGAGAGAGGAAATTGAATTTTTGTTGAACTATCTCCTTTTTCACGGAATGTCTCTTTAATTTGTGTCGAGTAGCCGCTGGTTAGTTTGGAGAAAGCTTCTGATCTAACTTTTTCAGCTCTTCTGCACTTTATGTAGAATGCAAAAGTAGATCCAATGCCTGGTTCTGAAATAACACCTATCTCTCCTCCTTGCAGTTCTGTCAGCTCTCTTGAGATAAATAGTCCAAGTCCAGAGCCACCGTATTGAACATGTGTACGTGGGGATGCCTGAGAGAATCTTTGGAAAAGCAGTTTCTTTTCTTTATCATCGAGTCCACGGCCTGTATCCTCAACTGCAAAGTGAAGAAAAACTTCTTCGCCCTCTCCCCACTCAGATTTATCGACAGCGAAGTCTTTAAGCTTTGAACGGCTCGGAAAGTACGCTACATTCAAGTATCCATCATCTATTCGTTCTTTGCTTGCACCAACGCTTACGGTGATTATTCTTTTTACTTGACCACGAGTAAATTTTATTGCATTACTAGTTAGGTTGATTAAGACCTGAAGTAGCCTTGAAGGATCTAGCTTTACCCAATCAATATCAAGTTTGGTGTATGTATCCTCCAATCTGAATTTTAGAGTAATATCATTAGTACTCAATTCACCCTCAAACATTTTGAGAGCCCGTTGAACAACGGATACAGGCTGAACAGAGATTGGGGTTACCATTAAAAGAGCAGAGTCTAGTTTGGACAAGGTAAGAATATCATCTACAATCCGTTTTTGGTGCTGAGCACAAAGTGCAATAGTCTGTGAGGCGTCTATGTTGCTATTTAGTAACTCAACAAGATCTTTAGGCAAGTTTTCAACCGTTTTTTCTGACTTATATGCCATAATAGAAGAGCCTATCTCATCACTACATTGCAAGATAGCCGAAAGAGGATTTCTCATTTCATGACTAACAATGTTAGCTAGTACTATAGATTTTTATCTATTTACTTACGATGTCATATCTATGAAATTTTCTTGCTGCCTTTTCATTTCAATAGCTTCCTCCATTCTACGTTTCTGAAAGTCCTCGGCCCACTTCTGTTGACTTATGTTTGTGACGCTCCCAAATACGCTCTTTAATTGGCCCTCGTCATTTCTTTCAGGATATGCGCTCATGAGAACCCATGTATCACCCTGAACTCCGGTTCGGGTATGCCAAGGAGTTTTGAATCTAAATTCAATTGTCAATGAGGTCTTATTTTCCACCAACTCTTTCCAGGAATTTTCGACGCTTTCGCGATCTTCATCGCGAATACTATCCATCCATTTAGCCGTACTTTTCTCCGATCTCGGGTGTCTCGATATCTCCCACCACATTTCATTGTTATAAGTCACTTCACCCTTATTATTAGCAATGAACATCCCAACAGGAGCAAGCTCCGCCATCCTTGTAAATTTTGTTTCGCTCTCGACAGCTTCTTGTGTTCTTAAATAAAGTTGATTTGATAATTCTTGGTGATTCAAGGCTGCAAGTCGAGCCGCCTTCTCGCCTCTTTTTATTTCATCCTCAAAAAGTACAACTGATGCCATTGATGTGGCAAGTTGTCGACTAAGAAGTTGGATGAATAAGCTATAGTCATCATCAAATGGACGGCGGGAATTAATTCCCATCACCAAGAATCCAAGTGTAATTTCACCAGTTGTAGGTCGTATTGGACAAACGACAGCTATACGGCACAAATCACCAAAGCCGCGTGATGCTAAACCTTCAACAAGACTTTTTGGTAAGGTTTTATCTTCGGTTGACAAAACTATAGGATTATTGACTTTCATAGCTTGACGGAATGATGGGGCGAAGGTCTCATTGCTGTGTTTAAAATCTAAAGGGCTTCGTAAAGCTCTATGGCCTACAGGGATCCCTAAAGATCCCTCTAGGATGCACTGGGAAAACTGAGAAGGTGGCCCGTTATTTGTTGAAGAAACATCACTGTCCAAATCATCACCAACTGAGTACAACAATGCAAAAGGAATATCATACTCTAAGTGATTGTAAGCACAATAGATTGAGAGTTTTTTAGAGAATCTCGTACCTTCTACCTCGAGACTGTTGACCACGTGGACCCAAAAACTCTTGACAGTTCTTGCAGAAGCAGTTTGTTCACCAACTAATCTGAGCAAAGCCATTCGACGTTCGACAATTTTCTGTCTAGTCTTATCGAATACAGGATTATAGAGCCCAACTACTGATCCATCTGAACCAATTATGGGAATGATTGACCAGGAAAAATAAGATTCCTCCAAGTATCCGTTACGTCGAATGAATAAGCAATCATCGTCCTTCATTATGGGTCGTCCAGAATTTTTAGCTATTGAAAAAGCTCCTTCAATTTCACCCCATATTTCACCCCAAGCCTGCTTGTAGGTTTGGCCCTGACCGATTGTCAATTTAACCTATCAAAAAAAGGTATTTGATTGTAACAATGCCTACCATTAGTTGGGGGTGCTTCTTTCCAGCAAGAATAATATAAGCCTCGTTATAAATTACGATGTGCTCGTCACCCCAATAAATTGCAGCAGGGTGCGGAGAAGCCATAATCAGATTACACATTACCCTAAGATTTAAGCTCCACTTCTCAATAGGACCAAGAGAAGTAGCAGCCCAATCAATACTTTGAACGAATTGTATATGCCTAGGAAGCGCAGTGGTTGTGGGGAGACGAGTCCAGTCTAGTGATAGGTTTTCTGGGGAATTTTTGATAGCATCTTGTCTCACTCCAGCAGTTTTCGAGAGGAAGTTTTTGTTTTCAATTGGTAAAGTTAGAGTGCTACTAGGTATTGAAACATTATCACTTTGAGGCTGACCAGACGTGGAAACATGAGACATATCATTCAATAAAGCAAGTTCTCTGGGACAGTTTAATACTTCTTTAGGCTGTTTGGATGGATTTTTGCTAGATATTTCTTTTTTTCCAGATCTGGTTTTATTACTTTGATTCCAAGTGAAGTCCTCTTCATCTAAGACAGAAGGACTAGAAAGAATACTCATGGAAGCTCTAGTTGTTGAAACGCTGGAATTTCCGCTTATGAGCCGCAGTCGTTTTCGGAGTGTATTACATGTCCATGATAAGCCTGCGTAGTGGTATTGAGGAAGGGATATATCTTGAGGTTCTCCATTTATGATGAAGCTCAAGGCCCAGTATTTGAATGCTGGGAAATCATTAATGACGGAAATCCCTGAACTATACAAATCTATATTCCCAGTGACCATATTCAGTAATTTATCCCTTCCACGCAAACTAGAATTTGCGAAAGTGATCTGTAGAACAGAGCCGGGATTAAAGTTGTCTTTATTGGCGGCATCAATTATAAACGTAGGACGTTCATCGGCATCTAAAAGTTCAGGAATCCCAATACTTCTCAACAATTGCTCATCAGATGTGGACATTATAAATTATATTTACTTTCTCTACCTGGAGTCTCTGATGAGACATCCAAATTAGTCGGTAAATTTGGTATTTTTGTTTGCTCTACGCTGTGCTTGTCTTACAGTGTGGTTGTCTCACTGTACAGGTACCCGATTTTATTACGTCTGTTCTTGTCACTCAGAAAAATTTTCAAGCATTAAGATATAGAGTATAACCTTTATTATCAGGATTTATGGTTCATCTAACAAGGTAGGGGCTGGAAAGCCATCCGGGCATAGATCGGTATTATTGAAATTTATTTGCGATTTCGTTCAAGATTTTATGATAGGTGAAAATTCATTGCTCATTTAAGTTTCTGATCTTGATAAGATGTAGATTATTCCTCATCGTTCACGTAACACCATTTTTAAGGTATTATGTTGAATGCGTTATTCCTAAATATTTGAGAATTGAGTATTATAACTTATTTTCCGAAGGCGAGCTTACAGTGCGGTCGTAGGTATGGCTACTTGATATCTTACTAATATCAAAAAGAGCCAATAGGATATCAGCTTTCACTGTGGATCCTTGAAATGCCGGCAAAAATCAGTCGTGATTCACATAAATGGTGTTAGACACAACGAGCGTCCAAGGCTTGTGGGCGGGGTCATTTGTTGACAGCTGTGATCGGGCTTACTGAATCGAGTCGATTATTTCAGTTTACAGTAGTGAATCCAACTTATATCCATTAGAAAGCATCGCGGAACTAATGCTAAGATTGTACTTAGAGTGTCATGTACCTGGCTAGTGTCCTTGACTGCTGAGCAAATTAATCCTATTCGGGATATCTTGCGTAGTTTATTATGTGGCTTATCTATCCACATCGCTTCTGCTATGACTTATTTGCGTATTATTTAACGTCCTTTGGATCACAGGATGGGATGTATGACTGTCATAGGTATCCTTGGACTGCAGGCATAGAGGACCTGTATGTCCTATATAGTCATAGACTGAGGCAGGACAAAAAAATTATAATAAATTATAACGTCTTTTCGAACAAGTAGACTTATGATGAACTATAGAGAGTCACTTATCCAAATTCACCAAAACCTTAGCAGGACCCAGAGTAGCATTACCACACGGGTAAATAGCGGGCACATTGGGCTAAATGCTTACTTATACCAAAGAAGTGTACCATGAGTAAGAAAACTACGCTGCCAATGTGGATGTCCGTTCCAAAAATATAAAGCACTCAGTGATGTCTTGTCCGAGACGGACAAAGGCAAGAGGCGAGTTACTACGAAAATCGACAACCCAATCCTTCGAGATATGGTAAATTATGCCAAAGATATGACTGGAATTGCACATTTGATTCAAAATGAAGGATGACTAGAGCAGTTTCGGATGACCGGAGAAATCGAGGCTTTAATCAGGCGAAGAGGGGAGAATGGTAACACGGCTCAAGAACGAAATGCAAACTGGCGATAAAAGTAAGTGGACTTGCCAAAGATAAGACTATAATGGCGCAGAATCCAATCATACAACTAAGGGGATTTTTACTGCAAGATTTCCTCCTGTGTAGATTAGAAAGTTTGATAGATACCTGCATGAGCCCATAGGGCACCAGATCAGGATAATGAATTCAAATTCAAAATCGTCCTTTGAAGAGCCAAGCTTCGGCTCGGACCAGCAGTACCTGCTAAGCTATATGATGAGATATACGTCAGTGCTTACTGCCCTAATGGCTAGGTTTTTTTTTAATTATTTAATGTTTATTCAGCTATCTAGCTATGACATATGAACGGTGCTACGTATACATGTTAGATGACTCTTTTGACATTAGAGACAATCATACTCTGGATTTCATTTGCAAATACTACGTCGAGGTATGTTCAGAGTGCAGTTGACACTATAAAAACAAGCCGAGGATGGAAGGTTCCGTGGTCCGCCCCCTGGTGGTGTTCTCTGGTATAATCTGAGTAGCCTGGGGACTTACTCCACTTGGGAAGGAGATATCTCAGATCACATTTCGCGCGGAGAAAATTTGATGGATGACGGAGGCATTTCTGGATAACTCAGGGTTTTTGAGACGTTCCCCTGGGTGGGTATTCACGGATGAGGGTTGACTTGGGGTGAAGAAAAAGCTACCATAACTTCGCAGTGGTACTTGCAAATGAAATCCGAGGCATGAGTGCACTTCCTTTGCGTTGAATCATCTATTCTGTACTTTTCTTTGATATTGTGTCTTAGCAAGATAGCTGCATAAACATTAAATGATTTATAAAAAAGCTCATCAACATATGCTTAGCCAGTTCACGAGCCTTGTGTCATGATGATACGATGTTTAATCGATTATTTGTAATCCTGGCGTTATTCTAAAACCCAAGCTCTCTTCGAGCCGGCCTACCAGCTATTTCGTTCCCTGACAAACCTAAGTGATCAGGGATCCATCCTGTCTCTTCGGGCGTAACTGCACTTACGGCCATCTTCCGGAACTCTTGGGCTCGCCAAAATAGTGAAACTGCTATTTCTCTCGACAATGCATGGGCTGCCGCGAAAATTTCAAGTAGCATACAGCTGATGCTGCTACCTCGATCGCGGGTTTTAGTTGTGATTGATTCGAAAGTAGCCATAGCACCGCAAGCTTCTGCATGATAGACTTCCGCATTCACGACTTTTCTCGAGTCGCTTGTTTCAAGTACCGTGCCAGTGCCAGTGCCACTAACAAAGGTCTCAAAAGCCCATGAGACCCAGTTGGTAGACGCTCTAGGAGCATCTTTGTAAGCGTAAAGACAGATGAATGGCAATTTAGTTAGTCATAGCAGGATTAATTTAGCCACTTCTTCCTCGCTCGTCCAGCAAGTTTTCGGCTAAGCTGGTAACTTAGGTCGGATATGTAGAGGTAGTTCCGCCTTTGATAAAGATTGAGACATCCTTTGGAGCCTCGAATCATGAACCCGGTCTAGCGCAAGTCTACAATGATTGTATGTCTGTAGTACAAGGTGATGTTAGGCTCTATCTATAGTCTCCATTGCCTGGAATCAATGCGCATGGTAGCTCCCTTGAGCCTACGTTCCTCTAGCTAGATGTATGCTGCTGGGATTCAAGTCTTCTTCCGGAGGACTGCGATTGGCACCGTGCACTATGTTGATAGGGTCGCGCGGATACCGACTACGGAAGCTCTGTCGATGGCTCTAAATTTCTACCATAGGAGTTTCGCACGACACGCCGATGCGTCTCCCTGGTTACATGTGAGTTTTGTTGCAGTTGATAGGGAATTTTAAATGAGATATGAGTATAGGTATATGTAGTCCCCTTGTTATGGTTATCTTTTGCCAATAGGCAGTTGTTGACTACATGTACATCACTGGAACTGGCTGATATAGGTCAGTAATAAATAATGACTGGCAGAGCGAGGGACAAGTGAGGTTAGATCTATCAACTAGGATTGTCTACGATGTAGTAATTCTGTGATTTAAAGTGTTGTATTTGCTAGACTCGTCGATCTAATAACACAATATTTATCGCAAAGATTGATTAATTACCAGCCAGCGTTTGCGCCGTTATATCATTTAATCATTAGCGCCGCGCGTACATCCTACTCAAAACTGTCTTAAATATACAAGCTTGGATTGCGATTTAGAGATTCAAACTTGTACGCCAATTCTGTGTCGAAAACGCCGAGCCTCTGTATCTTTCTGTTACAACATCTATATTATCCCAGTAAATCTCCTATGCTATTATCTCTCCCTTGGTAGCCCTTTTCTTTTTGCGATGTGGGCATTACCGAACTAGGAGGTAGCGTCTGGCCCCATATTCCTGCACTAGCTTTCTCTTTAGCCAGCTGATGTAAAGCAGGCTCGGATGTAGGCATGCTTGTCTTCCTAATTCCTGCGCTTGCATCCGACCACAGTGAGCCAAATGCGTCGGATCTTGTACAAGAAGAGTTGTTTACTGTTGAGACTGTTGAGGAGGGGTTATTCGGCGTGGGTTTTGAAGGTAATTTTACAGACGTGAAGTAATTTGGCTGTGAGCCCTGAAATGTCGTGGGATTTGATGGTTGCGCCATGATATTTATTGAGTTCGGTGTCTCGCTGTCTAACGCAGTCCTTCCAGCCTGGGCCTTTGGATCAGGGGGAAAGTTCATCATACCATGGAGACCGCCTGAATTAGCGACAAAAGTAGATTGAAAGAAACCTTGTTGTAAGTTTGAGGAATTTGCATGGCTTATGGTTGGAGCTATCGTTTTTACCGAAGGTGTGGCCGATTGAAAATCGTCAAAATCATCCTCCTCATCAACCGTGTTGGAAATAAGTGTCGTTTTAGATGGGGAAGTGTTTGATTCATTGTCATCAAAAGAAAATAGATCTATTTCAGGTTCCTTTTTTAGAGTTACCTCGGGCTTTTTTGAAGTTCTTTCTGTCGTTTTTCGTCTTGTGGATGACATCGATGTACCTCTCTGCTTCCTACCAGCGGGTGCAGTACCTTCAGTAAACTCGTCGTATTCTTCAAACCTGCTCTGACCTCCGGATATTGATGTTTTTTGGGCGATTGCGTCTTGGAAGTCACTTTGTTGGCCGCCAAATCCACCACCATCACCATATACACCTCCACTATATCCACCATAGCCTGAACTTGACTCATCACCGAACCCCGAAAAACGACTGCCGTTTGAAATACCTGCTCCACCCTCAACACCTGTATACTTACTCTTAGTGGCTCTAGCTTTCTTTCGTTCAGCACGAATTCGCTCAACGTCACTCAGTAAATCTGCTAATTCTTTGGCTCGATTTCGGACATTAAGCCCCTGATCTTTACCATTTTGATCAATGTAGTGAAATTGTCGCAGCATTCTCAGCAGCGTTAGATGGGATCTTGCATCGTCGATAACCCTTTCGGAACCATTCTTTATTAAAAACTCTAGCAGTTGAAGTGCTTTGTATATTTGACGCCATTCGTCAGCTGCTTTCTCAGTAAAACGCTTATATATCATCGGCATTATTTCGTTAAGGAGCTGACTGAGTGGATTTTAGTAGCCGGGCCTCGGAGTGGAAAAGTACTGACTAGTTATATGTGCCGTTGGCGATTTCTTGCATCATGCTTGAGCTGGCACCCTATTCATATTGTTAGTTTATAAATCAATTGTGGACTCTAAATTAATTCAATCAAAGCTTTACTGATCTAAGACGTACCCATGGCTCATTATTAGTTGCCTCCCTAACTTTAGCTTCCATCTCCGTATAATTCATTACGGCTACGATTATTCAATTAGTGAGTCTCGTGTGAGATATAGTTGCTTACCATTTTGAACTTTTCGCATTCCAGCCTTCAGGTCATATAATGTTAGGTTGGAAGCAGCTTCTTTCAAACTTGACAGATCCATCGCGGAGCACAGTTATTTCGTCGGCTCTACGAAGATAGCTGTAAGATATGAATGTGGAATTGACAGGTGTTAATGGTTGCCAAGGTGCCCAATTTAGCTTCAGGAAACTATATGTCACGTGATTGGATAATGGCGATTCGATCATCCATCTCACATGTTTTGCGACAGTGGGTTAAATGTAACAGATTCGCCGTACACGAATTGTTACCATTTGCGAGGGGCATGGGATTGATTGATTGAAAACTCCAATGCTTTAAGGAGCTTAATCGAATATACGCCTGCAATTTATGTCTAGAGTGTGAAAAGGAGGCAAATATGAAAACGGACAAGGTCTAGCGACCAATCATAATAGCTTTAAGATTGTTGCAGAAAATTAGCTACCAGGAGAGTGACTTCTGGAGACATAAAACACTGCTCCTTTCCATCATTGCCAATAATTGATTAGAATTGATTACTTAAGTGAAACCTTTCACACATACTCTTTTAAACTCACCTCTTATCATCTACACCTATTCCTATCTCTGATTTGTTATAACATCTGCAAAGTAAGTAGCTCACGAAATGTAAATGTCAAACAAATAAAAGCAGACATGATGCTCAACAGATCCATCATCATACTACATCCCAATAACAAGAATCCCCATCCATGCAATCTACATTTAACCCTACTACGTCTAACCGAATCTGCGTTAGCGTTAGATTAAACTACAAAATGTTACCCCTCCGTCGGTCTCTTCTCAAAACTTCAGCAATCAAACGATTCTCCAATACTTCCTTGAGATTATTCCACGCTTGCAAATCAGATATGTCCGTTAAAGCGTAATTAATCCTCTGACCTGCACATAAATGATGAGAATAACATGTTGATCAATCTAGCTTCTTCGATGTGTCCTGGAAAGGACCGGTTCTTGACGCTAAAAACAAGGCTACTGGAGAAATCAAAGGTAAGAATATCTCGGCTTAGTCTTGCACGTTCAAAATCGTTTTGACTGGAGGTTGTCTGAGCTATATTACATAATTGCCCAAGAGCTTCAAAATAATTTTTTGTCAATATTTTTATCACAGGATAAAGAGTTATAAATATATATCCTAAGTACTAACTATCTATTCAGAACAAAGCGGTCGAATCAATTTCAATCTCTACAATGATGTAGTACCAAAAACAGCTGAGAATTTCCGTTGCTTATGTACTGGAGAGAAAGGCTTCGGTTTCAAAGGTTCTTCTTTCCACCGCATTATCCCAGGCTTTATGCTCCAAGGAGGCGATTTCAATAAACATAATGTAAAAATATTCACCAATTTATCCGTGTTGAGCTTACAATAGTCAGGGTACCGGTGGCAAAAGTATCTATGGTGAGAAGTTTGCGGACGAGAATTTTACGTTGAAGCACACTAAACCCGGAATATTATCCATGGCTAACGCAGGCCCAAACACGTATGAAACTCAATGCCATTTATTTCATCACAATTAATTAAATTTTTAGGAACGGCTCCCAGTTTTTTATCACTACAGTCATTACGAATTGGCTAGACAAAAAGCACGTCGTATTTGGCGAAGTAGCGGACGAAGAATCTATGAGGGTTGTCAAAGCTATTGAAGCTACAGGAATGGAAAGCGGGGAGATTCGTTATAGTCCTAAACCCACTATTACTAATTCGGGCGAGCTAAATTAAAAACGGGAGAGGGAAGAAGTGCGCAGGTCCAACTAGTACACTTTGTCACACCGCGAGAAATCAAGAATTCTAAATTTTTGGTCAATCTACATTGTAGTTACTACTGAATCCAAAACTTCTAGGTATTCTTGTTATGGTGTCGTTTTTCGTACGCCGGGTACAGGACCACACTGATGTGACATAATATAGTCCAAGTTTGGCCGTTATAACGTGAACATTGTTATTAATAAACAGAAAATTAGTGCAGCTTCGTTCACTTCGGTACATGCTTGTGACTTTACATTTGCGGGAATAAGTGCGAATACAGGCTTCAAACGAAAGAACAACCGTCTTGTACAAACGCAGGCGTCTCAAGACATTTGGAGACGTGATCAGGGGGAGGACAGGACGATTTGAGACCCTGAAACTCGTCACAAAAGCGCTTGCCAGGGGTTTAAATTTGAGCGGCAGTCCCACATCCTCGACGGGTTTGCCGGACTCACCTGTAGCTATTTATTGAAATTTTGTAGCAGGGAAAGTTATGGCCTGGACAGTAGAGAACTGCGTGCTTGTCCGTCCATTTATCTTTCCTTCCTCTAAATTACGGATCAACACCTAAGACCTAAACAGATGCAAGAAACGCGGTCGGTCGGTGACTAAGGATGAGCAAAGTAAAAGAGCGGTGGCCTCGTGCTTTTTAAGGCCCTCAATAACCATGTCTCTATGCGTCGCAAGGATTTTTCCATGACGCAGCCGCGCAATTATCCCTCATTGGGTGTGGTCTGGGTGAGAAAGGAGCCCAATGTGTTAGATAGTCTATGACTCAGGTAGTGCAATGAAAAGATCACATCAATTATGCTTCATTAATTGCCATATCATTTATCAAAGGTAGAGGTGCAGATTTAAGGTCTCAGTAATTTAGTACAATCAGCATGGGGATCGATATTCCATGAGTCAAATATACTAGATAAGCATGATTGTGAGACCAGCACTAAAATTCCGGTCACCTTTCTGGGCAGAGGTCAAGCCGAACGGCAAAGTATTAGTGAAAGTAGATGACCCTCTCAGAAGTTTAAAAAGGAATTGCTTAAAAATTCGCAAGGGAGCATGTAAGTCCACAGGCACGAGAGTGCCAGAGCACAAAACAGCCACAATACCCTTCGAAATCTTCTCTAGGTAACTAAGGCTCACATATTGAGGCCACTCAGAGGATATATCCGTCCGCCAACCATAAAATCTGGCTGCCCAAGAAAAGGATAGACAATGTTCAAATTATTAACAGGAGCGTATATCTTGGCCACTGCACAGAAATGTGCGGGGAACACCAAAGCAAGAGGTCCCAGATAGAAGGAGGGTAGGTCGCGGCACATCATGAGTGGGCAAAGTCCAGGCCCAACCAGAGGCAAGCTCGGAAGCCTCGGCAACTACTAACTGCAGATCCCGAACCCTGGAGAGCGGCCAAATTTTACCATCGTCGAAAATCTGGACGGCAAACACAGTGTCCACAAGAATCATCATTTTTTCTAGATCGTAACCTGACAAGGGCCCAAAGTAGTTTGGAAATTTAAATTCGCAGTGAGCACATGGGCCTCAACTCGTATGTACACAGAAGGAATGTACCCGGAGTATTAAGCCCAGGCAGTCCGTGTGGCTACCAATCATAGAACTCGGAGCACATGATGCTGTCCCGCCCCCGATAGTCAAATGGTAGAGCAAAGACGTGGGAAATGACTCAAAACCGGCTATAGAAAGCCATATTAAACAGCCTAGGAGAAAAAATGGATCACACAGTAGCCCCTGAATCAAGGTTGGATAAAGCATTCCAGACGATAAAGGCGGTTGAGATGCTGCTGAAGGAAAAGCACAAGTCAAGCAATTCTTGAGCCAATAGAGAGGACGTAGTCGGTTAACATGCATAGCACTAAAGTATACCTACGCTTTCTCCATATAACAGAGTAGAAAAGGATAGAATACAATTAAAGTCCCTACTGAGTCTATGACTGCGAAGGACTATGATTCCTGAAGAACATGTGTGAAAACTTAAGACAAATAGAAAGATCTGGGGATTTTTGCCGCAAAAGGTCTCATCCAGTGTAGATATTACAGTTCATAGACACCTGCATAGGCCCATAGGGGGTCCAATAAGGATAATGAAATCAGATTCAATTATTCATTTCCAAGGAATAAACCCAGCAGTTGCATTAGTATACATCAAGAGTTGGTGAAATATTTTGACAATCGTTTTCGGTCCCATTTATCACCTGCATTGGTTGATAATTATATCTTACCTAATATTACCCCTTCTTTTTTTAATCATTTGACGTTTAATCAGCTATTTAGCTACGACAAATGACCGGTGCTATATATACATGATGGATGACTCTTTTGATGTTAGACACTCATACTCTGGATTTCATTCGCAAATACCACTTTGAGGTATGTTCGCTTACACAAACAGTCGACCCTCCTCCGCAAATACCCAACAAAGGTAAATTCAAACCCTTTGATCATCCAAGCATGCCTGCATCATCCATGTACACCAGCACCGCGAGAAATGTGGTTGTGTTTTGCTGGATTTGAACCAGCGATCTTTTGTTTCGAGTGGAATGTGGGTCCAAGCTATCTCGGATCTGCTTGGGAGACCAGGCCAGATGATGTACCACCGCACCATCCAACCATGGCGGTGTTTATAATGCCGGCTACACTCTCGCAAGCGAAGTCTTGGCGCGCACAAAGCCCAATTAGTAAAACTTCTTGCCAATCTTCGAAATTTCACGCCCGTCGAGAATGTATCCCTCTTCTGCATCATCTTGTAAACTTGTCCTGATCCCTCTCACGTCCATCCCAAAGAACTGTCTCGCAGATTTGTGCGCCACGCTTTGCTTCCTCCGTCGGGTGTAAATATCTGCGTGAGCGTGTATTTGGCGGTCAACTGAGGCCTGAGAAGGTCGAAGAGTGGTGTGATCATTGGTATGAGGATGTACTTGGTCGTTGTTGTAGACTTGATAAGTATTTGGCTGGAATAGACCTTGTTTTGAGGGAGATATTGGTTGGGTTAGTAGTGATAAATCATTTCCTTGTGGGCCAACTTATTCGGTATTGCAAAATTTGACAGAACTTGGCTTTGGAAGAATTTTCACTCCCAGATTTATATAAGATAATACAGAGCTGTGTTCAGCCTTAGTTCCCCGTTGATACTTTTGTAGTTTCCGCTGCTGTTGTTTGATTCCTTTCTAAGTCTGACATTCTCTCCTATTGTCCACACCGGATATTTTGGGTGCTAATACTTACATGTTATAAAACTAGGACAAACTAGATGAGTTTTGATAAAATTACAGCAATGCACTGAATTGGTCGGGTTATTTCTGGCTAAATGAGCGCCCACTAACACGAAGTGTGTGCTAGCGCTTTTCCAAGAAAATTTGGTATCCCCAAACAGCTGCAGTTAAAGCACTGCTTAGCTTGAGCAGTGAGTGATTATGACTTGGCTGTCTGAAATACTGAGTCCAAAGTTGTTGATTCCTAATCACTTCGGGATGATTGAGCTACAGATGTGGCCGTTTTTCTTCTTCCATTGGTGATCCTTTCCATCGCAAAGCCACTTCTTCTTACCGATCTTGGTTCCAAGAATTTCAAAATTTACTTCTGTCATCGTGATAGAAATAACCCTGCTATTATTCACATTCTTGCGTCTCTGTTTTTAGTCTCCAATACTACTTCCAAAATCTCGACTGGGCAATCCTGCTTCAAGATGGAGGGCTCATTTTGATACGCTAATTTCAAGGCAGTATTTGATTAAAAGATCAATTCCACGAATGCTTCCCTGTTGTAGTCCTTAGCTACTATAAGGCATTTGCTCATCATTGTATGGTTTTGCCTTGCTAAGCAACTCTAACGCCTATATATTGTCTGCCTTGTCAACTGATGTTGATATTGTCGATGGTTCTATGACAATTAAGGCGTAAGTCGGTCGATTTCCTATTACCCGCATCGTCTGTTTAGTCGTCATACATATCTGATCCTCGGGGCTACTTTTTACCCATGTATCTAAGAAAGGCATGAGTTCCTCCGATGTAATAGGCTTGAGTACCAATTATTGCCTCATTGCGTGGGTCTTGCGGGCTTCGAGGGCCGTTTATATCTTCATCATGGAGGTTGTAGATTGGTTAGTTCCTACCATCACCAGCCCATCTCGAAACTTGATTGAATGAAATTATTTATAGTTTTGGGTTGTTTGTAGTTATATTCTTTAAGCTTGTAATGGAACTTGTAGCCGTAATTATTGTTGTACTGCTGCTCGTTGGTAGTAAGGATGATTCTATGAAAAGTTCGTCCCCAACTCGCCATGCCATAGCGCAACGCGTAAAAACAGATGAATCGGATTAGATTGATGTATTAAGATTATGGAGATTTATTACGTGTTAAAAAAAACTTCGTAGGGCGTAATGCCACTTTTGACCAAGTGTGGTGTATGTTTTTGGTGTTAGAGAACCTAGTTCTCACGCCTAAGGTCCTCAACTCAGCAAGGACTAATACCAACAACAATCAAATCTGTAATTGCAAGGCAACTTCGGCTATTAAACCCCACGATAAATTCAGATCAAAATTTACAGTCGCTCACATGAACGCTCATGCCCTTCTAACATCACAAGGATGGCGGGGGACGGGAAACTCTCTACACCCAACTAGTAATGCTATTGGATTAACAAAACCTATTCTCGTCGCACACAAAACTGATACACTCGGCATCGGTAATAAACATAGGACAAGTGATTTATGGTGGATGAATGCCTTCGATAAGACGCTGAAGGGCCTGGATACATCAGTGGAAGGCCTTGTCGTACAGACCATCACAGATGGGGGCCTAGATGCTGCCAAAAAAAGTAACGGGAAATGGGTACTAGAAAGTAGTGATCTTTACGCCAACTTTGTGAAAGGAGAAAGTCTGGAAGGGTCGATCGAGGCGGCGCAGATCAAGTCAAGTCGTAAAGGGGAAAAGAGAAAGCGTAAAGATGCAGAACTTGAAAGTAAAGCAGATCGAAGAGCAAGAAAAGCAGCCAGACGTTTGAAGAGAGAACAAACTAAGATGAGGAAAGATAAGAAGAAATTTTCATTAAATGCAAGCCAGGATTCTGATACGACCATATCAAAGAAGCACAAGGATACAAAAGACAAGCGGAAGGCCAAAAAAGCTGCAGCTTTGAAGTCGCATGAGTAGTTAAATACGACATGTGAAATCTATGCGAGTCCCAAATTGGAGTCGACGTATGTTTGAAACAGCCGATTATTCTAGGCATCGGCGGTAAGTTTATCGACGGATTCTCATGAATTTGAGTTTTCTTCCTTGAAAACACTGTTCCACTCGATTCTTAAAAAGAATCATGCAGGTCTCTAAAGTAAGATTGGTACTTCATTCTTCTGACAATAGATTATAATACGTTAACTAATAACTTTTTCTTGGGCCACATTTGATAATTTCACTATCGAAAGCGAAGGCCAGGGACTTGCAACTCTCTGGATTCCATGTACACATATCAAAGAAAAGCCAAGCCAACCTTTACCTAATTTTCTAACCGTCTTGGATTTTTTGGGTCATGAAGACTGCCATTCAAAACTCGATACTACTAGACTCCTAAATAGTGGAAGAAAAATATGTCAAGAGCTTATTCTGGAAATCAGTTTAGACATGAAATATGTCATGCTTTATTTGAAAATTTCGATATAGATAAATAGGACAATGCGATGGATTTGGCTTTTAGAGCATGTTACAGACAGGAGAGTAGAGCAGAAATGAAGTCTTTAAGGGCAAAATTAATCTTGAACTGGTTCATATTAAGCGTCGCACTTCTTTTACCATCATCTTTGCGGCAGATCAGCCGATTAGTCCATCAGCTCAAGCAAAATATCGAGGGTGATTGGTTGTGAATGTAAATATACTTGAATTTGCCTGAGTATTCCCAAGCTATTGTGCCACATAATACTAGGCTTAATGCTTATCTGAAACTTAAGGGGTTATTTGATGAATAAAATATACCCTGATACTACCTTCATAAATCGTATCTCCACAATTCTCTCCCATTTCGTCTATCTTCAAAGTTTCCATGGGTGACATCTTCCCAAACATGCTGTAAGCTCAGAGTTGTTTACCGACTTCCAGCTAATACGAGATTATTGACTCGGTTTTAGCCTAGATAAAGCTAGCCTATTCTCATCACTCGCATTCTCCTTCGTATGATTAGTGTATTGATAGGTAGGTAGGTAGGTGTGCTACATCTTCCAGTATTATCCTTAGTTTTCATTTCATTTAGCGTGATTTGTCGCCGTGTGAACCTCAATATATGTCTACAAACTTTAATAATTACACAGGAGAAAACCATTATGGTAAATGCGCCGGTAAAGACGAATTCTTTACCTTCCAGTGGTTCCGGTGTAATCGCTAAGTATGCTGTGCATATCTCGGATATCCAGGAAGAATCGCATCCGAATCGAAGTCGAAAGCAAACACATGCATATCTTCATTTGACGACTTCTCAACCATGCAGCACTCATCATTCTCACGCGAGTCCTGCACCTCAATCTTACTACACATCTTCGCCTCATATACCGATAATGGCGTTACTCCAATTGCAGTCGCTGTTATATTAACTAGACTGTATAGGAACAGGACGATGGGCACTCTTGGAGGAGTTATGCTCATAGTAGGTCCCGTTAATCGCTATCGCGCATGTTCTCATGATATGTAAGACTTGTATCTATACTCCCGTCCAAAGGAAACTCAGTTAAGAGAATGAATGGAGTTTGCGACTTCATATATTGCTTCACACTTACTGTGTTGTTCACAGCCTAGTGCTAAAACATTCCCTTGCGATATTATTTCTCTCCTAAGAGAAGGGGAACTATTCTCAACACCCGTCAGTGGTGTCCTCTTCGAACCTCCAGATCTCACTGTAGAATCTTCAGAGTCAAATTTGAGTAACAAAGTCCTCACTTCGAAGAGGATTCCCAATCACTTGCGCGATCTGTATCGTCTTCATCTCTCAATACATTCCCCTGTCACCATTATCATGAAGCTAACCACCATCAGATCAGATGGTAGGGTCGGAGCCCTACTCATCACCAAACCTTGATCATGGAGGAAAAGCCATCCGATAAGTTTCCGGAGCCTACCCAGCACCCGATACGGAGATGGCGGATTGGATCAAGTCGGCCTCGACTGTTACAAAGAATGGAGATATTGATGAATATGCGTAACTAATGTGATCCCAGTGTCTAGGCTTCACCTGGCTAGAGCTTCAGGTTTTGGATACTTTTTCCCGCGTACGCAGTTTCCATTGCTACCATTTTTAATTTTTTGGGTAGAAGGTTCCATGGAAAAGGTGACTGAACGGCTATCCATCACGAGCAACATATTAATGATCTTTGAATTAACAAAAGAGAAAAGAAGCACTGTATAAGGTGTGGCCTGGGCCAGAGAGGAGCCCAATGTGTTAAATAGTTGTAGATTCAAGTAGTACAAAATACTCACATACATATTCGAGCTGCTATCAGGCGAGTATATACAGCTGTAAGCAGAGCAAGCTCCGCCAGTTTCTTGCGCCGTATCTTGAGGTCATGGTCCGCGTATCGTTTTGGCCGGTGTGAGTTCCATCAGTCTTTCAGTGGCCGTTTCGATAATTCGCGGGATTTTCATCTCATTGCCGCAAGCGTCAGAAGATCTGTTGGAGTTGTAATAATTTCAGGCGATATACGCTCTATGCGAGCGAGCTTGTCGGCTATTTTGTTCCCTACTAGACCTGTATGGCCCAGGATCTATCCTACCGTGATTGGCGCGAATGCTCTGGCTGCAGACATCCGAGCCTTTTCACCTACCAAGAGAATGAGACAGATTATCCCGTAATCAGCGATTCAAACGCCGCGGTATTATCCAGGAGAGAGTATATGGCACGGTTGCTCTCTCTAATCGTTTCGAGGGCAGCCATAGCATCGTGAATTTCTGCGTCTAAGACCTCCGCATTCGCAATTGTGCCGTAGCCGCTCTGGTTAATCACGGTTCCTGTACCCCCTGCAATATTCAAGAATGCCCAAGATAACCTGTCGGTGGATGAACTAGACTATTCGCTGTAGACACGTAGACAGTCGGGTGATAGTGAATTGAGCCACTGTTCCGTTGATTTGGTAGCTTCTTTTTTGTTAGTCCAGCGTGGTCTTCAGAAAGCTCTTATTCCTCTTGCTCCACATCTCAGCCGCCTTTCCTCCCTTAAGTTGTTTGTCCTATTAAAGCAGCGATCCCCAACAAGCCAGGACTCAGGCTTTGTAAATTTCGACTTAATTTCATCCTTGCAGATATTCGTAGAGTTGTAAATTTGTAGTGGTTGATGGGTGGTAATTAATGGGGAAAACTCGCGTTTGTAGTTAGTGCAACTCCTTTATAGGTCGTTGAAGCGAGATGATATGTGGTCAGAAAAAGGTTAAGGACTAAGATGAAAATGGTAAGAACGGCATGACTGAGAAGTCGTCAAATGGAGATATGCTTGAAGTTTCTTTCGACTCCGATTCAGTTGCGATTCTTCTTGGCTATCCCAGATGTGCAGAGCATACTGAGCGATTATGCCGGCAACACTAGAAGGTGAAGAATTCGTCTTTGCCAGCAGTCATGTCACATAGCTGGGTAGCTAAATACACGTTGTTTTTATGCACCACATTTTTGCCACATATGCAGCTTTCTAGCCATGAAAAAATATCAAAAAAGTGCACAATGGATGACTCAATTATAGCTAGAGCACTCAAGCCTCGGATTTCATTTGCAAGTACCACTACGAGGTTATGTAATTACACGTAAAATGATATAGAAAAGCTAGGCTTTGATTAGTTAATTTGAGTTGAGAGATAGCGAAAAACGAAATGCTCCAACATGTATGAATAAATCTAAGGAATTGTCGTTGCTACAATGTTTGTGTGCATGTGTGTTTATTAAAGTGTTAAACAATTGGCATCCTCTGCACTTCTTTGAGTGCTTAAGCTCAAGTTAGGCCAGTTAGATCAGGTTAAGTATAATTTGGTACTAGAATCTCGCCTTATCTACGTTGCCGTACCACTTCAGGCTTGACATAAGTGTTAAACATATCAAGTCCAAATGTCGAGAAGATCCAACTTTGACTTGCCGAAGCATAGGTTCCTTCTCCGACTCATCCCCCACGCACCCAAGCCTTTGACACCGTCCTTTTCATGAGGATTTCCCTTCCATTAGGGCCCAGTTTTCTCACATCTCATTCAGGAGTCATTTTCTTGACTGAAGTCTCCCCGCCGACCGAGGCTGACATGGCCTTACATCTTTTTTATTCTCACTTTGTAGTATTTTGTAGCTCCATCTATCAACTAACCCATCATGAAAATTGTATAACCCTCAAGCCTGCCCCGTCGCTGCTGTATTATCAATCGCAGATGATGGACATGTGGATAACAGCTCAAAGCTAATGAAAACGACATCTCCATTTTTGTGGAATGCTCTAGTCGGAATGCCGGCAAGGAAGAACTTTCAAGAAAAATCGAAACAATGAGGAGTATCAGATGATTTAATTCGATCTCTAGAAAGGTCCAAGGCGTTCTATGGACCTTTTTCAGAGTGCAAATGATTGATTACGTTGAATTATGCAGTTGGAAAATCTCGACAGGCCAGGATTCGACAATATACTTGCCGACGCCTCTCCATCCGATCGCCATACTAATTAAAACTCTGACTTGCCCTTTTTAATGGCTGATATTCAGCTATAGGAAACATTTCATCCTTAGTTTTGTGTATGATACTACGTTCAGGCGTCTATCCTAGAACATTCATGATTGGACTGGTCATGAGAAAGCTACTTGGGACACGGTTTCACGTAGAAAAAATAGAAAATGACTAGTAGACCTCCCTACTACGTCGGTTGAGACTCATTTGCTGCAAAGGAAGTTTATATGACCTTACTCACCAAGCTAACACGGGTAGGTTGGATTGCTATCTTGGACGACTATTCTGCTTCCATAACAAAATGTGTGTTATAGGATATAATCTCTGGAATGTAGGTATCCTCGTCTATTAGTAGAAGCGACCTACACATCTTATATAATTATAGACTGCACAAGGATTTGATTATGAGATATTGTAATATAACACTCATTTATATCCTGTGACACATTTATACTACACTGTCACTGGCTAAGATTTATATTTTTAATACTTAGGCCTTCCTTAAACATTTTCTGACCTATGTTGAATTCAGACTGTCTTTACATGGTATCTGTATTAAGTTATAAATTTTATTTCAAGAATAACACCGATGGCTATTACGCCATGAAAATAAATCTTAACTTTGTAATAGTTTAGCATTAATTTTTTGGATCTATTTGGGAGCACCAGTCTACCAGAATCGTTTCTAATTTTCAATAAATATTCTATCTGGTGTGCAACTTTTCAAACGGTGACGATAAATTTTGAGAGATTTGTTTTTCCTGTATCGAGTTGTCGACTGAACACCTTCCTTAATCGCAAACGGCTCTAAAGTCCATTCTGTAGATTTTCTCGATTTATTACTTTTTGTATTTTGATTAAATTTTTTAAATGCCTGTATTTTTATTAGTGCTGAAACATCGAAACCCATTGAGATATAAGTCAGTCAGTAGTTACATACAGCGTTCATTGAAAGGTTGTGTCTAATACTATTCTTCCAACCGCTTTCACTTTCATTCGTGCCCTTACATGTGTTTTCACGGAACCATTGGTATATCTCTTGCAAAGCCATGCGATAATTTGGCGCACTCATTAATGCCCGATAAATAAGCCTAGCGTATGACTCGCAAGATTGTTTTTCGTAGCTGACAGCCGAAGGGCTTGCAGAAAAAGGGAGATCATTTTTAATTCCCAGGAAATGGTCTTGTGGCAAGGTACTCTCGTTACTATTTTGAGCCCCTTCGACATTGCAGACCATGTTGTGTGGAGAATTGTAATTGTTGGGTTTTGATTCCCCGATGATACCCTCTATAAAATTTTGAGACTGTGAATGACTATTCAAAATATTATTTTGATATTTTGGTGCAGTCGGCACATCATTGCTGTAGTCAAGGAATCTGTGGGAATCGGAAAAGGTGTATGGTTCAAAACCTGTAAAATCGTCGAATAATAAATTTGTTGTGTAGTCGCATAGGCTTTTGTTATGATCTAAAAGATTAAAAAATTCACAATCCCCAGTTACAATATTTTTGCCCGCATACAAAGTATCTGTCCAAGGCATGGAGAACTGTGGAAGAGAAATCTGAGCGCAGCTACTATATTCATTTGGGGGAATGGTCTGAGCCGATGTTGTCGGTAAGTGTTCTTGATATGCAATTTTTTGCTGATGTGAAGCCAATTGAAAGCAAGGATCGTAACCTGTTTGTAGTTGCTCTGGCGAGGATTTTGTCGCGTCCATGGTCGGTAAACAGTAGTGAGGAGAGAAGTTGATTGTAGGAAATTCATGTAGATGAACTCCTCCGAGATAGGAACCATTCTGGTAGGATTGGTTGAGCATTATGTGATGATTGAAACTTTATTGTTCAGAGCTTGAAAGGCTGGCTCTGATCGTCCAAGTTGTATGATTTTGTGATGTGGTTATTGAGTTACTATATATACCTGTATGATAGATCTAGAATGATATAGTGATCGGAAGTTCCTGCTGAAGGGATAAGAAATCAGGGAGAAGTTGTTGAGCGGTAACTATATCCGTTTGATTCTTTCATCTTATACTTATCTCAAAGGGATGAGGTAAGTCAGCAGGGTTGCTTCTCGATTGATTTAGGAAAGGCATGCTGCAGGCGCGCGCTGACATTGCACAAGGGCAAGCTTGTAGCTTGCCAGGCGTTGCGCCATGTTTGTGGATTCGATGAGTAGTCGTGGTAATAGACCTATAGAGTGTCTACATTTGGATAAGATACTGTAGGTGATCATCTCTACCGTGCCGCACGAAGAGGGAGCCTAGACATAACCGAAAGACACATCAACAAGCGAGTGAGGTTGTACAGATATCTTGCCTAAGGGCTACCTGCATAAATTTCCGCTTCGATGCATTGCTAATGAAGGTAGTGTTATTTTGATAAGTACTGCCCCTGTAATTTAGCACGGTCATAGCTCTAATTATCCCTTTGACTATCATTCTAACCAATCACAATGTAGATTATGCTAGATAATGTGGCTTAATAATGAGTGGATACTCGTAAATTCGCTTAATTTCGAAATCCCGAGCCTGGATACTTCTTCATGTTGCACAACAGTGCAATTTCTATTTATTATTAGTCCGCCACCGTTATAGACTGGAAAACTGTGATCGACAGTGAAAATTGGCAGGTGTGTAATATCTGCAGCTTTGAAACAACTCCTAGCTTACAGTAGATGAAAGCTCATCGAAAGTAATGCTGGTTGTTCTTTGCATGACTTCTACCAAACTTCTGTGCATGGAACATGTAAAATTTTAGCCTCCATGCAGTTGTAGCAGTAAATAGTCAAAACTATCCCTGGAATAGACACGACATGACGGGGAACATCAGGGTGAGATCAATAAACATTGGTGTAAATATTTGCGTTAACTGTACTCAATGGCGTGGTTTATCGCGCTAAAACCAAAAGTCGTTATCGACTATAGACAAATCAAATATTTATTTTCGATAATAGACCTATTAATTTCGAATTAGAAAATTAAATTTATCTTAGTTTCATAAGCATACCTTCTTGTACTGAAAGTGAAGTTGGAGAATACCCTAGAAATTCATTAGCCTAGAATAACACTATCAAAGTACGCGAACACCAAAGTAGTCCATATATATCGATCATACCTTGTCAAAACTACTGCGAAAGCCACGGTCTCGTTTCGCAGAATAGTCCCATTCTTTATCCACAATCCGGAAAGCAATATCCTCGTAGGGGGGTCCAGCGATAAAGCGAATTAAGCAAGTGTCTTCTTCTCCAGCTGGTGCAAATGACATACCACGTTTACGTCCATTTTCGCGGATGATCTTAAAAGTTGGGGCTTTAGCTTTCTCGATGAGATCAGGGTAGAAGATGTTGAACTTGTACCCTTGGACAACTTTTGGAGGTGGATTATCATGGTCATAATGGGTTTGATTGTACTTGTTCCACTCATAGCCCATCTGTACGCGATTAAAATAGCGGGGTTTTCGTGGCCTGTACTTGTCCGCCCACTGCGGCTTGGCCACAGTAGTGATTGCTTCTTCTCCAGTGAAAATTTCCTCATCTTCATCAATGCCACGGGCAACTTCTCTGTCGTATAGAGCTGTAGTAGTTTGAGAGTAATCATCTGTGGTTGTTGTAGAACACTTCAGTGACGTCAAATTATTATTTCTTGCTGTAGAGGCTTTATTGTTGGGTAACAGCTTTTTTTCAGCTGAGAATATGTGGGATGTGGCATGTCCCATGTTGAGAATCTTCTCGCGCTCATCAATAATTTTTTTGATGAAGACATTTTCGTCAACAGAGTCTTCTTGAGTTCCTTTATTAGCCGGAAAAGAGGATGATTTTGGGTCATAGATCTTAGAATAAGGGAAAAGAGGTTGATGTTGAGTTTGTGAAACTTGAATATTGGCTTGTTTACCCCTATCTATAATTGGGATAGAACCTTTAAGGAGCATGAGGAGTTTGGTCCTGGCTTTTTCTGCATCTTCTTTGCGTTGCTTCTGAACGATAATAAATCTACTTTCCAACACAGATTGGTAAACATTCTTCAGTTTTGCCTTCGCTTTCCAAAGCAAGAGACTCCGAAGCATGTGATCCCAGTAATCGATATCGATCGGTTCATCGGATCGAAGTTTATCTCTAATCTTTTGTTCCAAATCTACTAGCTGGTCGTATGTTTTTGAGCCGAGTAACTTGTCAACGTCCGAGGCAACGGAACCGATCGCGCGTCCCTCGTGAACGGGATTAATCTTCTGGCGCCAGTCGTTACATATAATCTGCATTGTCTTCCAGTATTCTAGATTTGTCTTATTCTTTTCTAATGCCAGGTACGATGATATGTCTTTATCTAATTCAGCAAGTTGTGCGTCATCTAGATATTCAAATACACTCTGTGGATCGATGGCATCATGTTCAAATTCCTCCTCATCATCATCGAGTAAATCCCTATCCGGGTCTATAACTCGTAGAATAACAGCGAGCCAGTCAATAGCTTTAGCTCTTCCCTCCCTCACCCGTATCTCTGATTTCTTCTTGGCCTGCTTAAGTACAAAATTATCTTCTTCTAACACCCATTTCCGTGTTTGTTCATCTTCGATACTCTGGTTAATTCGCGATGTCCTATTTGATGAAAAGTTTTTTGACGGAAGATTTTGTCGAGTTGCTTTCGAAACACGGTTTGTGTCGTATCGTGGGGCCTTGATGTCCCCTTCCCGTGAGGACTGACCAGAAATCATAGCTCGTCTACCTGGATGCATCTTGAATTTCAGATAATTATTTATTGAGCGGTGCAACTTGAATTAACTTTGAGGTGAACTTGACTGGAAGTGGTCGCTAGTGTTGTGTGCATAGGTGGAGCATGATAAGCGCTACGATCTTTCCACGTACCAGCCTTGTGCAAGTTTAACGAGGTCAATTTGTGGAAACCCCATAAAAGGCCTCCCTACAACATCAACACATTCTACGTGCCACAGGAAACGAAATTTATAAAGAAGTAATACTAAGAGGTTGTATACTCTACTTCTTAACTATTTAGCCGTCTGTTGTAAAATGCTACAGAATATGTGTTCTTGTTCTCCTGGGTGTAGTGGTTTATAATTCCAGTATGTTCCCACAATGTACATGCATGAGATTGTAAGTGCTAAGGTTAGTTGGTTTAATCACACATCCACTTTACAGCTCCAGTTAGTAATGATACCTCGACGGATCATCATTCAAGGAAACAACCCGAATAGCAGTCATTTCACTGCTAGTTCCCCACTGTAGCAGACCAAGCGATAACCAATTGTGAGCGATAGAGTCAAAAATAATTGCAAACACTAAATTGTCACGGCGCTTATTTCTGAGCCCTTCGAGGCGTGCAAGGAAGTTAACATTGTTGTCTCCACTTTCTTGCTCATGTCGATCCCTTTCCCAGGACTAGGATCCAATAAGGTTCCGAACAATATGAACTTCAAAAACCCAGTGCCGGCGAAGACAAATTCCACAGCTTCCAGTGGTGCCGGTGTAATCGCTCAGTACGCCCTGCATATCTGGGATAGCCAAGAAGAATCACATCAAAATCAAAGTCGAAAGCAACCTCAAGCATATCCAAAGTCAACGACTTCTCATCAATGTCGGACCTATCATTCTCACGCGAGTCCTGCACCTCAATCTTACTACACCACCTCGCCTCAAATACCGATAATGGCGTTACTCCTATTGCGAAGGGGCATTTGCATCATAAAAAATCGGCCATCCCCCACTATTAAGTTACGACGCTGTGTATACCCACTAGGAAGAAACTAAGTAATAATATACAAAGCACAGGGTTGGATGGTGCAGTGGTACACCAGTCGGGCCGTTCTCCCAAGTAGTTTCTGGGTAGCTTGAACACCTACCCCATTTGAGACCGGAGAAAGTTGGTTCGAATCCTGTATAACCCACACACCACTCTCTCTCGCGGTGATATTGTTCTTGTGGGATGATGAAAGCAAACTCAGATATCCACAGGGTTTTCACGCTTTTCCCTGAGGTGGGTACGCACGGAAGAGGTTATACGCCGTAAGGGTTAACATCGAGTGGTATCTGCAAATGAAATCTGAGTGTGAGTGTTCTAAACGTCAAATTGTGTTATCCTACTTTAGGTACATATCTTCCGATAAAAACCTTTATGAGACTCAAGGTGCCAAATCAGGAATAAATGAATAATTGAATTGAATATACAAAGCTCGGGTCTTGGTATATGGAGGGACTGTTGCTCTAATGGGGCTTCACATCTTGAGGAAGGGCAGGCAGCTGGGACGTGGGACGAACGACTGAAGAAGTCACAAATGGGCATGCTGGGACGCATATTTTTCAATTGTTTTTGACTTACGAGTGTCTGTGGGCACAGAAGCAACGATTTCGGATAGTGCAACCGACACTCTAAAAACAGGCAACCATGGAAGGTGTTTTGGTCCGCCTCCTGGTCGTCATCTTCCCGAATTAAAGTCTGGGTAGCCTGGACACCTATCTCGCTCGAGAAAGGGAGGACTGTCAGGCAATATCTCGCGCGGCGGCTATATTAAAGATGACAAAGGCATGTTAGGACAGACAAAGGTTTTTCCTGTTTTTCCTGTTTTTCACTTTGGTGGATATTAACGGTTGAGGGAAGAGTGAACATCCCTAGCACCAAGGTCTCGAGTAGTATCAGCGAATGCAACCACTACATGAGTATGTGTGTGTGTGTGTTTTATTGTACTACTTGAATCTATGACTATCTAGCACATTGGGCTCCTCTCTGACCCAGGCCACACCTTGTACAGTGCTCCTATCCTCTTTTTAGTTACTTGAAAGATCATTGATAGATTCCCCTTGATGAATAGCCATTCAGCTCAGTATTTACCCGTGGAATTCCGCCACCTTTTCCACGGAACCTTCTACCCAAAAAAAATAAAAATGGTAGCAATGGAAACTGTATGCATGGGAAAAAGTCTTAAAAAACCTGCAGCCCCATCCAGGCGAGGCCTAGATATTGGGACCACATTAGTTACGCATATTCATCAATATCTCCATTCTTTGTAACAGTCGAGGCCGACTTGATCCAATCCGCCATCTCCGTATCGGGTGCTGGGTAGGCTCCGGAAACTTATCGGATGGCTTTTCCTCCATGATCAAGGTTTGGTGATGAGTAGGGCTCCAATCCCACCACCTGGTCTGATGGTGGTTAGCTTCATGATAATGGTGACAGGGGAATGTATTCAGAGATGAAGACGAGATAGACCGCGAAATCAGTAGGGAATCCTCGTCGAAGTGAGAACTTTGTTACTCAATCTAGGCTCTGCAGACTCTACAGTGAGAGCTGGAGGTTCGTAGGGGATACCACTGACAGGTGTTGAGAATATTCCCCCGCTACATGAGTAGTTCAAATGTCAAACTGAGTTATTGTCGTATATAATCGTCGAGGAAGGATTAGCCTTCTCCGTGTCATGCTCTATGAGTGCAGGGCTTGCCCCCGTCACGAATAAATATTTATTCACTCAAAAACTTAGTTACAGACTACAGATGTCAGTGCTCCGATGCTATGGTGAGTTGAAATTGTAGCAGTATACGTCCTACTAGATACTAGCAAGTAATTTTGAATATTTTGACTATTTTACGTATGATGTCCGTTTTAGACATCCAAGTGCTGAAACAAAGTGCCTCTATGAATGGGAGAAAATACCTGTATGTTTCGAATTTGTACGGAGATCAGGAAATATTTAGAGTTAATTCTAAACTCTTTACGAAGCAATTAAGGTTTGCCGTGCACATGCAGGGCTGTCTTTATCCTCTGGCTCCATAACCAGCAAATCTTGCGCCACGTTGTCCTCCATAGTCTGAGGCTGAGTAGTTGCTACAAGCTCCTTTCAATTTCGAATTTCGTTCAGAAATCAATTCATAGTTACTCAAGCGCTGGAAATACAAGTGCTCCGCGGTACTTGCCATGATAAATATTGAGTAATTTATCCCTTGAGACTAGAGAAGCAATAAAAAGGGGTCTAATGACACCAGATTAGTTTGTTCTTAAAACCCATTTCTACAACTACACCTGTCGGAAAAGCATTACTTTAGCTAGGATTGAAGATGTAGTACTGGCTTAGTCTTTTTTGATACTCAATAGCAATATTAACAATTTTTAAATCTGTATCATTGTCTTTTATCACTCCAAAACTGTGTCGGGCAAGTAGGTCCTTTTTTCCAACATACCAATGATATCTATCTAGTAGTATATCTATTCCTATGCCTCCTATACAGCTCCCCTTAGACAATATCACCACTCCAGGTCCTCATTCGATCTTACACCTAGAGGATCTATTTGACCTTAGTTATCTCCCCTCTCCAGCTAACGAAACGATGGCCATTTGCGGGTGTATGGAAGCTGGGGAAAATCACAAAAATCCTGTAGCCCCAAGCAGACGAGGCCTAGACATCAGGACCACATGAAGTGCGCATATTTATCTGTATCTCCATTTTTTGTAACAGTTGAGGCCGACTTAATCCAATTCTCCATCTCTGTATCGGGTGCTGGGTACGCTCAGGAAACTCATCGGATGGCATTTCCTCCATGCCAAAGTGTGGGTTATGAGTTGAGCTTCAATCCTACCACCTGGTCTGATAGTGTTTAGCTTCATCGTAACGGCGCAAGGAGGATGTCTTGAGAGATGGAGGCGGTACAGGCTGTGAAAGCAATTGTACCCCATAGTGGTGTTTATAATTGAAACCTACCGTATGAGTATCACTCCAATCAGAAAAGTTTTTTGACACGTACTTAAGGCACTGATTAAAAATCATAGCTACATATCTGGAAGAATGTCTCAAAAAGAAGGTTTATACATTTAATTATAGAGTCTAATTATTGTAGAGGTGGAGGCTAGTACGATAACCTCCTCTCCCCTTCTAAATCGTGTTCTAATTTTCTTATCGTATCACCTGAAAATTTTAGCTTCTACTTTTATATCCAATGTGTATTCTATTCTGATGCTATCGTCTCAAGCTTGAAGTCTTCGCAAGATCAAACTAATTCGATACAAGTTCTATTTCAGCTGTCAATCGGAATTGAACTAGTTATCCTTGATTTAGAATTCAATGAATATTATCTGCATCTTCAGAACTATTTATCAATGTCTTAATGGGGCTAGCCTTGGCTTCCATAAGTTTATTTTTTCCCCAACAACGGTTGAGGAAGTCTTTGACACACGATAGAGTTTTCAGACGGATACCTGTATCGACAATTTAGATTATCCTCCATTGAAATGTTTCTCAGTGTGGATGTGGTTGAAGTTTGATTCGCTCGCTTCCTATAAGCATGGATACTTCTCCGGGCATTCTTCAAATTTTAGTAACTTTCAAACGGCTGTTAATTGAGGCTCAACTTCGTTTGCGTTTTTCCTGGTCTAGCTGCATTCTACGCTCCAAAGTAGTGTGACATGATAACCTGAGATAGGGTCCATACGTATCCTAGGAAATAATTATCAAAGTGCTGAGAGGCAAAGCTGATGTCATTCGCGTCGGGATTTAAATTATTAATCCCAAACTACTTATCTAATCGGGGTTTGGTCGTAACTTCTTCCCAAGCTAAGCGTTGGAAGCGGGCCCATTATATCAACTGTGAAATTCTGATTATGACACAACAGAGCGAATCACACACAGCGGTGCTCAAACGACAGACCTTCATGCCAACTATACCCTAAATATTTCGACTTTTACGTTTCCCAGGCTAGGTTGCACCCTCGAGGCTATTAGAGTCCTCATTTATGGTACCCCAAGGCTGATCAACAACTTGAATTACCTCCCAACGAGCCTCACAGGTAACTTTGAGGGCTTGCTCTAACATATAATTCTATCATGACCTGTGGGTGGATATACGGCGCACGATCCTCCAGCGGTGTCAAAGCGAAACAGACACCTCTCCCGCATCAAACAACTGCACTTTTAGAAAGAGGTACATCAGTGTTCAAAACGGATGGTGAGAGGGTAATTCGCGACAAACTGAGCGGAAGCGCTCATTGTAAACCCCCAGCCACTCTTCTGTAGGCTTCACAAGCCGCCAGTTATGATCGAAGGCCCGTAAGAATAAGACCTTGACATAACCCGATTATAGCAGATAAAATGAGAAGAAGTCGAGGGACAGCCTTCCGATCAAATGGAGCCGCAATACCCGATTCTCTCTCTCTCATACGTTCCTTCAACCTCGAAACAAATCCCACGCGGCCAGTACGCCCATCTCCCCTAACGGCTTCCACCATTCCAGATATGCCACTTGATCTAGTTGATCGTATTAGATCTTTTCCTCTTTTCTTATCAGCGCCAGATACGTTTTTGACAGCTATTGGGAAACATTTACGACCGCAGGTCCATCCACCACACGATCATATATTGGCTGAGGGAGATGAGGCAAAAGCGATGTACTGGCTTGTGCGTGGTGCTGTCGCTGTTACTTCTAGAGATGGAGAGGCGACATATGCAGAACTAAAACCGGGAGCCTTCTTCGGAGAAATTGGAGTAATTATGGATGTTCCACGAACTGCTACTATAATCGCTAGGACGAAGTGCTTATTACTCGTATTAAAGAAGGAAAATCTTAGAGCTGAGCTACCCAACTTCCCTGACATGGAAAGAGCAATCATTGAAGAGGCGCAGGAAAGATTAACAATTCTTAACAAAAAGCGGATGGAGAGCGGATTTGGTCCCAAACTTGTCAGCACACTACCATCAAGAGGAGTTAAAACACGAGAATCTGTACCTGGAGAAGTTTCGACTGGAGATATCGGTGTAATCGAAAAAGGACTAGTTATTAATACGAAAAAACGAAAATCACCTGGCCCACAAGCTATTGAAGACCCTACAGCTGGAAGTGCGCTTGGAAGTGGCTTTGTAAACATAAGAAGAACTTTGAAGGAGCTACCTTTATTCTCAAATCTCCCACCAGACATTCTACACTTGCTGGGTCTAAGTGCACAGCCAAAAACATACCCACCATTTACCGATATCCTTCTGCAAGGCTCCCAAGGCAATGAGATATACTTCATTGTAAGAGGCGAAGCTGAGGTGCTACATGAAAATTTAAATAAGATTAATGACAATGGCTCTTATCTCCGGCCCAGATTAAAGAAAGGGCAATACTTTGGGGAAGTAACGAGTTTATCTTTGGCTTCTAAGAGGACTGCTACAGTTAGAGCCATTACCACTGTGGAATGTCTAATAATCAGTGGCGAAGTCCTCGAGGAGCTTTGGCGTCGGTGCCCTCCGGATGTAAGACGACAAGTTGAAAAAACAGCAATTTCTCGGATTGGGCGACAGGATGAGGATACATTTATGTCAGAGGCTGGCCCAATAGAAACGATAAATGTGCATTCAGATCAAACAAAGAACACAGATTGTAAATCAACCTTAGCGGAAGCAGCATTCATCCCATGGAAACCGCCAAGTCGTCATATATCTAGTCGAGCTGACAATGTAGGTGCAAAAGAGCCAGCTGTGGAACCGTTTGACCCAGACCCTTTTCTCAGCGTGAATATAGATAATATGAAAACCCGAACAAGGAGAGGCTCATGGGCACCTCCAACGCACGAGAGTATTTTAACACAAATTAAACCTATCATGAGATCAAAGTCGCAAAATCCCACGCCGATAAAACCATCACACCCATCTACACCCTATTGTCCTAAGAGGCCTAAAACAGACCAACGCTTGTCCCATTGCGGGACCCTACCTGATAGCATTCTCATCACAATTTTTTCGCAACTAGATATTTACCAGCTAATGCGCTTACGCTTGATCTCTTCGCATTGGCTAAACTTAATTACTAACTCTCCCCTTCTCTGTCACAATTTAGATCTCTCTCTTTTCAATCGATATGTAACCAACACAGTTCTTATTCAATCTATAATACCTTTCATCGGTGCCCGCGTTAAGAGAGTTGATATATCTAACTGCTACCATATTACCGACGAGGGGTTCATAGCCCTTTCGGCACGTTGTGGCGCTGAGGCCACGGTGTGGAAGATGAAATCAGTCTGGGATATATCAGCCAATTCTATTTTGGAAATGGCAAATAATGCCAAAGATCTCGAGGAAATAGATCTTTCTAATTGCAGAAAAGTTTCTGATAATCTACTCGCTCGTATTGTGGGCTGGATTGTCTTTGATTCTACTCCTACTCCGCCGTCAAAATCTCACAGTCTAGAACATGCCACGAAGGCATCGCTGACGGTTCAGTCGTCGCCTGTATGCACTGTATTTGGATGTCCTAAACTAAAAAGCTTGACTTTGTCGTATTGTAAGCATGTTACAGATCGTTCGATGGCCCATTTAGCTGTTCACGCCCACAGTAGACTTGAAAGCATTGATCTCACTAGATGTACAACTATTACAGATGCTGGCTTCCAGCACTGGAGTGTTTATCGATTTGATAAGCTGCGGAGATTAATACTGGCAGATTGTACCTACTTAACAGATAATGCTGTCGTTTACCTTTGCAACGCTGCTAGAGAGCTGCGGGAGTTAGACTTGGTACGTGTTTATTACACCATTCTGCACGATTTCTGGTGAAGATTATTTAGCTTACAAAATTTCTAGTCCTTCTGTTGCGCTCTTTCAGACACAGCCACTGAGGTTCTTTCGCTTGGCTGTCCTCATCTTTCTAGACTTAAATTATCATTCTGTGGTAGCGCTGTTTCTGACTCATCAATGCGCTCCATCGCCTTACATCTCCTAGAACTAAAGTATCTCTCCGTTCGGGGCTGTGTACGCGTCACTGGTATTGGGGTTGAGGCTATAGTTGAAGGTTGTGGGATGCTCGAATTATTAGATGTCAGTCAGTGTAAGAACTTACAGCCTTGGCTTGACAATGGTGGGGAGGAGAGGGCAAAAAGTCGCTGGAGAAGTACAGGCGGCGGCAAGCCAGTGTTCCAGACATTAAAGGGTAATTGCAGTGCCAAAGGGGATGCATTGAGTTTGAGATGAATTATGGAGTAAAAATCTATGGTATGTAGGTTTAGTAAGGGATGGATCGGGGTTCAATCAATACTTTTAATACCATGGGCTGCAGTTGGATGTGTGTACTTCAGCATACCAAAATATACAATCTAAATTACTATTATCATGTCGGCAACAAAGAACCAGACACAGAGATGTACATGTTACACTCACGGCGATTTCTCCTATCAGCCTGGGAACGTGAAAAACCCTCACGTATAAGCTTGAGCCGCGACCAAGAGTCAGACGATCTGAATTCCATGGCTTGTAGGACTAAAAGGTATACAGTAGAAATTTTGGACTACTAGCTAGTCGGTAAAGATTATACAGTCGCACAGAGTTCAATAGAATCTGGTCAACACCGATATGCAATTCGCGAACAGATATCGGCTTCTCTGTTGAACCAACGGTGATCGCTGCGCATAGGCCCAAGTTATTCCAGCCAGAATGACGTCGGCTCTGAGAACCTCGAGCCAGGATGCGGAAACCTTCCGTGGGTCTCTTGCGTTGTCCACGATGTGGAACATGTGATGCAAAGGAAGAAGAAAGCTGTTCCTGTCACTTTGTACGTACAGGGAGCACTCGACGCTGTACTCCACGGACGGTTGATTTAAAGGATGAACAAGATTGGGTTGCCGAAATTAGCCATCACTTGAAAAAAATTTTCCTACAAGAACGAACCGCCTGCGTAAGACAAGAAGGAGTGACAGACCCGGTATTTCTAGAATCCGGACTACCATATTGGTCGTCGTTATTCCCAACTCTCTTCCTCCTTTACATGGCTGAAGTTGTGGGGGGGTAGTACTTGGAGATTTGGCTACGCAAATGTTGCTATCCTCAGCATAGGCTCAATCCCAAACGAAGCTGTAGTAGCTGTGCAGAGAGAATTTGACGCAGTCCTCGGGTTGGCTGCTGATAACGCCGTCTCTTTTGGCCCAGACAAGGCCGAAGTAGTCTATTTCCTCGGCCCTAGATCCAGGGGATACGAACTTCCGACTATAAGGGTTGGCACTTTCGATGTACAAGCATCTGACGACATCTAATGGCTCGGGGTAAACCTTGATCGCGGCCTAACCTTTGAAACCCACATCACTAAGTGGACCAGCAAAGCAATGCGGCTATTACAAAACTTCTGACGACTCACTCAGTGCACTCAAGGGCTAAGGCCCGACCTACTCACCATAATCATTTGCACGGAAGTTCTGCTAATCGCGTTGCACGCAGCTGAATCCTGGTACCCGGGGCCATCCAGAGAAACATATCGGGGTATCGCGCGAAATCCCTTTAGGAGACAGTGTAAAGTCATCGACCAAATTCCTGCCTTCGGAATCCGCATGGCTCTACCAACCTGGCGCACCATGCCTATCACAGCTTTGGGAAGAGAAACTGGCATTTCACTAGCACACATTCTGCTCAAGGAACGCAGGCTCGAGACTGCCGCACGAATCCAAAGACTAGATGATGACCCTCGCCTCATCTTTACGGAAAAATAGCGAACTAGCCAGGCAATTGTTGACGGACTGGTGGCACTCAAATCGCTCCAAACATTACGCCGGCCTCGAACCGAACATGGGGGCTTTTTAGCATATCATCGCCGCTTCAACTACATTACCGCCACACTTTATTGCGAGTGCGGGAGGGAAAAATCAATTGGTCACCTCGTCCAGTATCGGAAAGCACTGGCAATATGGCGGCTGAAAAGCGGTAAGAGAAGGGCGCTAGCTCTAGGAACAATGCTCGGATCAAATGAATGGTAGCTGTCTAGAGGCTACGTCCAGGAGAGCGGTCTATACGCGGAGGCTGGTCGGGGTATGGCAGGGATACCTGTGATTCGGAGGTAACAGATCGAAAGCCTAGGTGATTTGGCATGGAAAAAGGAATTGGAATCGAGGCCAGGGCGTGTGGTGGCTGAGGCAGAACGATGGAAGGGAGATTTTATCAGTTCTTCTTTTGTAATGCGGGATTTTGCGTGGAAGGTTTGTTTGGTTTTGATCTTCGGCTGCTTGAATGGTTATGATTCTACACATTGATACGTTTCGGCATGGTCCTGATCAGTTAGGTGGGACGAATCATTCTTGTACTTTACGGTAGTTAACCTGATCCGGCCCGGCCCCATCCATGCTCAAGCTCCAGCAGGCGTGCGGTGGGTCTCATTTACCTAGCACGTTAATGAACAAAACAAAACGAATAAAACGATCCTTGTGTTATATATAGGAGGGTTGGATTGTGCAGTGGTACACCATCCGGGCCGTTCTCCCTAGTAGTTTCTGGGTAGCTTGAACAACTACCCCATTTGAGACCGGAGAAAGTTGGTTCGAATCCTGTATAACCTACACACCACTCTCTCTCGCGGTGATATTGTTCTTGTGGGATGATGAAAGCAAACTCAGATATCCACAGGGTTTTCACGCTTTTCCCTGAGGTGGGTACGCACGGAAGAGGTTATACGCCGTAAGGGTTAACATCGAGTGGTATCTGCAAATGAAATCTGAGTGTGAGTGTTCTAAATGTCGGACTGAGTCATCCTACTTAAAGCAAATATCTTCCGATAAAGCCTGCATGGGCCTCAAGGCGCCAAATCAGGAAAAATGAATCAAATATATATATAGGCAGTCCCATCCCAGTATGAAAAGATAAGCAATTAATAATGAGAAATTTAAACAATCTTTAGACTATTCACACTTAAGAATATTTGGGGATATTCAAAAGTTCGTTCACCGACCAAAGCTCTGAGAGTAGAGCTCACGAACTATATTCCTGTTGAAGACTCATAAACCTCCTTTTACACCTTTATCTAGCGGTACTCAATTCCTCTCTAGCATAGGCTTTGAACACCTATTTACGCGACTGTAATACCTCTTACCCTCCAATTGTCTAAAAGTGTACCTATGAAGAAGTCAGACCTGCGATCCATGATCATGATCGTGATCGTATCATCAGTTATGTATACGTACTCAAATGAGAATATTCCACTTACAAACCTAATGCGAAAATGAAGATGAAATTTGGAGAGACACCTTGAAGACCATACTTCTGTAGCTGGATCTGGACCCTCTCGCGCAACAATGTTTCGGCAATCTAATCACCAGACACTAGAGCGTGCAACGACTAGAATCGAGAAACGCTGCGAGTTTCGAGGTAGGTGAAAACTGTAAGAGCTTACGCGCTTGGTTGTCGAAACTGCGGAGGAAAATTGCAACAGCGTGTGTAAATACGCTTCTTGTTATGTTTTCATGTTCAAACGATGAAAATATTACTATTATTACAATACGATATACGCGCGTAAATAAAGGGCAATAAATAGATTCAAGAAAATGATACAATAACATTCACATGTATTTATTCTATCTATCTATTCTAATCCTCTTGGTGTCATGTAAGAATGCCAAGAGAAAATTACGTAAGTTGCACTACTGCTACCGTAGGTTAATACATATTCCACCAATTACTAAAGTGCACATGACTGCTGTTCCAACACTTACGGTACTCTGGATAGTATAGGGATAATATCTCAACGTCTACCAGCGGTGTCCCCTACGAATTTCCAACTCTCACTATAGAGTTTGCAGAGCCGATATTGAGTAACACCTTCGTCCTCGCTTCGATGAGGATTTCCAACCGCTTTCACGGTCTGTATCGTCTTCATCTCTCAACACAACCCTATATCACCACTATCAGATCAGATGGTAGGGTCGAAGCCCTACTCATCACCCACCCCTGATCATGGAGGAAAAGCCATCCGATGAGTTTCCGGAGCGTACCCAGCACCCGATACGGAGATGGTGGATTGGAATAAGATGACCTCTAATGTTACAAAGAATGGAGATATTGATGAATATGCGTAACTCATGTGGTCCCAATATCTAGGCCTCGCCTGGATGGGGCTGCAGGTTTTTTAAGACTTTTTCCCATGCACACAGTTTCCATTGCTACCATTTTTATTTTTTTTGGGTAGAAGGTTCCGTGGAAAAGGTGGCGGAATTCCACGGGTAAATACTGAGCTGAATGGCTATTCATCAAGGGGAATCTATCAATGATCTTTCAAGTAACTAAAAAGAGGATAGGAGCACTGTACAAGGTGTGGCCTGGGTCAGAGAGGAGCCCAATGTGCTAGATAGTCATAGATTCAAGTAGTACAATAAAACACACACACACACATACTCATGTAGTGGTTGCATTCGCTGATACTACTCGAGACCTTGGTGCTAGGGATGTTCACTCTTCCCTCAACCGTTAATATCCACCAAAGTGAAAAACAGGAAAAACAGGAAAAACCTTTGTCTGTCCTAACATGCCTTTGTCATCTTTAATATAGCCGCCGCGCGAGATATTGCCTGACAGTCCTCCCTTTCTCGAGCGAGATAGGTGTCCAGGCTACCCAGACTTTAATTCGGGAAGATGACGACCAGGAGGCGGACCAAAACACCTTCCATGGTTGCCTGTTTTTAGAGTGTCGGTTGCACTATCCGAAATCGTTGCTTCTGTGCCCACAGACACTCGTAAGTCAAAAACAATTGAAAAATATGCGTCCCAGCATGCCCATTTGTGACTTCTTCAGTCGTTCGTCCCACGTCCCAGCTGCCTGCCCTTCCTCAAGATGTGAAGCCCCATTAGAGCAACAGTCCCTCCATATACCAAGACCCGAGCTTTTTATATTATTACTTGGTTTCCTCCTCGTGGGTGTACATAGCATCGTAACTTTATGGTAGGAGATGGTCGGTTCTTTGATGAGGCAAGTTTCTGTTTGCGATTAGTGTAACGCATTTGTCGGTAGTTGAGGCGATGTGGTGTAGGAAGATTGAGCTGGAGGACTCGCGTGAGAAAAATAGGTTTAACAGTGGACGAGATGTTGACGATTTTAGATATACTTGAGATTGCTTTCGACTCCAACTCGGATGTGATTCTTCTTGGCCAACCCAGATTTGCACATCATACTGAGCGATTACACTGGCACAGCTGGGAGGTAAAGAGTTCGTCTTTGCCGGCACAGGGATACCTGTTTGATGTAATTTAAATTTGTATAGAAATCTAAATCAAAGCATAGATGAGTCATCTATTATTACGCTTGCTAAAGGAAGCACTATGGGTAGCTATATCTCTTCGCAGTATTCCTCCTGCTAATAATAGGATAGTTAGGATCTGGGCAGGATCGTGACGGTTGGAACAGCCCGATTTGACTGTAGAAATCTTAGAAGCAAGATTTTGAAGAGGCAATGAGCCAATCGATTGAACATAAGCTCTGCGTGAAAATGACAACTCTTGATGTCGCGAGTCGAGAGATGAAAATTTAGTCATTTTGAGTCAAATAGAAACTCCACGGTATCTAAGGCGAATCGGAAATCGGCCTGCCGCAAATATCCGAGACAGGGATCTGACTTGGGTCGCGTGGAAGGTGCAGCGCGCACATGTAAGCTGCTGACTTTGCACTCAGAAATAGAACACTCGTCCTAGTGGATATCCCTAGTCATTCAACTGTGCCGCGCTAGTTGATTGGCAGTCTCAGCAGCACTGCCACGCGGATTAAGCAGGTGTTATCAAATTCCCCGGCAGTTGGCAACGTCAATTATCTCAACGACTCACGAGTCTACAGTCCGTTTGGTGCTACGCTAAAATGTTATCAATCAACCCGCCTGACCGCATCCGATTTATCAACTCCCGCAGTCGTATCACTGTGTTGACGCCTGGATATTGTAAATCGGCAACTTTTCGCCATCTACAAGACGCTACCAAGTCACACTCCAGGACCCTCCTAAAATTGAGGCCTCTTTACCAGTTTGCAAGTACATCATGTCGTCACGTTGTTCTCAGCACTTGCGTACGAAGATCGCGAAAAAGGGTGATAGGCAATCAGAAGACTTCAAATCCCAAAATTTCTCATCAATTCAGCCTGATCAGGCTGACATACTTCCAAGACATGTAACGCTGGATTTAATAAGGGGTCTTTACATGAAAGAATTCAAACGATATTATGGTACTGAATCAGTCACAGTCCTTAGTGCCGCCATAATCGAACGCTTCGTCTCACTACAGATGCAAGTAGATTCAAAAGCATCAAAGAAACTTTCAAAGAAAAGACTATCAAGAAAAATCGTCACCCATCATGGCCAAAAGACTGAGCCAAGACCAAAGATTCAGGAATGGATGATGAATGATAATTCGCTAAAGTTGCCCTCACGCTTTGTGGAAGTTGTTCGGGACGCACAGTTTAGGGATATAACGGAGCCATTATCACGCGATGATCTGGTGACCAAAATTTTAAAGACGAGCAATAAACATCACTCCAATGAAAATATTACCAAATGTAGTAAAATTCGGTCTCTACACGCACAACACAACTGGAGAAAAGTCAGACTAATTATGCGCCGAGCTGTAGGCAATGAAGACTCTAGCATCAACCAGTTTCAAAAGAGGATCAGCAGCACAGCTGCTAAAATGTACCCCGAGCGGTCCCATAAAAAGATGGCGCCAAAGAAAGAGGTACGGAAGATGGGTAGGATAATGGACCTTCGTTACTTTCTTGAAATGATTGACATCAAACATCGATACGGTCCAAACCTTCGAATCTACCATGAAGAATGGAAAAAGAGTGAAACACGCGAAAACTTCTTTTATTGGTTGGACCACGGCGAAGGACTACACATTGATTTTCAAGTCTGCTCGCGCGCAAAACTTGAGCGAGAACGCGTGCGCTATTTGACAACAGAAGAGCGTCGTAAATATCTCGTTATCATTGATGGAGATGGCCGACTATGTTGGGCCAAAAATGGTACCCCGATAGATACCTCTGAGAATTATCAAGATTCTATCCATGGCATTATACCTATCACTGATTCCATCCTATGTCCTGAATTTTCCGAGATAGAATCTTTATCCAAAATACAAAAACAGCCTAAAGCTTATTACACCACCAATAATTACTCCGCTTCCTCTTCAATTTCCTCAGTATCATGTTCTGATCTGAAATATGGATGTAAGGTTGCTTACGATACTATTGGAGTGCCTCCTGCGCCTGAAGATACACACGATGTGAAGAGAATCCACCATGTCAGCAAGGCAACAATAATTGATCGGCTTTTGCGTGGTAGTGTCCAAAAAAATACATGGATCTTCGTCGTAGACAGTAGCTTTCGGCTATATGTGGGCATCAAACAAAGTGGTATTTTTCAGCATAGCAGTTTCTCGCGTGGGTGCAGAATTAGTGCTGCGGGCGGAATAAAAATAAAGAATGGGCGCTTAACCTCGCTAAGTCCTCTAAGTGGGCACTATCGACCACCGGGTGAGTTAAGATCATTTTCAGTCGAAATGTTCCAAGCGTGCCTACCGATTATAATCATTTCACAAATGCTAATCTTGCTATCTACTAGTTGCTAACTTTCGCGCCTTTGTCCAAGCCCTTCAAGAGGCTGGTGCTGACGTTTCTCATCTTTCTATCTCACGCGCCTATACCATTCTAGTTGGTTTTGAGACCTATAAGAAAACACGTCAAACGGCAAAGCATTATCTAGATCAGATTTCCATGAAACGAAATAAGCCGGCAACTTTACAGATTTCTACAAAGAGGGAAAAGTGCCAGCGATGAAATTCAAAGTCTTATGAGCGTAAGAAGCGACATCTACATATGAATAGCTTCTGATGCTTAAAATTCCATATTAGTGAAGATGCCTTAATTACTCTATTCCTTGATAAACCCATCACATGAACGAATCGTCGATGCTAATTTGAAAGTACAGTCACAATTACTGTGCTCTTGATTAATTCTCGAATTATTTATACCATACCTAAAGAGAAATTCTTAATAAACGCAATAGTGAATCTGATCCTATCTATGGCCATATCTCTCGCTATATTGATAATAAAGTCGCCATGTACTCACTGTTTGCAACCCATTTTGAGCCGAAACTTTATAACAGCTGTGACAACTAGTCCAAACGTTCTGGCTATCTTGCCAAGAAAATATTGAGAAATTCATTAAATTTCAGTCAGAATACCGCTGCGTATGTCAATCAAAAAAAATGTAATTTTACATCCTATTTGATTCTATGACTATTGAAAAAAAAATATGTAAGAAACCTATGAATTTCAAAAAAAACATTGGAAAGATTGTCGGATGAAGTTGTGCAATTTCCACAAGCTCTAATTAGACCTCCACAATAGGGTGAATCACTAGCACTAGTGGAGCTGATCTTGTAACCAGAACATGTACAGTATGAACATGGCTTATGTATGATATAGATTTTCGTATAATTTTCACAAGGATTAGGAAAATGTATCATATTAGCATATTATATTTCTATCTTTTCTAGTACATAAATCTTTCTAGTCGGAGTGGGAAAAGGTAAGGTAATAGTGAAGTATGGAAATGCACGCAATAAGGCATAGTCTACAGTCTATTCTCCTTTACGCAAAGACTCTTCAATGATATTCTCATTCTACTCGCTTCGATTCCCACTTGAAAACTCGTGCCCTGCACGCAGCTACACTCATCGAGAGAACCATTATCCGCCCATATCACCATTTCTTATTGGCTCACTAGTTTTCGTTAACAAGAAATCCTAAAACGAGGATCGCAATATGCCATATTCATCTCATTAAAATTACTGTCGGAAAACTATGTTGGGTATTTATATCACAAGCTTATTATATCAGTAATAGTTATTGTGGGTGTAACGGCTAGTGAGCCGATAATTGTCCTGTATCACGTGATTAACATCACGTGACTCGACAATTCTGTGAAAGGCGAAACTTCACTCTAGTTTATTCTGAACATGACTAGAGGATTCTAGCAACTGGCATCGAGACTGTGAACTGGTATCAGGGAAACATAACAGAGGCTAGTATCAGACAGGAAGGAATATTCTAGATAGCCCAATGAGTGTATAAATAGTTGAGTTAGGACACACAATTTGTGGTATAGAAAATAATAAACAACCTTCGTATATTTGATCGCCCAAGCATCTATACCTCGAACTGTGACAGTGGGTTGACATAGATCTTCATTCGAAAGATCAAACTCAACACCTATCGGAGTTGTCCCCTACTAACCTCCAGCTATCACTGTAGAGGCTGTAGAGCTGAGTTTGAGTAATAAGGTCCTCACATAGATGAGGATTCCCAATCGTTTTTGCGGTCTGTATCGTCTTCATCTCTCAACACATCCTCCTATCAACACGATCATATAGCTAACCACTATCGGATCGGTAGGTGGCTCGATTACACGGGTAAATACTAAGCTTAATGTCTATTCGTTACAGACAATTTTAACAGTTCCGATAAATAAAGCTTGGGCGTTCATATGTCGACAGGTAAGTTTATTTACTAACTGAAGAACAAAACTACTGATACACTCAACGCCCTATTTATATACATGATTCCAATATTTCAAACACTAGTCTCTGTCCTCTAGTCCGGCTCCCACTATTAAAGTGTGGGCTAGTTACCAACGATGTTTGGTGCACGGGCAGTACCAGACTTTCAATATCAGCGTATCTTAGCGCTGAGGTAATGAGTATGCATGTGATGAATAGCACAGACTACAGGCAATCTACCGGCTTACTAGCCGCCACAACAATATATCAATGATCTTGCAAGTAACAAGAGAGGCAAGTAGCACTGTGGAGGGCAAGACTAAACACCTGTACGCAGTGTCCTCTACGAACCTGGGTGTGAAATATTGTACTAGAGCCAAGTTCAGTCAAATTCGGCCACCTTTTCCACGGAACCTTCTACCCAGAAAATAAAATGGTAGCAATGGAAACTGCGTGCGCGGGAAAAAGTCTCAAAAAACCTGAAGCCCTAGCCAGGTGAAGCCTAGACACCGGGACCACATGAGGTGCGTATATTCATCTATATCTGTTGTGGTTATGAGCTTTGCGGAAGTCACATTGCGGAGTGATGAGGAGTGGATGATGTTATAATTTGTGGTTGACAGTGAGTAGCCTCATACAATACTATGGTGTAGGTATATGGACAGAAAGTATAAGACTAAACCTGTATCCATTTATTGTAGGTACATCTACGAAACTATATAAGTGCTCGCCTAACCAGTACACTAGTGATGTCTGCTGTGGCCTTGAGCCACACGCGATGCCCTAGCCCCGACTACCTCGTTGTCTCATATCATAACAATATCTCCCTTCTTTGTAACAGTCGAGGCCGACTTGATCCAATCCGCCATCTCCGTATCGGGTGCTGAGTACGCTCCGGAAACTTATCGGATGGCTTTTCCTCCATGATCAAGGTTTGGTGATGATTAGGGCTCCGACCCTACCATCTGATCTGATGGTGGTTAGCTTCATGATAATGGTGACAGGGGAATGTATTCAGAGATGAAGATGAGATTGACCGCGAAAGCAGCAGGGAATCCTCGTCAAATTGAGGACTTTTTCACTCAATCTCGGCTCTGAAGATTCTACAGTGAGGGCTTGAAGTTCGTAGGGGACACCACTGACAGATGTTGAGAATAATCACCCACAGCTACAACGCAATACCGTGTCCCACGTATCTTTCTCAAGAGAAACTCAGAACAAGAGATGTGTTCACGTGTGTCTCGACAAGGTGGTCTACTTGATAGCACGAATTACTATAAACCCAACAATACTCTTGTTTTGTTGAAGATCCGCGAAGCTGGAGATTAGTTCAGTTTAATCGCAGCAGGCAGTCAAGGCCGTGGGAAATAAGCCTCAAGGAATCGTTATTACCCCGACACCCGAACCTGACAAGGACACAGAGAAGTCTAGCGACGCAAATTCAAGCGCGCCAATGGCGCTCAACTCATATTTACATCAGAAAGGTAGGCGGACTCTACAGCCCATGGTGTCCATGTGCTTACCAGCCGCGAATCCCCAAGCACATGATTCTCTGCTGCCCTCAATGGTTAAATGGCAGCGGGGGGTTTTGGAGCCAAGCCAAGGATCGGCCTCACAAAGCTATGATAAACAATCTCGGCGACATCACGGATGGATAGAGCTATTCCAGACGAAAAAAGGCGGTTGTAATGCTGCGGAGAGAAAGAAACAGGGCAAACATTCCTTGGACTCGTTAGAGAAGATATGGCTGGCTCACATAATTGCACCAACGTCCAACTGCGCTTCCTGAAGAGAAAATGTGAAAATAAAAGACAACAGACTGAAAGGTTTGGGGCGTTTTCACCAGAAGGTTTCCTCCCATGTGTATTTTACGGTTCATAGATACCTGCATGGGCCGATAGGGCGCCAAATCAGGTCAATGAGACCAAACCAAAAACTCTTGTTTACTACCCTGTTCAGTTCCTATTCATAGATTCCTCAGGACGGATTTATGATTAAATAATGTTGGTTTTGGTAGACTGTGAAATTACGTGTATTTGGGGCTTTATCGGTCATGCGATTATGTTATATAATAAGGAAGTGGCACTCTGTTCAGGAATTTCTCTTTTGAGCGGAAAATTACAAGATCCAAAAACACAACCGCATAAATTGGAGGGCGAAGGCTAAACATCTGTCAGTGGTGCCCTCTACGAACCTGGGAGCGAAATATTCTCTCAGAGACGAGATTCAGTCACGAAAAAGGGTAAATTTGAGAGTTTCGTCGAGTTGGTGATCGGGAGGAGTGGTGTTGGCTCATTTTTGGTCGAAAATCAGACGTGCAGAGATTCCGCGACTTCACAACTCAACGAAATCAACCATGTACATCCCAGATACGAACCGCAGACAGGCTATAACCTGTCTGATGTTCGTATTACAAAAACCGACACCTTCATGATCTTTTTTTCTTTTTCTCTGGAAAATCATCCCCAGCCAAACTCATCTCGTGGCCCTCTCCACAGCCGTCTCACCACCTACCGAGGTAATCTCATACCTCCAGAAGCCAGATAGCCAACAAAGAAGCAAGAGGATGTCTGACCCTACGCAACTGCCAGTCGCTGTAAAGGTACGGTCGAAATACCGGCCTTAGATGCGTTCTCACCTCGGCCAAGGGCACCAACAACTCGACCTGCGACGAATCGCCTCGGACGAAATACGTACGACATTTCGCCGGCACACCAACTAGAGCGTTCGGCAAAGGCTGGGGCATCGGTGCCTCGGTCTTGAGCTCTCAGTCGCGTTTTCGACCTCCACGGTTAGGGGTACGGCAGCGACGGGGAAAGGCCGGAGGGGTAGACATTCTACAAAGTTTCTGGGATGACAAGATCGGCTGAAGGACAGAGGGATGCTGTATGAAGGAACCAAAAGGGAATATAAACTGAGGAGGCCTCCAGTGAAGAAAACGACCCCTAGATGAGATGAGGAGATGCTGAGATGAGCCAAAGCTGGGAATGAATGAAAGGGAAAGATCACAGATGGCGAAGGTGTCAAGGGCTCGGGCGCGTGGTGGCCGAGGCTGAGGAGGAATTTGCGCCTCGGCGCGCCAAAAGCGGGTTCTCTGGACGGTTGGACTTGACATGATTCAACTCATGGGTGAAGTCTGAGGTGGTCCGGTCATTTAGGTGGGACGAGGTAGATGTACTTAATGGTAGTTAACCTGATCCAGCCCGGCCCCACTCGTGCTTAAGCTCCAGCAGGAGTGCAATGGGAATCACTTTACCTAGCACGTAAATGAATAAAACAAAACTACCGCAGAAATGTGAGATACAATTTAAGTTCTTTGCACCGTGGTTCAGTATCCCGTCAGCTCGATGCTACCATACCCGAAGGGTCTGAGTAAATTGATCTACGACCACCAGATTAATTGTCAACACCTCTTTCCCAATTGACTTTTCGATGGGTTCAAACTACATGAGAAGTCAATATTGCAAGACCGCTAGCTTAGTTCACATTTTATTGCCTTAAGATAGCCTGCCCAATGAACCGTAGCAAATCAGGCTGGTGCTCATTACTTCATGTTCTCATACCAGTGGACTAGCAGAGATGTATCGAGAAATGTTGGAAATCTAGACTGAGTATATCTGAAGGTTTAGATTTCCAAGTACGATCATCAAGATCAATTCAATTAATCCGATTGCATATGGTTAAGCCTAGCTGAGTGACATGAGGTTCAGTGGTATCTGACATGCAGTGGCTAGGAAATGCTTCTTTGCGATAGTTGACTGGCTGCTTGTTGCTAGATCATTGGTAGTTTGGGATCACTAATGACTCGAGCATCTATATTTAACGATAGACTCATTTGTAAATGTTAAACTAAGTTGACGAAATATTACATATTATTAATTCATCGTGAGAAGAGAGTTCTAACTACTATACAGCTATCAATAAGTTCTTGTCCGAAATTGTACACTTGTTCTTCGAGATATTTCCTCCTAGAAATCCTTGACAATTTCTAACAAGAAAGCTGACATTAGAAGGAACGGATCGATCAGTTTCGCCTTAGCTTTAGATGAAATACAGCTATCAATTCAGTTTGGGCAAATACAGTGCTATGTGTAAGCATAGCTACTTAGCTCCACCGCCTCGATATTCAGATGGCAGAGATATGTCCTGACTAAAACCTAACTTGCCATCATTTTGTATTATATTAACTATGCTATACAGGAGCATGACGATGAATACTCCTGGGAAAGTTATGCTCACAGTAGGTTTCGTTAATCGCAATCGCGTGTGTTCTCGTGATGTGTAAGACTTGTTTCTATCTTCTCGTATGAAAGAAACTTGGTTGCAAAGATGGAAGAGGCGTGGAGACCTTGTTATACGCTGCTCTAGACTAATGTGTTGTTCACAGCCTAATGCTAGAACGTTCTCTGGTGATATCATTTCTCTACTACGAGAAATGACCATCTCGTTCTCCCTCAGTCCATCAATCTCTCGCTAATTCCATTATCTCTATTCTATCGGGTTCTAGTCCGATCCATAATACCCACATATGCATTACATACCTGAAACAGGAGGATGAAGGCTGAACACCTGTCAGTGGTGTCCTCTACAAACCTGGGAGTGAAATATTCTCCCAGAGCCGAGATTCAGTCATGAAAAAGGGTGGGATGAATTTTTTTTGATGGATTTTCGACTTGAAGGAGTTGCACTCGATATTTTGGTCGATAAATCAGTCGGCAGAGATTTCACAGCCGGAACAAAGTTGAACAAAAGCTCATCACCACTAACATACGATTCACGAATGGATTTAGGTCTGTCTGGGGGTCGTATTCAAACATCCGAAATCTCTCAAACTCCTTTTATATTTGCGACAAAGCAATTCTCAGTCAATCCTTTACCTGCGATCCACTTCTATACTCGTCCGATCACCTACCTACACACGCCCTAATGAGGAAAGTCATGATGGAAACGGGACGTGTACAAAGGAGGAAGAAGAGGGAAGATACACCGAGGGGATTACACAAATCCTCAATGACGAAAACAACCCGACGGAACGATATGAAGGTGCAAGGCTAGAGCAACGATGAGATCTTGGACGGCATTTATATTTTGGAGTCAATGAGGATGTCAAGGGCTCGAGCGCGTGGTGGCCGAGGCTGAGGACGAAATTGGGCTACGGCGTGTATACAGCGGGTTTCTGGACGGTTAGGCTTGGTATGATTCAGCAAATAGGTGAAGTCTAAGGTGGCCCGGTCATTCAGATGGTACAAGGTATATCTGTACTTGACGGTAGTTAACCTGATCCGGCCCAACCCCACACGTGCTTAAGCTCCAATAGGAGTGCAACGGCAGTCATTTAACCTAGCACGTTAATGAACAAAACAAAACACACCTGAAACACACGGTTTAGTACCACAGTCACGTGTATTTATCATGACGTGACCTAAAGGTTGTTCCATGGTAAGTTACATGGATAACACAACATTTTGGGACTAAGTGTATTTAATTAGCACCTTGGTGCATTTTGGTTGGTTTGTGACTAGAGCCAGCTAGTTAATTACCATCAACTAGAACCTTACAGAAACAATACACTATACAGCCCAGCTACTTTTTTCATCGAAATCTGAAGGTCACTCCTCATGTTCTCTTCTGTTCGCAAATATGTTGCAACTTTCGGAGATGTTCTATAATGCAGGATCCTAAAGAGCCAATGCCGGGATTAACAAAAAGTACTAGGGATTTTCAGAGCGTGGATATATGATACTCGTGCAAAATCTGTTTGGAACTGATCCGGCGAAAGCAGTTGTCAGATCTCACAATAACTTAAGAGTGTTGATTCCTGAAATCTGAAGACTTCTATGTGAAATGATCATTCCTCCAATACCACTAACAAATAGAACCCAATTCGGTTTGTATTTGTTGAGTCAGTACTGTGTGCCCAATATTGTTTTAATATGTAAGTAACCATGATCTACGCTGGGTGGTTCGAAATGATGTCAAAATTTTTTGAGATGGATTATCATCTGCGCTCATCAATTATTAATTAATTTGTTTGCAGAATTTGGAATATTTATAGGGTAGCGCTCAGAATATCGATTTCAATTAATAAGAAGACTTATCCTAATATAACTGAGATTTGGTTGATGCTAAGTTGAGTCTTTGAGCAAAGATTAGAGCAATATTCATACACACTTGCCTGATCACTGATGTAAAGCCTTCGCTATGAATTTTCCTAGATTAGTGATAGACCTCAAAAGCGGCGTGACTTGGTTTAATCCTGTGCTAATCGGGGACCAGGTGATTTCAGCCCGCAGGCTGCTGGCCAAGGTATAACAGACCTAGAAAGAGAAACACCAGGCCCTTATATTTAGTCATGAAGTCTAGTGCCGCTCAGAAAAGCCTCGTTTATGGTCTTAAAGACTTTTTGCAGCTACAAGATACTCGAACGGGAGTAGAGCTGCGTCATTCTAGGTCAGGAGATAAGTTTCATCAGAACACAATTCTAAAGAGCTATGCGTACCGTGAAAAATGAGGTACCTTTTGTGAAATACTTAGTCCCAGTTCATACTGCGCAAATGATGCCGAGAAGGTACGTAGCTGCGATCTTGTGAGAAGATCAGGGCTAAGTGTGTACGCTCTGAGGATCGTGTGCGTGAGTCCCTACACTTTCAAGTATAAAGTGTATCCTGATTCCTAGTATTGATAATCTCTCGAATTAAAATTATCAATGTTGTTAGAAAAACTCAAATCCATGAGTAGCTATTGATGTTATAGTTAATCAAACCGTTAGTATCGCCACAGGGATTTTAAAACCCAAGCTCTGGCTTGATCATGGCTCTAACTATTGACGCTGTGTGCCTGTGTCTCAAGTTTTGTTAGTATACTATCATGAAAAAATAGTCAAAAATATCTGAGCATTATGTTATGTTTGGCCACTATTTTTTCGAAGTAACCTTTGAGCTCGGCGCTTCTTTCTTGCGTGTGTTCGCAATGAGTCCTGGTCAAGAAGTTCTTCGGGTAGGTTAAACTCTCGTTCAGGTAATTCAAAAAGTGGATGTCCCCACACATAAACGCATGGACAGCTTGGGATCTTTTTACATTGCTCTTTTTGGCTATTAGCGTCGGCATCATTAAATCTAGCAAAAAAAAACTCGGAAGAGCTAGAGGCAGCCGTTTGGGATTCTGGCTGGGGTCTTGTGCAGGGCCAATCTGTCTGGGGTTGGTATTTTGTTGTGGAAAGAGACAAGGCTGATGACGCGACAGTTGCCTTGTGGTGTAGCTGTTGAGATGGTAATGTCTCCGAGTCATTTTCAGTATAGTAACTATTTCCAGACGTTGCCGATGCAAGCGGGACAGAGGAGCTTTGCTTACTGCACACGGTGGCTTCACAAGGACCAGCGGTGATCTTTGCCAACTTCTTCCGTTTTTCTTCATCACGCCATAATTTAAATTTTGCAATGATCGATTCACAGCCATGTGTAAAGTATTCGCGGGCCGGTTCATAATCTCTCTTTTTACTTTCTGTCACGCCACTAATGCCCATCAATTTCAGCCAATCATGCCCCTGTAGGCCCTGAAGCAATCTTATGACCTGATCTCTTTCGTGCTGGGCCCGCTCTTTTTCGGTTTTCCGTAGAGCCCTTTCCGCTCGTGCCGGCTTTTTATGCATCAATTCAAAGTACTCATCACAAAGTGGGTCAAGAGAGCAGGCTACCTCCTCTATCTCTCTAAGATTAGGGAGAGTTATGTCGTCATACCAAGCTGTTTCCCCAGAACTTGAAAGATTTATATCAGCAAACTCAGCCAAGGGAAGATTGATAGGGATTTTGGGAGAGGCATAAGGAGAAGATTTTTTTGCGGTATCGATAACTATAATAGGTGTTTCACTGTTTAGAATGTCTACCAAGCCACGATAAATTAGCCTGATGGTCTAGCATATTGTAGCAGCAAATGATGGGGTGACGTACGATTCTCCTTGGGCTTATTTCCAACCACCTCATCATATTCAGGGAAGTATGTAGAGAGTTGACTTTTGAAGCGGGAAGATTCCTGTGAACGTAATTTCCGCTTCACACCGTTTACTTGCCCATCTATCGAATTATTTTGCGGTTGCTGGGGTGCCTGCCATTTACAATTGCTGTTTGGGGATAGATGGCCACTCGGCCGTGACTTTAATTCCTGGGATTCAACAGGCATCGTCGGTTGTGGCTGAGGGGAGCATCGTGGTTTCGAGATGATAGCGGAGTTAGGTGAGACGCCATAATTTCTGGCTCGTGGTCGTGAAGTGAGTGTCAATTTAGCTCTCTTGCGTGAGATAGCTACATCGTCATCACTGGCCGACAGAGAATCTTGAAGACGCTTGTGGCAATTGAGTCGTGGCAGCTCTTTTGTTTCTTTCTTATTTTTGCCGCGAGCTGCAGGTAAAATTGCAAAATCGCGCTTCTGGCTAGAGCGAGAAGTTATGAGTAGGCCATCTGTCTTCCTCGCCCGTGATAGAATAGATGCCATCGCTTCTTGCCCAAAAAAGCATATGTAATATAGGTCAGCCGTCATGAATTAAAATACCAGCCGAAGCTATTAAGCGTAACGTAAGCAAGAGAATTGGTGAAAGGTGTCGTGAAAATATTGAGTTGCGAGGTAAATGAAAGGGGGGGAGGGGGTCTAGACTGAAGCATCATGGGCGTAATCATGAATACCTGCTACATGGCTCAAGACGGGAGTCAACAAAACAGTCACATTGAATTTTCACAGCGAGAGAAATTACAGCTTCTAGTTTGTTTAAAAGCACAATTGACTCCCTCTGACATCTCATCTGCCGGAAAGGCTTTCTGATAGTGTGCCATGGGACAAGGAATGTCTCCGACAGCCCTCTAGCATTGGCTACTTGCCAAATCCTAGTATTTTTACTGATACATTGAAACGGGCACCAAGATACTTCTACTAGATGTTACCCGGCCGAACTCAAACTTACTCCACGAGACAGAAACTGAACTCCTGTGAGTGATATCCTTTTCGGAGGTGAAATATTCATCTACAGCCGATCATATCTTGCAATAGAGAAGTTTTCCCGCGAGACAGTGATATAAGACTCCCATCACAAAAAATCTAACCCTTTCAAAACTTGTTCAATCTTCAAGTTCCAACCTGATTATTTCTTTTCAACTATTGAACTTCGCGTCGACTAAGTTTCTGGCCTATGCCGACCTTCGAATGCATGCCGACGACAAAATGAAACCCCGCAGGAAGAAGGTTCCACAGAAAAGGAAACTTTACTTAGAGGGTAAATACCGAGCTAAATGGCTATCTACCATAGACATGACATTAGTTCTTTTGCCAATCGGATAGACTGAGTCGGGATTTTTCGGAGAGGAAGCTCCCGTGCTTGTTCTATCATGGGCCTACATCTCATCTCTATATATACATTCCAAGTTCTCCTGTTCCTTTTCCATCCTTTGTCCTCAGCCTAGACTGCATAATCTGTAAGAACTCAGGAAATGACAATCCCATGTCAGGAATCGATGAAATAAACCCTCCTTCATTGATGTTTCCGGAGCTGGCTCCATCTTAAGCCAATTCCACCACCCTTCCCAGCTTTTTAGCGACTCAGATACCTAGCTCAAATGAAAAATGTCTGACAAATATACCAAAATACTCGGGGCTTGATCCTAAAGATCAATTGGCATAGAAATTTGAAATCGATACTGGGCATAATAACCCATAACTTAAGGAAAAACTAGTTAGATCCTTGAGGAGTCCGTTAGCCTCTAGGACTCAGTAGAGACTTGAATTTAAATCGATCGATCAATTACCAAAATTAATTAATTGAATTTGAATTTGATTTCATTTAACCCGATCAGGCACCCTATGGGTCCATGCAGGTGACTATCCGCATTACTTACAAAGGAGGAAACCAATTTGGTGAAAACCCCCTGATCCTGTCTTTTTATGTTCCTATCAATTTATTTGGTTTACCTTCAGGAAGTGCAGTGTACACTGTTCAGCCCGTGTTGATTCCGTCCTCTCCACTTCCAGATCTATTTACTTTATCCGACATTGCTACCTCGACTTCTCCTGCAAGTCGAGACTGTTTTATCCACCCTTTGTTTAGTATCCACTGTGTAATTCTGGCCATATCTTCTGGGCTGTTCATCATTGCTTCAAATGACCTGTCTTTAGCTTGTCGGAGAAAGTCGCCTCTTCCATTTGCCCACTGCGGACACGCCAACACCATATGCTTGACGTTTTGCGACGGATATCCACATTGACAGCTTGGCTTTTCTACTCCGGGTACTTTTCTTCTGCTCAGGTAAGAATTGAGTCCGATATGCTCGCTCCTTAGCTGAATGGCGACACTGCTTTGGGCCCTGGTTAGGTCAAAATTAATTATTGTTAATTGATTTATGTTAAGCCCAATCAGAAACAAACTCTGCTTGGCATATTTTCCGCAACAAAAGGTTGAGCGTTCAGCCAAAGTATTGCCGGATCCAAGAAGAGCCCAATGTGCTATAAAGTCATTCCCTACACAACAAACCAAAATCCTTAAATACTCACAGGAGGGTGCAAACGGGGTGGAGGCAGACAAGCTTATCTAGACAGATTTGGAAAGATCTCCTAGTAATGCATACAACATCTAAAAATGTTAAATTACGAAAGAATGGAACGAGCCTTTTACACTGAATTAATTTGTGTGCTAAACGACGTCGATCGTGAGAGTATAATGACACTTAAGAAAAAAAAGTCATTAAACACTCTAAATATTCATTTGCAAATTGATTCGAAAAGTATGATTGCATTGCTTATCAGGAAAATTTAATCATTTTTTGCATCAGATTTAACAGCGTATGCAGGTAGTTAGCTTTGACACAATATCAAAGAAAATGTATATGGTAGACGACTCATGATAACACTGGAGCGCTCATGCCTCGGATTTCATTTGCAAGTGCCACTGTGAAGTTATGGCGGCTTTTTCTTCACCCCAAGTCAACCCTCATCCGTGAATACCCACCCAGGAAAACGTCTTAATAACCCTGAGTTATCCAGACATGTTTCCATAATCCGTTTATTTTTCTCCGCGCGAAATATGGTCTGAGACGTCTCCTTCCCAAGTGGAGTAGGTGTCCAGGCTACTCAAACTATACCGTAAATCTCCACCGTGAGGTGGAACATGGTGCCTTCCCTCGTTGGCTCGTGTATGTGGTGTCAGCTGCACTCTCGCAGCCGAAGTATTGACGCGCACAATACTCTTCCATTTGTTAACCTTGTTGCCAAAATTCGAATTCTCACACCCGTGGAGACTGTATCTATCCTCTGTATCATCTGATAAACTTGTCCTGATATCTCCCAAATCTACCCCAAAGATCTGTCTCTCAGGTTTGTGCGCCACGCTTTTTTTACTTCGCCTGGTGCCAATTTCGGCGTGGGCGTTTATAAGGTGGTCAGCTGAGCCCAGAGAAAGTGCAAGAGAGGTTATTTATTGAAATGAGGATATACTAGATCGTTCTTGTGAACTTGATAATTTTCGGTGGGAAGCGATCTCATTGGGAGTGAGAGAATAATCTGGTGAAGACTCTTGAATTAATGCCTCATTGGACAACTTCTTTGGTTTTGCGAGATTTGACTGAACTTAGCTCTGGGAGAATATTTTGCATTCAGGTTCGTAGAATACAACGTGGACAGGTGTTCAAACTTTGCCCTCCTAATGATGTATCGTTGCTTGCTAAATAGACATTTTTGACGGGTACAAGTTTAGCTCTCATAAAGCATGACACGGAGAAGGCAAGTCCTTCCCCGATGACTGTATGACGATAACTAAGCTTGACATTTGGACCACTTATATGGTGGGTGCATTCAAGGATATCACTCAAAACCTTTGTGCTAGGGTCTCTTACAATTCCCTCAGCCGTGAATATCTACAATAAAGAAAACAAGAAAAACAGGAAAAACCTCTGGCTACCCTAACATGCCTCTGCCATCTTATAAATAGCCACCGTGTGAGGTACGGCCTCAAAGTCTTTCATTTTTCGACTGAATTAGGCATCCAGACTTAGGGAAATGACGGCCAGGAGGCGGACCACAATATCTTCCACCGTTGTTTGTTTTTAGTGTGTTGGAAGTACTATTCAAAGCCCTAAACTTGGCACCCAAAAAAGTCCCACAGGCGAAATACTTGTCGAGAAATGTCAGTTCTATCATTCCTATCTATGGCCTCTCCACACTCTCATTTCACGACCAATTGCTTGTCCCCGTTCAAGTTGTGAAGTCCTATTAGGGAAACAGTCCCCCATAAGCCAAGACTTGAACTTTTTATGTTATGACTTAATCTCCATCTTGCGGGTATAGATAGCATCATAATTTTGTAGTGGGTGATGGCCAGTTTTTGAAGAGGCAAGCTCTCGTTTGCAGTTGAGAAAACTTCTTGATCGATTGTTGAGATTTGATTTGTGGTATGAGTGAGTTGAAGGACTTGCGTGAAAAAGATATGTGCGACATTGATGATATGTGATTGATGATAGATCTTTTTGAGATTAATTTCGACTTCGATTTGGATGGGATTCATATTGGCTAACCTAGATATGCAGAGCATACAGAGCGATTACACCGGCACCATGGGAAGGTGAAGAATCCCTCTTTGCCGGCTATCGTAGCTGGTTGGCTGCATACACTTCAGGTTTAAATGTATGACGCGGACTGGGATTCTGCTTTCCCCGCATTTTGTGGCTCAAATATGCCAGCTCTCCTACCAGTTGCTTGTAATATCCTAATTACCTACATCAGAAATATTTTGAGATACCACATTGAAAGAAACCATGGCTCTCTCACCCAAATTCGCCGGCCAGCGTATGATTCCAGTCTTGTCTAATTTGACCCCTAATCTATCCACGAAACCCCTTCACACATTAGAACTCTATCTAGATTACGTATGTCCCTTTAGCGAAAAGCTATTCAACACCGTCTACACAGACATAATTCCATGGCTGGCCCGCGACGAGCGTCTTTCGGGCCGTACACAGGTTATTTTTCGGCATCAGATTCAACCATGGCACCCAAGTAGCACGCTTGTGCATGAAGCTGCCCTCGCTGTACTTCGACTCGATAGCAGTAAATTTTGGGAGTTCAGTCAGGTAGGTCAACCCTTGCATCAATAGTTCTCACATCTTGGCTTTTTTAAATTGACGTGATTGATTCTTGCATTAGGCCTTATTTGCCGAATCCAGATCATTTTATGATATTAGCATAGTCTCTGAGACACGCAACCAGACGTACGCCCGACTTGCAAAGATTGCTGCTCGCAGTGGAATTTCAGAGAACGCGATGATGGATTTGCTCTCTATTCCAGAAACCTCGGGAAAAGATGGCCAATTAAATAGTGGAAACGGTGTTACCAATGACTTGAAAGTGATGATCAAAATGGCTAGATTGTCAAGTATTCATGTAAGCCCATCGGTACTTTGGGATGGTGTTCTAGAAGGGAATGTAAGTAGTTCATGGACAGCAGAGCAATTCAAGCAGTGGCTGGAAAGTAAGATAATCACCGAAAAGAGTTGAGGTCAAACCAAAGGTTTGTGCCAATTTAATCATGGCATCCGCAACTAAATGAAAATCTACATGCAACCTTTAGCGTAGGAAAATAATTCTTATTCGGCAGCTTCTTGTCTAGTCCTTGAAACAAATGTCCATCCTCCGGGTATAACAGCAGAAATCTTTGGAATTTAGCAATGAAAATTCTGATTACTATATGCTTTTGCCAACAGTTTGCTTCTTCTTATTTGACTCACTACCCTTGATATTTTATTTCTAGCTAAATTGGAAATTTCCTATGTGAGGATCAATAAGTCTAGTTGAGATAGCAACTGAGCAACGTCTTGGCCCAAAGACTGCCGATCATCGTATAACTAACTTGTCTCCAAGCTAGAGAGAATTTCATTAGATTTTCTCTGCATGGCCCAGGATGACAAAGTTACGTTTGGGATAGCAACACGATTGGTTGTTGAAGTTTGTCGTTTACCTACTAGAAGTGTGGAAGTAGCTGGCAAGACAAACATGACGGTGTAGTCCGGCTAAATTTTATGCTGATTTGTAATCGAAGGCCACATCTAACGAATGCTGTCTAGTCTATATATTTTTTTTGTTAAAGTCCTAGGCTTAAGCTCCAGGTCCACCACCGGTACAAGACTGGTGGAGTCGGCGGGGATCACTGCTTACAGGCCCAGCTAATTCCAACCGCGAGACCCGCTACAGAAAAAGTAGAAGGTAGATTACAACTCAGAAGACACCACCTACTCTGACTCCGATATCGAGACTCCATCCTTCAACCCTAAATTCAAGTACATAAAATTTTCCAGAGAGACACGACACTTCTCGCCCCTTTCCTTTTCGTGTCATGTATTGTGGCAATGACTAGTTTGTCTGATCCCCGCTGAGAGCAGTGGATGAGTGGGCAGGTTGGCTACCAAAACAGCCGGTTTCCTCCGCAAATCTTTTGAAGCTTTCGTGGCACTTGAGCCCGAGAAGCTTTTTGACAGGGTCAGCGTGGGAAATTGACTTTCTGAGCCTACGCGTGTGTTGTGCGTGGCGGCTACAGTGGATGAAGTAGGTTGGAGCAGTTTCCTTCCCGCAAGAGCACTCCATGGGAGCGTATGGGTTGTCTAAACGGCGATGGCATACCGCGAAAGTGCTGTGACCTGTTCGTGCTGCAATTGGTTCGCGGAGGTGCCTAGAGAGAGACAGTTCGGGTGGTTTGCATCTCCGCACCTGTAGGTTAAGTTGGCGGTATTTGGCCAGTCTATGTATATTGTTTGTGTGAGTGTTTATTGTACTGCTTGAGTCTATGACTATCTAGCACATTAGGCTCCTCTCTGGCCACGGCCACATTTTGTTCAGTTCCCTAATCCCTTTTTGTTACTTCAAAGATCATTGATATATTTCCCGTGTTGAATAGCAATCCAGCTCAGTATTTACCTGCGGAATTCAACCACCTTTTCCACGGAACCATGTAGCCAAAAAAATAAAATAAAATGATAGCAATGGAAATTGCGTGCGCGGGAAAAAGTCTCAAGAAACCCGTAATCTCGGCCAAGCGAGGCCTAGATATTTGTACCACATGAGGTGCGCATATTTATCGATATCTCCCTTCTTTGTAACATTGGAGGCCATCTTAATCCAACCCACTATCGCCGTATCGAGTACTGGGTACGCCTCGGAAACTTTTCGGATGACTTTTTCTTGTTAGAATTCAGAATAATTGGGGCTATCAAGTAGGCCACGTTGTTGATACACACGTGACTGCAAATTCCGTGCTTAGTTTCACTTCGGTAGTTACTTGCATGAATGCGCTCTAAAACCTCAATGGATGAGGGGTCATTATTTCCTTAATATCTCTCTATAACCAAGAGTGGGTAAGGAGAAGGGCACTGATCCTACCATATTATTTGATCGTGGCTAGCTTCATGAAAGTGATGTTAGAGGGATGCATCGAGGGTTGAAGACGATTTAGATGGCGAATTCGATTGAGATTCCTTATAGAAGTGAGGAGAAATGCGTTACTCAATCTCGGTTCTATGGACTCCACGCTGACAGCTGGAGGCTCGAAGGGGACACCACTGACAGGTTTTTGAAGTAGTCCCCACGACACTTTCGTAAGAATGACACTGTTACGGCAATGAGTACTTCTTGCAATTTATTTTGTCATTCAAGGTGTTTTCAGCTTTCGGGCTGTGACTCACAATCATTGCTAATTATACATATCGGATGGCTCTTTTGACGTTATGGACACTTATGCTAAGGATTCCATCCGCAAATACCACTATGTGGTATGCTTGCTTACACAATCAGTCGACCCTCCTCTGTGAGTACTCACCAAAGGGAAATTCTAAACCTTTGATTATCCAAGGATGCCTTCATCATTCATGTATACAAGCGGCGCCGAAAAGTGAATGTGTTTTGCCGGATTCGAACTAACCATCTCCCATCGCAAGTGGGATCTGTATCTAAGCTATCCAGACTCTACTTAGCAAACCGGCCAAGACGATGTACCACCGCACCATCTAGCCATGGCGGTGTTTATAGTGTCGCATGCACTCTCGCAACCGAGGTATTGGTGCGCACATACTATTCAGTACGTAAATATCCTTGCCAAGATTCGAAATCTCACGCCCGTCGAGATAGTACATATCCTCTGCATCATCTTGTAAACTCGCATCTATCTCTCTCACGTCTATCCCGAAGAGCTGCCTCTTAGATTTATGCGTCACGCTTTTTTTCCCCCGTCCAATATAAATATCGGCGTGGGTGTCTATTTGTGGTCAGCTGAGGCCAGACAAAATGGAAGAGAGGCATGGTCATTGGAATGAGGATGTACTAGGTCCTACTTGTAATCTTTATGAGGATTTGATCATAACTGAAGTCGTTGGGTGTGAAAGATTGACATCGTGGAGTATCTTGAATCATCATCTCGTGAGCCAACTTCTTTGCTACTGCAAAGCATGACTGAGCTTGGCTGTGGGAGGATCTTTAACAACCAGGTTCGATGGGGACACTGCGTTAAGGTGTTCAGTCTTAGGCCTCCGTACTCCTTACACCGCTACTACCTTCCACAAGTATCAACATAGCGCATAACTCATAAATTTATGTTATTCCGTTGGGGGTATGACTACTGACAGAGAATAGGTTAGAAGTCAAGTCAGACTTCAATGGGTGGATAAAGTTGGCATGTGGCCGTGCAACAATTATACGCCGTGTAGAGAATTAAAGTTTCACATATTTTTTGGTAATAAAGATGCTACGGGAGATTGACACCACGTGCACTCCCTTTGGAACTTCATACAAGTAGGACCGGACTGGGTTAGGGTAATTATCTCAGGCACGTTATCAGATCTCACCCGACCTAAGTCATCTGTAAGCCCCATGCTTCACTTATCTAACAAATTATGGCGGGTCCAAGCAAATGCTTAACCCTTAGGCCATAGCGTAGCCCTCTCCACCGCCTCAGCCATCATACGCCCAGGCCCTATGTATCCTCCGGTGGTTAAATTTTGCCATCTCCTTACACAGGCATTAATTTCATTGATAAATATTTTTTATCGCAGTGGCTGTTTATGTAACTTGACAGCGATTGGATATTCAACCTTAGTCGTTTGCTGTGGTTATCAAACGTGGGATCTAAATATTCTAGAGCCCAAGATCTTGGTAAAAGTTTCTTGGCCTCCGGGGGGACTATTCTCAACACCTGTCAGTGGTGTCCCCTACGAACCTCCAGCTCTCACTGTAGAGTCTGCAGAGCCGAGATTGAGTAACAAAGTCCTCACTTCGAAGAGGATTCCCAATCGCTTTCGCGGTCTGTATCGTCTTCATCTCTCAACACATTCCCCTATCACCACTATCATGAAGCTAACCACGATCAGATCAGATGGTAGGGTCGGAGCCCTACTCATCACCCACCCTTGATCATGGAGGAAAAGCCATCCGATGAGTTTCCGGAGCGTACCCAGCACCCGATACGGAGATGGTGGATTGGATCAAGTCGACCTCGGCTATTACAAAGAAGGGAGATATAGATGAATATGCGCACCTCATGTGGTCCCGGTGTCTAGGCCTCGCCTGGCTGGGGCTGCAGGTTTTTTTGAGACTTTTTCCCGCGCACGCAGTTTCCATTGCTACCATTTTTATTTTTTTTGGGTAGAAGGTTCCGTGGAAAAGGTGGCTGAATTCCACGGGTAAATACTGAGCTGAAAGGCTATTCATCAAGGGGAATATATCAATGATCTTTCAAGTAACAAAAGAGGATAGGAGCACTGTACAAGGTGTGGCCTGGGTCAGAGAGGAGCCCAATGTGCTAGATAGTCATAGACTCAAGTAGTACAATAAAACACACACACACTTCTTGGCCTCCGCCAGACGCTCAAGGTGGGGTATAGACGATATGGAGTTCTTGGCTAGTTGGTGGCGGCTCAGTAGAGTCTGTGTTGATATTAGCTTCGGCCAAATCGCAACCGAATTTAAGGCTGGAACATCAACCGCACCAATTCAACTGGCGATATCTAACTGCGGTTGGAACTCCAGCAGCAGAACTGATTACGATCTTAAATTTTTTCCGTCCAAAAATTATGTGGAAAATGGTTAACAGACAATTGTACAAAGGGTTGACCCAAATTACAAGTTACGGCAAAGCTAAGGATCTGAATAAGTCCAATTGTTGTTTTCATATTTTTATTAGGCTGGAGCCCGGTAGGAATACGGATCTAAGATAAAAAAGATATCCTTGACTAGTTGTACAGTCGCGAACACAGTGCCAGTCGTCTTTGACAATAAAGAAAATCAAACACTATTATCCTCCTGGTTTCTGTTTCATCCAAAAGCCGTAAGTCGCCTCTTTTTCGTGACTTAATTTTATGCTCATAGGAGTAAATTGCCCATAAGTTTATAAATCATACCACTAGCCATAGTTCAACCTTTTTCCTAGTGTAGCTGATATTGGATAGGACTGTATAATGTTCGGTTTACTTAAAGCTAGTTCAAACGGCGAGTCAGCAGGCAAGTAGTGCCCCGTTCACTAGACTTAAATACGGCGTAATCTCAATAAAATTTAAGATTTCTCATATTCTGAGGTGAAGAGAAGTGCTGGTACATACTATATACTTCGAGTTTAAGTCTGATAAGTTTATCAACTACTTATTTTCTGTGTAATCGTATCCCATTGAGAGTTATAACAGTGATTACGTCAAATAACATTACAAGCCCGGTTTTTTAGTTTGATGTGTTGTTGCTTTTCTTGATAAGGCTTCAATAGTGTAGGGCTAGGTAGTGTTAAAGTATAAATTCATAATCTCAGATGTATTGAGACTCTTTGCGTCGGATATGAGATTCTTTTCAACTCTAGACATTTGAAGTGTTTCATGGTCCAAATTTTGACATCAAGGAAAAAGGAATTGCTCTAGTATGGGAGATCCAGCAAACTCGGGGTTTAATAGAACGCAACTGATCGTAAAGGTTAGTGTAGGCTGTTGCCGTAGAATGGGGTGACTTACTTGAGGAAGTACTGGAGGCCGGACCTGCGTTCTTCAAGGAATTTGGGACGGAATTTGGATATAACGCTCTTGCGGGGAAGCGTTGGCATAGCAGCGCGGAAATAAGGATAGGCTCGTACAAGGTCTTGGCGTAGACGATCGAATTCTGAGTAACGTTTGCTAATATACATCTTACCGCCCTATCGACAGACATAATTGTTAGCAAGTTTTTAGAGTATACTTGGTAAGATGCTCCGATTACTCACTTGCATCATCTCTAAAGTGATTTTCCACACCACGAAAGCACCAATATCTGTTCTGTTATCGCTTATAATTACATAATTTTCAATGTGAGCACTTTTTGCCCAACATATTTTTTGCTTGGAACTGTCGCCTTTGGTATTGTCACGAAGGGTGATAGCATAGTCCGTACTCTCAACTGATGCAATTGAGAGCGGCCTATGCGAAGTTTTTATCCAATATGGTGGTGATTCACCGGGTAGAACTGCTAGAGTTGTTGAATAGCGGCGATTTGGAGTTTTTCGTGTGGCTTGAGAAGGCTGCCGCTCTTTACTCGGGTAAAACCTCTCAGCTGTCACGGCCGACTCCATCCATCGGCAAGCGGTTGTAAAAAGAAAATTTCCTAAGATCTTCAGTCTTTGAGGGTAGTTATAGTTGACGAAAATGCTTTGTTATGCGCTAAATAGTAAAGTAGGTGAGGAGTGGACAACTGTTGTGTTGGACAAAAGCTTAATGTAGGATAACTTAGTACGGCGTGAGCCCTCTATCTAGCGGCGCACTAAAAGCAGACCAACACTTTGTGACTTAAGGTGATGAATTCTATCATATTTTTGCAGTTGGCTTTTACTAATCATCCGACGCAGGCCAATTCGAGGTCCAATAATTTGACTTCTCGCGCCTCCCGAATTCAATGTCCACTCTTTATGTTCACGTTACAGAAAATGCCAGGGTCAGAGAAGTCGTAATCTGTGATTTTCAATATATTACTCTCGGTTAGTCATCCAACATCAAATCTTATATCCGCCTAATCCCTATCCGACTTGGGAAGAGTGATAGAGAGTTTGTATCCAACGTTAGCGAGTCAATTAATATACAACTCTGGACTTCCGCTCCTACTCGGAGGCTCAGATTATCACTTCGCTCGCCACTCGCAGCCATTTACCGCTCCCCTAATTCTTGTTAAACTAATTCACCATCGATAGCATTGCAGCCATCGGTAAAATCTTGCTTTATTTATCCATTCAAATTAGCTTAAGTCCAGAGTTGGATTTGCGAGCTTCTATCCGTTCCTGACTACTTCACATGTGACTGGGGCCAGTTCAGATCGGTTATCCATATCTAGATTGGGCTCCGCAGGAAGACCCTGAAGCCCACATGTCGCGCACAGCGAGTAAAGTACGAAGTGCCTAGATTGGTTTGTAGATTATCGAGACAACCTAGCTTATGCGGCTATCTAAGTAACAATCTAGAATTGTAGGGCTTAGAATCTGCGAACGTAGCCCATTCATTAACCCTCAATTATGAAAATTGCGAGTAGGGTGGCACAACATCGATCGTAAGGAGAACATCACAACTGTTACCAGCCGCGAAAGAGAAGCTTAGACTACTTGGGGCATTGAGTATTGTGAGATCGGCCCGCTGCCTCTGAAACTGTTCCCGTGGTGATAGAAGCCAGGGAAGTTGCCAGGAGTGTAAGCTAGGCTGCAGGGGAACGGGGCAAGGAGGAACATGAAGCGAAGGTTATAGATGGTTGATGACGTTTCATCATGACCCGCTTTGCGTTGGCACCCTGTATGTGCATAAGGTATTAAGTCCCTCTAAAGTTTGGAACGCTGGATCGGATGGCGTCGGAGTCCTTGACCTTACTTGCCTTGGAATAGCTTTGATCCCAAAGCACATCCTTTGTATGCCACGTTAGTATATCTTCTATCGTTTCGCCCTTTGACATTATCCTCAAGTCATTCTATTCATCAACCACTCTCGCTAAACCAACTTTTTCGCAACTGGGCCACACAAGCTGAGCGGTGCGCAAACCTTCCTACTTCACTCTGAACTTCAAAGGCCAACCGTTCGTTTTAAGAACTCGAAGGCTGATCAGGTTAGGAACTCGCTCTTCGTCCGAAGTCGCCTGAACCAAGCTCACCTTTCCTAAACTCAATAATTCAATATTAATCATGCAGATGATGTGGAGATTAATACAAGCTGTTGCACTGCTCTCCATCGGAGTATCTTCTCAGGCTAGTTATTACATAGACCCAGCAAGCGTGCCATCATCTCTGAGAGGTAAGTTTAATCGCCCATGTGACACTTAATCACACTGCTGATTTTAGACAGGTTCATGGTGCTCTACTCAGACTACCTCCTGTCCTCTGCTTTGTCTCCAGTTGCCTGGACAATCGAGCACCACTTTATCGAATACTTGTGATCCTGTAAGACTAATTCATCCCAAGTTCTCTCATCTAACAGTAAATCTAGAAAAGCTTGACCTTTAACTGTGTCTGTGAGAGTGGACAGTCCCCTAATTCCAGCGAATACTCACAAACGTTGCCATTCTTTATGTGTCAGGAATTCGGAAACCAGTGTGTCGCTGGATGTGGTGGTAACCCAGAGTGTCAAAGTAAATGTCGCGAAAACCACCCTTGTGGTGCCCAAAATCCCACGCGCGTGAACACAACCAGTACAGCAATTGAACCCTCCAAGACAGATACCTCTACTTCTGGCGTTGCCTTTACAGGTCTTGGTGGATCCTCCGCCACCGATAGTTCTGACTCCAGTAAGAGTGGTTCTCTAGCTGCGTTGGATCTGGGACGTAGCTACGGCTTGGCAATAGTTTTTGCTGGTGTATTTGCAGGTTTTGCCGTGATGATGTAGGCCAGCATCCTAGAACGGCATTTTTTCGACTTTGTCTCCAGAAAACAGGGCTGGAGTGATCCTAGTATTCTGGGAATGACTTGGAAGATACTACTACAGAGGCTTAATATAGTAGAGCTAGTGGAGATCTATTATTGGACAACTTGTGGTGGGGTGTGGATATCCGGAGAAGCTACCCGCGTCCCATCGTTTTAAATTATTTCAGAAATTATTTAATCATCATCTTGGGCTTCTGAAGTATCTCATTAACGACACTAATCATGTGATATGTAATGGTGACAATTTGCTTCGTATTGATCGATTTCGAAATCTCTACCTGACCTATTATTCGCCAGGGAGGCCGGACCAGTAAAGTGGCACCTTTCAGCCGCAGACCCTGCTGACTCGTAAAAATAAAAAATTATGGATCAGACTATCTTTTTTGATTGAATCTCGTTACTCGGAGAACAACCGATGATATACAACTTCATAAAAATACAATACACCAGTCGCAAAGCGTTAAAGACGAAACTGTTGTCTTAGACTCAAGGTTATCGCCGGGGGGACTCAATGTCTTTCAGTAAAAGTGCGTTATATATATATCAATTAATTCTTACAAGGATAAGATCTGAATTCGACTCGCAACTTATTCAATTCCACTCACTAACGAGAAAACAGAGGAGGCAGCACACGAGTGCGTATCCGATGAGGCGCTGATCCATCTAAGATCATACCAATACTCAAGTATTGACAAAAGCTTGATCTCTAAATATATTTTAAAGCACTATGTACGATGAAGTAATCGATTAATCGCGAATAAAGCTAATAATCACAGTGGAATGGGTTTGTCAAAATCTTGCCATTATGGCTCGCGCCAAATATGGTTACCCTCCTGGGATTTTTCTTTATCATATCAGACGTGATACTTCTGGTTATCTTTATGCCAGATTTAGTTGGACCGGTATGTGACAACATGAAGACTGAAATATTTTTAACATTGGTATAGGGCCCATCTTGGCTTTACTATAGCTTTGCATTTGGTTTATGGATGTACTCCACTCTAGATAACGTCGATGGAAAACAAGCGCGGAGAACAGGAACATCAAGCGGGCTTGGTGAACTCTTTGATCACGGCATTGACTCTTTGAATTGTTCGTTAGCTTCACTTTGTGAAGTTGCAGCCATGGGACTCGGAGCATCTAAACTTGGCGCATTTACCGCTCTTGTACCATGCCTCCCGATGTTTTTTTCAACCTGGGAGACATATCATACGCATACGCTCTACCTTGGGGTATTTAATGGTCCAACCGAAGGAATAATCTTGGCATGTTTTCTTATGATACTCGCTGGCTACCATGGTCCTGGAATATGGACCGAACCGATCGCTGATCTTATCGGGCACCAATATTTCTTCGGATTCCATAAGACTCTCGGGGACTATACTGTTCTAGATGCCTGGATTCCATTCATACTACTCTCCCTCTTTGGTGCCCATCTACCGTTTTGTGTGATAAATGTCATTGATGCACGGCGAAAGAAACAGTTACCGATACTTCCAATATTCTTCGAGTGGGCACCTATTCTGGTCTATACGATATCTATCGGGGCATGGCTTTACTCTCCAAATTCTACTATTATACCGAATAACCATCTCGTTCTTTTCTGCCTTACTATGTCATTCGTTTTCGGCCGCATGACTACAAAAATAATTCTCGCTCATCTAACACGTCAGCCTTTTCCTTACTGGACAGTTATGCTTGCGCCTCTGATCGGAGGTGCTATTCTGGTTAATTTACCTTTCATGGGATTACCGAGCATTTCCGCAGATATCGAGTTATGGTACTTGCGTGCTTATCTCATTTTTGCTATGGTTGTCTATTTCCGCTGGGCTTTCCTCGTAATCGATAGAATATGTGCCTTTCTTGGTATTAATTGTCTTACGATCCCACACAACAAACATCATACGCAAAATGAGGAAGAAACTCGTGCGAATAAAAAACAGAGCAATAGGGATATTAAGGAGCGAACAGATTAGAAATTTGTCACTCAATTATCTCCATCATTCCTAGTACTTAGACAACAACGTTTGGTGTAAACAACTAACGAACTAAAAGGCATGATAAAGTGATAACAAGAGAGAAAGAGTCAAAAGTGTCTATGCAAGTAAAAAACTCTCCACACGGTCAAGTAAAAGATTCTATGACTGAATGATAAACCTTATCTAACAGGATAAAGTTAATAAGATATCAAGCAAGGATTACTCTACTCAACAAATTCACGAGCCTAAATTTAAAATGCATCCTTTAAATCAGTCCTAAGGTCAAAAAGACCCAACTTGTGGGAAGAAAGAACCATTATTTCTGGCGGTTGAGCCTTCAAATTACAGGTCCCATATTGAGCCAGCTTACATTAAGGAGCACCTAACTAAATCCGTCGCTCAACTCATCTCTGACCAATTAAATTGCCTTATTCCTTTGGATTTGAGGTAAATGCGAAAGGCAGACTTGTTAATCACACTAATACCGAAATACTCGGCATATTTTCGGCCCTCACAAGTTGATTCTTTCATAATGAAATAATATTTCTTAGATATAAATAAAATTTACATTATCTATTGTCCAGACCATGATAGTTCCTTAGTGAGAAGGTCGATCGCTCAGATTTGAAGATTAAAGACTGATGTCACATTGTTGTGATGGATTATTCCATCAAGACTTCTATGCCGCTAATTTGATAGATGTTTTATCAATGGACCAACAGGAATTAACCATAATCCCTTCATTTTTGCTAATGAATTTTGCGGACCAAAAATCCTTTTACTTTTAGGATTTATCTAAACCTCTCCGGCCACTATTCAACGGTTACACGCTCGAAATTTCTCATTCGAAAAGACACTTCAAAGAGTAGATTACGCAGAAGTAATGATTTCAACTATTAATCACAGTCATGGTTTCATAACCAAATGTATAGGCGACTTTTCATGTGCAATAAATTAATTGTAATTCTCTGCAGAGAGGATTCTCACAGCAAAAGACTAAGTATATTAATAAACTGAAATATCCCCTTCGAGAAGATTCTATCTATGATTTGATAGACTCAGACTATTTGACAATTACCTGGATGATTATCGATACTCCTGTCACCTTAATGAACCTTCAGTATGTTTCCAGAAGGTACAATGAGAGTCTTATGAATCCCCTGCTATACGAGATCTTCCTAGGAGACACCCTTGGCTCATTTGCATGCATTAGCCAACGCATGTTACCAGTTTCCTTAGGCTCATCAGCAGTCATGATCATAGAATAAATAAAAACGGTCTATATTATCAAGGTTGTTGCGGAGTCACAATCCCCAGGCTTGCCAGCAGGGCTGTATATAATAATAGGATCTTGCTATGTGGGTTTTAGAATTTGGTGGCAAGACCAATTGAAACACTTGTTTTAGTCCCCTCGAGTAAGGAGGGTCATCTCGAACACAAAGAGACAACTAGGGAATCTATACGTAGAAATTGCACCTATATTTGTTTAAACTCTATCTCACCAAGAAGAAAAATTATAAAGGGGACAAGTATTTTAATTAGTACATGATTTGGGAATGTACACTTGCGCTGGAACAGTCAAGACAGCTTGTGGAGAGATATCTTCATTAATGTACAGAAGTGAAGTTGTTATGACAATTGCTATGTTACAGATTGGGAAAAGCTCGTCCCTTATCCCATAGCTTTTTCGCTTGCAAACCAATCACGTAACCAGTATGCTGCGCACAAAAATGTGCTCCCAACTGAGCAGCTATGACGGTTGTCCCATATGAACAACCTATCTCTCATACTGCACACAGTATTACATGTAGAAATCTAGACATATCAGACCGAACCGCACGCAGTGCGGAGTAGACGAAGACTACTCATCTTCGATCGCTACCAGCTTTAGTGAGGTCTCGGTTGGTGATGATCTCGGTGGTGTGAATGTTATTCCATCACGTAATCAGAACATACTGTTTTTACCTAATCGAAGTAAAACATAGATAGACAATTAGATATAGATAAAAAATAAACTTTTAACGAACTAAATATAAGTTGAGTAAAATCAAAAACCTCACTGGTCCTAAGCTTTTATCTCTGATCCATTGATCCCCAATATCTTACGATTCGTACAGTATTGACTTGACGGTCAACGTTCACTTCTATCATTCCAGATACCTCCTAGAACTTTGTTATTACATGTAATGCCGTTATGTAGAGACTGGAACTTCTCATGCGCCATGATTCCATACTACCATAATGACTACATATGCTCCAGCGATTAGATCTACCATACTACATAGCTGAGCATAACAACTAGTAGAAGCTGTGACTATATCTAGCGTGTCACAGTCAGTATCGTGGCGTGAAAGGGTTAAGTTTTCATAGTTACCACTAAAGCTGTCATCCAGAATGACGTTGATCACTGAGGAATGAGAGGTACTCTTTATCTCGGAGGGAATTGGGCAGCAATGAAAGGTAATTTTCATTGACATTCGTACCGCTACTGAATTTGTCACATCTTCTACTCTTCGTTCCCCGCATTTTCTCTTCCTTCCTGGCCGCTTCTTTTCTCATCCGCATCCGCAGCTTGATGTGATAGAGGAGCAAGGATAATTGTTCCGCGACGTAGGAAGTTTAATTACCTTGCTGCGTAGTGCTAATGGTATATCACTAAGCATTTGAATCAATCTGAGACCTCATTTCAGCCAAGAAATAAGAAAGCATAATGTATTCCATAGCCGAGCTATACATCAAGGGTTTTTGAGACTCAAGAAATTAACAAATAATTTCCCAAATTGACGTGTCAACCATCTAGGTTGTGTGAATGTCAATTAAAGATTGTCGCGCTTTGAATGTACATGAAATCCCACTTAAGCCCACGCCAGCCTCCAATGGTCAAGCCCAGCTTTAGACTCTTTGCAGCCCATGTCGTTTGGAAGTGTGACGGGGGGACGGACCAGCTTAGCTATTTGCAAAAGTGTGTCGTAAATTGAGTTATATTCTGTTTAAGAAAGAGCTACGAAGACTACATGCTTATATACTCAATAACGCGCGATGCGTATGGATTAATGCATAGGTTATCTTTCAGACAACTCCTAGACCCAGCCGAGCTGTGCACTCGAAGACCTCTCGATAAATGAAGCAAATAAACTCTGGTTACCACAAGGACTCAAAGCAGTCTAGAGATGCAAATACGAAGTGAGCATAAGGGGCACAATTCGTATTTATACAGAAGGAAAGTACTCGGAGTCCACAGTTCAAGCGGTCCATGTGGCTACCTGTCGCAGAATTTCAAGCACATGATTATCTACTGCCCTCTGTGGTCAGATGGAAGAGGGGAGATTTGGAGAGAGGCCAAAGATCGGTCTACGAAGCTATGATTAATAATCCTGGCGACATCGAAAGGATAACACAGTGGATCCTAACTCATGATTGGATAGAGCGGTCCCAGACGACCAAGGCGGTCGAAATGCTGCTGAGGGAAAGGAACAGGTCATGTCTTTCTTGAGGTCGAAAAAGCTGATGTGATAGTGTTGTAAATATCACGAATCTGATCTATAAGAGTCAGCTCACGGCAGATGCGTCGTGCCCGACGCGTCCCATGCCTGGGATGCCATGCCACAACGCAACAACAAGCGACACAACGGAGTTAAGGGGCCATCACCAAGGGGTGCCTCGTATCAGAAGTATCATGTCATGGATATTCATCTTTACTCGACTGATACATGGTCAGTGGGCGATGCAGCTGAGTCAAGGGCCACCACTATGGAACATAGTATCTCCGGGGTTCTGTGTCATGAATATACGTCTAAGATGGAATGGCACATAATTGATGAGGGACACGGATGAGTCAAGGAATTTCCCGTCGGAGTTGGAGAAGTACTGGTGTGGTCATGTAGAGTGAGGACAAGCGAGGGAGACAAGTATATAACTGAGTAATAACTCTACAAGTAGATATCATGAATCAACCATTCTAAACTCTCATCTACTACAGTCTCAACTCACCTACAGATAGCCCCCAACAGCTCACCAGCTTGATCAACCAATAGTACAGGTATGTCTCTATCCACTCCTATTCCAGTTTCATAACAGATAGCTTTACATGGAAGGCACTAGCGTAACTGCGCTTCCTGAAGATACATTAGAAAAATATAGACAATATACAGGAAGGTTTGGGGGCTTTTACCAAAAGTTTCCTCACATATAAATTAAAAAGTAGAATAGATACCTGCATGGGCCCATAAGGCGCCAAATTGGGTTGATTGAATTCAAATTCAAATTCATACTCCGATTATAGTTAAAGAAGACATTGGCCTGTAACGCACATAGACTCAAGAGAAGAATACGCTGGCAGAAAATTCTGCACATGACGTGATAGAGGTGTGAGAGTCCTCACTTCAGGCAGAGTTTTCTTATATTATTAGTCCATAGTCATAGACTCAGTAGGGACTTAGATTTAATTCTATTCTATTCTTATATAATTACATATTAAACACCTCTCTTCATAAAAAACCACCTCAACGCTGTCCTATTATCTTAAAGTATCTTCCCTCGACGCTCTACAGAAGATTAGTCTTTAGCTACTTGAGAGCTCACCTGGTGAAATGGAAAGGGTATCCCCGTAACAGCCAGACACCAGTTGTGACAGTACCTCTTCACATAGAAATGGTCATGTGCTGCTACTGACAGTAAGATAACTTTACAATCGCACCAACTGGCCTAAAAAGGCTTAACATTAGATCTAGTGATGCTGTAGCTATCTCACCATATGCACAGGATATCCAATGCAGCACTTTCATCACGCAAGTCCCAAGATTTTGATCTCACGGGCGGTGTTGCCAAAGTGAAAAGGCAGACAAGAAGACTTTGGATTATATAATCAACGACTGCTGGTAGCGATAGAAAGCAAAGCAGTGCTTGAAATAGACGCTAGCACAATCCGTTCGGACAAAATAGACAATATTCCTCTAGTTTCTTGCACATTGGGTGCTGGGGTAGTACCCAGTTAAAAAAATACACTTTGTAGACACTTTCCTTGAAAATGAGAAGCCACGGGTTGCTGCTTAGTCTACTTATGCAGTAGCAAATGAAGAGTTCGACGGGTGAGAGTTTATCGATTGTCTCTGCGTCCAATTTTAAAATAAACAGAATTAACAGGCTGCTGTAGAGATGGCTTAGCATTTAGAATAGGGATATAAGCAGCTCTTTTGAGACTACCTCAAAGACTTCGGGCAACAGATTGCTTTGTGTGTGAGTTCTATTATCCGTATCTGGAAGTCAATACAGTTGAATCTGTCTCTGAGTATGTGCTTACAGAGTGCTCTAGCACCTATTGAGCTTCACTCCCCATAAATTATAAGCACTCGGTGACATAGATGATGGAGGTAGCAGCTAATATGGAAGCGTCGGCAGAATGTTGATCATAGAATGCGACTCGAACAGAAGCCCAGGTCGGGACGCTTGAAAGCGATCGCACTCAAGATTTCCACAGGAAGTAGAGATAGAAGGGGGTTAACATGGCAATATAGTGATGGCCGGAACCTGTGCGTCTTTGGCCGCCACTTTACACAAATTGAACTCACCGGGGAGCCGGCAAAGACGAACTTTCACCTTATAGTGGTGCCGGTATAATCACTCAGTACGCTCTGCATATCTGGTATATTCGAGAGGAATCGCAACTGAGTTAAAGTCGGAAGAAACCTCAAGCATATCTCCATTTGACGACTTCTCAATCATGCCGCTCTCACCATTTTCATCTTAGTCTTCAACCTGTTTCTAACCACGCATCATCTCGCCTCAACGACCAATAAAGGAGTTACTCTAATGGTACAGACAACTTGAGGGTGTACAGGCGGCTGGGATGTAGAGCGAGGTGGAAAGAGGGCACTGAAGACCATGCTAGGACTGACATTTTCGAGGGATTTTCAAGTTTGGCACGTTAGTTGGCGTCAAGGCCTAGGTTTCGACTAATTAGCGAGGGCTTCTATTGTCGGTGAGTCAACGGCACTCCCAGCGCCTCGTACGGTACAAAAGAAGTTGGTCTAAGCTTTTTTTATATTGCATCAGATTTTAATTGCGTATGCAGCTGTCTCGCTATGACACCATATCAAAGAAAAGTATAGAATAAATGATTCAACGTAAAGGAAGAGCACTCATGCCTCAGATTTTATTTGCAAGTACCACTGCGAAGTTATGGTGGCTTTTTCTTCACTACAATTCAACCCTCATCCGTGAATACCCACCCAGGGGAACGTCTCAACAACCCTGAGTTATCCAGACATGCCTTCATCATCTTTCGACTTTTCTCCGCGCGAAATATGGTCGTAGGTGTCTCTTTCCCAAGTGGAGTAGGTGCCCAGACTTCTTAAACTATACCAGAGAACACCACCAGGAGGCGGATCACTACACCTTCCATCGTTTGCTTGTGTCTATAGTGTCAGCTGCACTCTAGCAAGCGAAGTCTTGGCGCGCACAAAGCTCAATTCGTAAAACTCCTTGCCAAAATTCGAAATTTCACACACGTCGAGACTGTATCCATCCTCTGCACCATCTTGTGAACTTGTCCTTATCACTCTCACGTCCATCCCAAAGAGCTGTCTCCCAGATTTGTGCGCCACGCTTTGCTTCCTCCGCTGGGTATAAATATCGGCGTGGGCGTGTATTCGGTGGTAAACTGAGGCCAGACAAGATCGAGGAGAGGTGTGGTCGTTGGGATGAGGATGTACTTGGTCGTACTTGTAGACTTGACGAGGCTTAGGTAGGAGTCAAACTTGTTGGGAGCGAAAAAACGATGTGGTGTAGTAATTTGAATCATTGCCTCATGGGCCAACTTCTTTGATATTGCGAAACTTGACTGGACTTGGCTCTGAGAGAATATTTCATTCCCAGGTTCGTAGAGGACACTGCGTACAGGTGTTCAGTCTTGCCCTCCTGATGGGTGCTCATTTTCCGTAGCCCATGGGCTTTTACTTGTGAACTATGATCAGGGATCAGTACTCTCATTTGGACGAGTGCATGGCGGGGTAATCTAGGGCCCGAGGCTGTACTTATCTGGGCTATTTCAAATACTGCCAGGTTAGATATGTAAATTTTGATTGTCGAAACCATTTTTTTGCGCAGATCATATTCGCTAGAATCTCGGACTCTACCTTTCGGCGTCAGAAAAACGCGATAATGTCACAGCTCCCAGACCCTACGGCAGATCTTGACTGGTCTGGCTACCAAGGATCAATCCAGTGGCATTTCGGCCAAAATGCACAAAATTACCCCGACAGAATTTGTGTCGTAGAGACAAAGTCAGCCGAAGGCCCCGAGAGAATCTTTTCTTACAGGCAGATCTATGAAGCCTCGAATACGTTAGCCCATTATCTCACCAATGCTGGCATTGAACCTGGTGATGTTGTAATGATATGGGCTCATCGCTCTGTAGATTTGGTCATCAGTATTATGGGCACCTTGGTACGAAGTTATCTCAACGCCCATACAGTATGCAGCTGATTCTTGCATAGAGTTCCGGTGCTACTTTTAGCGTCCTTGATCCTGCTTATCCTCCCTCAAGACAGAAAATATACCTTGAAGTAGCTCAGCCTCGCGCATTAGTTAATATTGCGCGTGCTACCGAAGAGTCGGGACAACTAGCACCACTTGTACGGAATTACATTGATACCGAGCTTCAACTAAAGGCCGAAATACCGGCCCTTCGTCTTGGCGATGATGGTACATTATTTGGCGGTGGATCTCAATCGCAGGACCTATTTTCCCAGGTAAAGTTTAAAGCATCATCGCCACCAGATGTGGAAGTTGGTCCGGATAGCAATCCTACCCTTTCTTTTACCTCTGGAAGCGAGGGAAGACCCAAGGGAGTGCTCGGCCGCCACTTTAGCTTGGTATATTATTTTAGCTGGATGGCTGAAAGGTTCAATCTCAGTTCCCAAAGTAGATTTACACTGCTCTCGGGCATTGCACATGACCCCGTACAGAGGGATATTTTTACCCCACTGTTTCTTGGGGCTCAATTGCTTGTGCCATCTAAGGAGGATATCCAGCATGAAAAGCTTGCTGAATGGATGGCGGAGCAAAAACCAACAGTTACGCACTTAACACCTGCCATGGGTCATATTCTAGTCGGGGGTGCAGAAGCTGAGTTCCCTTCGTTGAAAACCGCTTTTTTTGTGGGTGACGTTCTCACCAAAAGAGAATGCCAAAGTCTGAGACAACTCGCCATGAACACGAATATTATCAATATGTACGGAACCACTGAGACACAAAGAGCCGTCAGTTTTTATGAAATTCCTAGTCGGGCCGAAAATCCTAAAGCATTAGACGCTATTCATGGTAACATTCCTGCCGGGAAAGGAATGAAGAACGTCCAAATTTTGGTTGTAGACCTAAATAATCGGTCAAAAATTTGCGACGTTGGCGAGGTCGGGGAAATCTATGTTAGGGCAGCGGGGCTAGCTGAGGGATATAAGGGAGACCAGGCCATGAATGCCGAAAAATTCCACATAAATTGGTTTGTGAACAATGAAAAATGGGTCGAAGCCGACAAGCTGAACGCAAAAGGTGAGCCCTGGAGAAAGTACTACAAGGGACCTCGAGATAGGCTTTACCGTACAGGGGACCTTGGGAAATACCTTGCATCTGGAGATGTAGAATGTACAGGACGCGCCGATGATCAAGTCAAGATTCGAGGTTTCCGGATTGAATTGAATGAGATCGATAGTAACCTTGGCCAGCACACTTTAGTCAGAGACTGCAAGACACTTGTCCGTAGAGATAAGGATGAAGAACCCAAACTTGTTAGCTACATCGTGCCAGAGATTAGACAGTGGTCTGAATGGCTCAAGTCACATGGATTTGAGGAATTAGATGATGATGGTGTTGACACCGGACCGACAAGATATTTTCCGAAAAAGTTTCGCCGTCTACAAGCAGACATCAGAACTTTCTTAAAGTTACGATTACCTGATTATGCGATTCCTACTGTATTCATCATGCTTCAAAAGCTGCCACTTAACCCTAATGGGAAGATCGACAAGCCAAATCTACCATTTCCAGATGTTGCAGAACAAATAGAGAGAACCACTTCTGAGGATTTTGAAAGATGGAAGACACTGACAGTCATCGAGCAGAATGTCGCAACTATATGGGCTGATCTACTTCCTGGAATTAATGCCAAAACATTGACGCAGCAAAGTAACTTCTTTGACCTTGGTGGTCACAGTATTATAGCACAGCAGATGCTTCTGCGCATTCGTCGAGAGATGAACGCAAATATTTCTATAAGTAAACTTTATGAATTTTCTAGTCTAGGAGGAATTAGTGCCCAGATTGAAAAATTATTGAGTAAATCCCAAAGTGGAATAGACGAGTTAGATGACTCAGATACCCAATACGCACGATCTTTTGATGAACTTGTTAAATCGATTGCGCCCACATTTCCCACGGTTGAAATAGAGAAAATACGTGAGCTTGAAAGTCCTACGATTTTTCTAACTGGTGCAACTGGATTTCTCGGCGCATATATCATAAAGGAGATTCTATCCCGCACGAAAAAATCGTTCAAAGTAATTGCTCATGTCCGTGGCGTCGAGAGTATTGAAATGGCGTTCCTCAGACTCCGAGATTCGTTGATGGGTTACGGTATTTGGCAAGAAACATGGCAACACCGAATCTCATGCGTTGTCGGTGACTTGTCCAAACCAAGATTAGGAGTATCTTTAGCGACCTGGAAAGCTCTCGCTAATGACGTAGATATTATCATCCACAACGGTGCTACAGTTCATTGGGTTAAACGCTATAGTGAATTGCTGGAATCAAATGTTATCTCTACTATCGATGCCATGTCTCTCTGCAGGGAAGGAAAGCCTAAAATCTTCACATTCATCTCGTCTACCTCAGTTCTAGATACCGATTATTATCTCTCCCATTCGGAACTAAATGTAATGGGCGGTCGTCATGGGATTCTCGAAAGTGACGACTTGCATGGTAGTCGTACAGGCCTCAAGACGGGCTATGGACAGTCAAAATGGGTATCGGAAAAGCTAATTCTCGCAGCAGGATCTCGTGGATTATGCGGATCAATCATCAGACCTGGATATATTCTCGGTGACCAAGAAACTGGCGTCAGCGTTACAGACGACTTTTTAATCCGTCTGCTCAAAGGATGTATCCAATTGTCATCACGCCCTCATATCACTAATACTGTCAACACTCTTCCAGTTAACCACGTTGCTCTACTAGCAGTAGCCGCCTCACTCAACGTACCCTCTGTATCGATTTCCGAAACTACGAATCGTATTCACGTAATTCACGGTACGGCACATCCCCGCCTGAAAATGAACGAACTACTCTTTTCTCTAGAACATTATGGCTACTCTGTTCCCGAATGTGGATATGACAAGTGGAGGAAAGAACTAGAGGCTTATGTCACAACGAATGTTGTCACACCTGAAGACGAACAACACGCACTCATGCCGCTCTTTCATATGTGTATTGATGATTTGCCTAGTTCGACAAAAGCGCCTGAGCTTAATGACTCTAATGCAGTTAGTGTGCTAAGAGATGATGCATACCATTGGACTGGCATAGATAGCAGTGATGGTAAAACTGTGAGTCAAGAACAAATTGGTACTATACTGGCATATCTCGTAGCCATCGGATTTATACCTAAGCCCGATGAAAATAGAGGCACTAAACTACCAGTTATAGCATTGGTACCAAATTTGGATTCATCTAGGAGAAAGGTCGGCGGAAGGGGAGCAAAATAGTATTATGAGTACCTTTTTCGATCCTATATTAGCATTTCAAAATTTGAGTGAGCCCAGCTATTCAAATTATCGCAGAAAACTAAGTACTCAAGGAAATTTTATTTCCGCACTGATTAGTTTTCGTAGCTTCAAAACGTATGAAAACCAACTGAATTGTCTTATAAGTGAGATCTGCACATAGGTCATGCAAAGTAGTATATTGAACTTACTTCCTATCCCATTTATGCACGTCCTTAGATAAATTAGTGTTCTAAATCCCACAAATCACTTACCTACGTCCTACAATACCCTAGAGCTACTAGTGTGACTAGTCGAGCCAGGAGGACGAAGGCTGAACACCTGTCAGTGGTGTTCTCTACGAACCTGGGAGTGAAATATTCTCCCAGAGCTGAGATTCAGTTACGAGAAATGGTGGGATGGATTTTCTGATAGATTATCGGCTAGAAGAAGTTGTAATCGATATGTTGGTCGAAAAGTTAATCAACAGAGATTTCACAACCGCAAGAAAGTCGACCAAAAACTCATCATCAACACCCGATTCACGAATAGACGTAGGTATATCTCGGGATCGTATTCAAACATCTGACATGTCTCAAATTTCTTATAGATTAGCGACAAAGTATTTCTCAGTCGATCCTACCACTGCGACCAACCTCCATACTCGCCACATCACCTAGCTACACACGCACTAATGAGGAATTCCAAGATGAAAAGAGCGCGTGTGCAATGGAGGAAAAGATGGAATATACACCTAGGGCATCACACAGACCCCCAATGACGACAACAGCCCAGCGGCACTATATGAAGGTGCAAGGCTAGAGCAACGATGAGATTTTGAACGGCATTTATTGATGAAATATAATATATCTTGGAATGCCAAGAATAACTTATTTGAAACTCTGGCTAATTAGACTATCAAATTCCCCATCATATATCATTGTCATCAATATATCCCTCGCCGGCAAAGACGAATTCTTCACCTTCCAGTGGTGCCGGTGTAATCGCTCAGTATGCTCTGCATACCTGGGATAGCCAAGAAGAATCGCATCCGAATCGAAGTCGAAATAAACCTCAAGCATATCTAAGATCGACGACTTCTCAATCATGCAGAACCCACCATTACCTTCTGAGTCCTCAACCTTTTTCTAACCACATATCATCTCGCCTTAACTACCGATAAAAGCGTCACCCCAATTGCAAACAGGAGCTTGGCTCATTCATTACCGGCCATGACGCACTACAATTTTACGACCCTACGTATACCTGCAAGGAGGAAATTAAGTCATAATATACAAAGTTGGGGTCATGGCTTAAGTGGGGGACTGTTGCTCTAAAGGAACGAACGACTTGAGGGAGAACAGGCGGCTGAGATGTGGAGCGAGAGGAGGAAAAGGTGTCCGACGATCATGCTGAGACTGACAATTTTGAGGGGATTTCAAATTTGGAACATTTGTAGGCGCCAAGACTGAGATTTCGGCTAATTAGCCAGACCCTCTATTGTCGATGAGTCAACGGCTCTCCCCAGATCCCTGGATGGCACGAAACAATTTAGGCTAAGTAACCATACAGAAATCAAGTTCTGTCAAGACTTTTCTAGCATTTCAGCACGGCCTTCGGGAAGGAGTTGGAAGAAAGCTAGAAAGGCAGAGGGTGAATTTCCTGAGGTACTCACAAGTCTGCAGCACCCAGCTGGCTGGCCTCTTTGAACGCTTCAGAAGGGTCACTATGTCTTCGGGTATTGTGACGGAAACTGAGTTGATGATGAATAAATCGATTTATTAAACTATATGAAGAGAAAAGAATTCTCTAGCTACTACTAACAGGTACTTATAACGTTTGGTCCGCTTCGTGAATCTGCTGACTGATAACTTTCCCCTAGGCCTAATACTTACTACCGAGCCAAGTATAATCAGGAGCCATTACGCTATGATGTTGCTTCGACCTCCTGGCTAGTAGTGCCATTTCATCTGTATTTGTCCATCCTTCCTCTTTCAGTCTTATCGTAATTATTCCTAATTAAACGCTTAGGTTTCCTCCTAAGCTTCAACAACGGTTAAACCGTAACAGGTATAGTCCTGATGTCGGTATTAGGAGAGCCCCGCATCCGATGGCTTATGAGATTTCTCCCGGCTGCCATAAACCCGCAAATGGCCATCTCTTGGTTGGCTAGAGTGGGGAGATAATGAAGGACAAAGGGCTCCTCTTAGTGTATGATCGAATGAGGACTTTTGAGGGGTAGTACTGTTTGAGGGGAGCTGTATGGGAGGCATAGGAGGGGATATACTACTGGTATAAGTATCCTTGACCTGTAGGTAGACAGGACCTGCATTTCCTACATAGTCATAGACTCAGACAGAACAATAAAATGATATAATAATACTAACGCCGCAAGAAATGTGGTTTTATTTTGCCGGATTCTAACCAGCGATCTCCTGTTTCAAATAGCACATGTATGTCTTAGCTATCCAGACCTTATTTGGGAGACCGATCCAGATGGTGTACCACCGCACCATCCAACCATGGCGGTGTTTATTGTGTCACCTACACCCTGTAAATCCAAGTCGTATGGCGCACAAAGGTTAATTTGTAGAGCTCTTTTCAAAGACGTGAAACTTCTCTACCCCTTGAGACTATATCCAAAATTAGCATATTCTTTTCGGCTCCTTGATAATCCTTCCAAGTCCACCACAAGAAAGACAGCCTCTCAGATTAGTGCACCACAATCTTTGCCCTTCGGCGGGTGTCCATATTCTTGTGGGCGTGCATGTGGAGGCTACTTGAGCCCAGAGACTGATTTGACAAGAGGTCTGGTCATTGAAGTAAGGACGTACTAGGTTGTACTTGCGCACTTGATGAGTCTCTGGCCGGAATTAACTTGATGGGAGTGTGATATTGACTTGATTGGGAGTATGGAATCATCGGCTCGCGGGCCAACTTCTTTGATATTGATAAATTTGGCTGAACTCAGCTCTGGAAGAATATTTCACTCCCGGGTTCGTAGAGGACACCGCGTACAGGTGTTCAGCCTTGCCCTCCTCTTGAGTCATCTACTATGTACTCTTTCTCTGATACGTGCCGTAGCTAGATAACCGCATACACAATTTAAATATGATGCAAAAAAAGGAACAGCCAGAACAACTGTATGATGTATGTGTAAATTTCGTATCAGGCAAAAGCCTTGCACCCAAAAGGCATGATACGGGTGTGTGATCTCTAAAGACTCACTATTACCTATCTGTCCAGCTTTCTAGGCCGATTGATTACATGAAAAGAAGTGAAGAAAATTACCTAGCTAAAAAACGCCTTACGCTTTCACTGACATTCAAAACTACTGATGATCAGGGTTTCAATTTGGTCACAAACAGGTGATTGGATTAAGTAGAGGGCTTTAACGTCCACGAAAGAAGACTGTAGTTCCAGTTGCACCAACGACCGCTGCGAGAGAAGTGCGAACTATGGGGTCAACTCTATTAGCTCTTCGAAGACCTGGGCTGGATGAAGAGGAATCTTCATCCTTCAACTTCTAACATCGAAGGGAGTTTAATGAAAATTTCAGAAATTCATGAGAAAATGATCAAAATAAACGCCCTCTGCATCAATCCAGGTTTGTTCAGGGTAAATCGTATATTGTTTTTCAGCTGTATTTTTAATCAAAGCCTCTTACCGTCTTCTTGGTTTTGTAAATATATACCTATCGGTAAGCAGGATAATAATAAATTCACAATCATGCAAATTTCAACATTTACCATCCAGCGTAAATTTGTATATATTTATTATAGTTAAATCTTTGCCCTAGAGTGTTACTAGTGAGAAGAGATGATGCCCTCTTAATCTGCATGACTGGCATCCTTGATATTCTTACATCCCTACCCTAATCTCCCGGAACACCCAAAAATCCATGAAAGAATCCATTCGCAAACTAACTTGTCTACTTTCTTCTCGACTGTTGCATCATCAGAATTTGCACCATTCTAACAAATATGTTTAAGAAATCTAGCTCAAGACTAATGCTCTCGTTGACCGGATCTCTTTGTAACAATCCTCGCTGTGCCATTCTAGCGTGCATCAATACTTTCTGCACATCGTATAGAGTGAACCCACCAAAAACTGCAAGTCCACCATACAGCCATATGTTTTCTGTAAAAGCTAGCGTACGGGTTGCGGTGATCGGAAGAACCAACGGTGCGAGACCTGATACAGCAACAAGTGCGGCACCTGCGAGCAGGGGTCCGCCAAGGTACAAATACTTCTCTTGCTTAGCAGTTGCGCCAACAAACGCAATTGATCCCATCATAGCGGCAGTATAAAGGCCGGCCCTCGCGATAAGTGCCGGTGGTGCCATAAATAGCAAAGGGGCGAGTAATGCTCCTTGGGTCCCATTGAATGCAGCCCAACATGCGTATTTTTGAATGTAATTTGAGGGGTCGGTGGCGCGAGTAGCCATCATGGTGCCAAAACTAAGGCCTAGTCCTCCAATCATAACTATCCAGGGATTTGTTGCCATCATACGATACATAGCACCGGATTGGAACATTGCTTTGGCTGAGAGTCCTATGATACCGATACCTAGGCCGGTATGGAGGAATGTATCGTTAAGATAAGCTCTCTCGTAGGGTGGCATACCACCGTCTTCCCGGGTTTCGCGATTGAAGACCTTCATATACGTAGTTAGAGCATAGCGGCATCTTTAACTTTGGGGCAATATCAATCATACCATGTTGATAGCGAGTACTGTACCCCCACATATTGCACCACCAACGATTAGCTTCTGTACCAGGTTTCCAGGATTTGCAATAGGTTCTGCATGGTACTTTCTTGATGAATGATTGAAGAAGGATCCGAAGCTCTGTCTTTTACTAGATTTAGATATTTGTGAGGCGATAAATGGGGTAGATGACTGGAGTCTGAATGATCGGATTGGAGTTGAACGTGAAGTGATTCGTGGAAAAGCCCTAAGGCTGGTGACTAGTTTCGATGGCTGTCTTATGTTGAAACTCATTTTAATCAATATATCTGATATCTTTAGGAACGTATTTATTGAAGTACTAAAGGTGTAGGCGTTGTCTGGTACAAATAAGAATTCCAGCTATGTAGAAGGTACTAGAATTCGGATGTAGGACGATGGATTACTGATTCATGGGCGTGACAAATATTACAAGGGTAGAAGTTGATTACAAATGTGACTGCGTCATTAGGGATTAATGAGTCATGAGGGTCTATCCCATGGTATTGTGGTATGCCACTTAGAGAATCTTACGAGTAGATAACTGAAGCCCGGTAATTCTCAATGGTACCATCTTCAAACACATGAGTGAAGTATCTTTATGAAGATCAGGTTTTACTACGAGAAAAGAGAAATGTGAAAGTTTTCGACGATGCGGGGATCAGAGGAAATCTCATTGATGTGCAGGAAGCAAAAGCCCGACCTGCAGCCGGCAAAGATGAATTCTTCACCCTACAGTGATGCCGGTGTAGTCGCTCAGTATGCTCTGCATATCTGGATTAGCCAAGAAGAATCGCGTCCGAATTGAAGCCGAAAGCAGAGGCTGAACACCTGTACACGGTGTCCTCAACGAACCTGGGAATGAAATGTCCTCCCAGAGTCAAGTTCAGTCAAATTTTGCAATTCCGAAGAAAGTGGCCCACGAGGCAATGATCCAAGACTCTCTACGAAGTCAAAATCTCTCACCCAACGAGATCGATCTCCACAGAAACCTCATCAAGTTTACAAGTACGACTTAGTACACCCTCATTTCCATGACTACACTTCTCATCAACTATCCTCTGGCCTTAGCTGGCCGCTAAAACACGCCCTTGCCGATATTTGTATCCGACGGAGGAAGTAAAGCGTGACGCACAAATCTTGGAGACAGCTCTTTGAGATGGACAGGTGAGGGGTTATGACAAGTACAAGATGACACGGGGAATGGATACAATCTCGACGGGAGTGATATTTTCAATTTTTGCAAAGAAGTTTACACATTGAGCTTTGTGTGCGCGCCAAGGCTTTACTTGTGAGATTGCAGCTGACACTATTAAAACAAACTAACGATTAAAGGTGCCGTGATTCGCCTCCCGGTGGTGTTCTCTGGTACGGTTTGAGTATTATAATTATTAATCATTTTATTGTTCTGTCTGAGTCTATGACTATGCAGGATATGCAGTATGGTTTGAGTAGCCTAGATACCTACTCCACTTGGGAAGGAGACACCTATGACCAAATTTCGCGCGCAGAAAAGTGAATAGATAATGGAGGCATGTCTGGATAACTCAGGGTTGTTGAGACGTTCCCCTGGGTGGGTATTCACGGATGAGGGTTGACTTGGGGTGAAGAAAAAGCTACCATAACTTTGCAGTGGTACTCGCAAATAAAATCTGAGGCATGAGTGCTCTTCCTTTATATTGAGTCATCTATTGTGTAGTTTTCTTTGATATTGAGTTATAGCTAGATATCTACATACGCAATTAAAATCTGATGCAAAAACAACATATCCCCATTTGACGACTTCTCAATCATGCAACGCTTACCATTCTCCTCTGAGTCATCACCCTCATTCCGACCACATATCATCTCGACCCAACGACCGGGTGACTATTCTCAATATCTGTCAGTGGTGTCCCCCACGAACTTCCAGCTCTCACTGTAGAGCATGCAGAGCAGAGATTGAGTAACAAAGTCCTCACTTTGATAAGGATTGCCAATCGCTCACGCCGTCTATATCGTCTTCATCCCTAAGCATATCCCCCCATCTCCATTATCATGAAGCTAACCACGATCAGATCAGATGGTAGGGTCGAAGCCCTTCCTATCCACAATTCTTGATCATGGAGAAAAAGCTATCCGAAGAGTTTCCGGAGCATACCCAGCACTCGACACGACGATGGTGGATTGGATCAAGTCGGCCTCAAGTGTCACAAAGAAGGGAGATATAGATGAATATGTGCACCACGTGTTGTCCTGGTGTCTAGGCCTCGCCTGGCTGGGGCTGCAGGTTTTTTTGAGTCTTTTTCCCGCTAACGCAGCTTCCATCAATACCTTCTTTTGCATCAATCCACACCACGCTATAAATGCTCGTGATAGGCAGAGTTAAAGTCACTGCTCTTTCCGGGAGTTTGAGGCCAGGTTACCAAACTTCCGCTTCACAGGTTGCGATTAGAAGAGCACAAGTTTCTACAGCTCTAATTAGTCTTCCTGATGCAGCTTCTGTTACGGCGTGCTGTAGGGTAGATCGAGATCGCCGTTCGCCGAGTTTATGGAAAGGTCAAATGGTGAATACTATAGAGGTGGAAAGTCGATGAAGTACTAAGGCTAGAAGGAAGCGGGTTTGCGAGAAGATACTGTAATAATATTATAAGATTGTGAAGCTGGAGAACTACTTTGTTGCAGCTCCAGCTTCCTTAAGTACAAATAACTATCTAACATAATTCAACTAAGACTGTTGTAATTTCCCATCATGACTCAAACTGTGACCTCAACCATATCAATTACAGTTGGCGCATTATCTAGTCTCACCATATAAGTGCAAGTGTTGAGGGTGAGCCGAAAAACCTGTTCCGTGAATTTTATCCTCAGGCATTCTGCTTAGACTCTGGTTCCATAATGTCTCGCCATAACAGCTTCTCTATTTGATAACTTTCGTTGATTTTCCACACTAGGTCACCACGTGGTACTTGGAGCTGAATCGGCGATCAAGATAGAACCAGAGCTCTTGGAAGTGCTCGGATAGTTCTACTAGAGTGCCATGAACATGAACGCTGATAGTAGGCTCGCGTAGTCGTGATGAGAATTGGACTACCTCTAACTTGTGCGTGTCAAGATGTAAGGTGTTATATCGTGCTCAATCTAGTTAGTGTTCAACTTCTTATTGAGCTGAAGCAGCAGAATCAGTAACCGTGCAGCCAAGTTCAAGAATGCCTATGACTTCCGCGCAGTTAAAACTCAAGTCTGAAATGTTGCCTCGCACTGGTCAGACCATATATGAATGGAAGAGAAGTGATGAGATCGCTGAACCCTGATAGACTCTGTAGACCAGCTATTTCTCGATCGTGGATCCTTTGGAGAGTCGGAATTGGGCCATTTAATGGGCAAATATTGAGCTCATCCATAGATGATTGGATCTGGCCACTTTTGCTTCTGCATCCTATTCTCTAGACGGTTATGGAGACCTGCAACAGAGGTAACTTTCACATCAAAGGTGAAGAAAGCAGCCGCAAATCCTAGAAGGTACGGCTTCTAGACTTTGTGCATCACACAAGGGACCAGGTCTATAGCTGAATCTCTTGAGAGCGATATGGATTTTTGCCGGCCTACTACCTCGCAGATTATTGCTAGATATGCCATACACTTTTCCAGAAGTCTGTCCATCCTGTTGGAGATATCGCTCAATTAAATAGGCGCAGTATGCCCGGAACGAAAAATTTAGCTGACTGAGTGTCATGTTCAGATCATTTTCAAAAAAATGGGAGATGTGCGCCAGAAGGACGAGTATACCAACAGAGATTAAGCCGCAATAAAAGTAACTGTGGCGCCATCTAGGCATATAAATACCTAACTTAACTCCTACTATCTACACTATACAGCTGCTGATGCAACATATGGTAGCCTGAAGCGCTAAATTTCACGTACTACATCCTCTATACATTACGAAAGATCGTGCCGATTAACTAGATAATAAAGAGAGCCTGTAATGTTGTGCTGGTGATGGCCAGGATTACGGAGCACAAGGGTAATGATCACTGAGGGTGAAGGAAGAACTTTCCAGGTGGCTCCATGATGACTAGAGGAACAATGGAGCACTGTATAGAAAGTGTAACTAGATAACGCTACCAGATGGAGGAGACTAGAATATTCCGTGATACTGTTTTGGGAGAATAAGGCGAGAGTCTAGCTACCTCAGATGTGTATATAATTAGCGCTTTCTACCTCCTAAATCCTCATAGTTCTGAATACCAAAAATATTAGCAGTTCACATTGATTCAGCGATAATTATCCGTAAACCTTCTGCTAATTAAACTCCGTAAGCTCTTACCTCTACAACATGTAAGTCAGGAACACTGTGTGTATTATTCAGTAATACGACTCTTTGTCTGGATATGAGAGAAGAGCAATTGGTCTCTAAACTTTGACTATCGTTGGGTCTCGTTTAGGATTCTTTACTAGAATTACTCCAGCCAACTTAAAGTAGGACGGGTGCAGACCGAGATATATGCAATTTCTGAAGAGTTTGAGTATTTATGGTCTGATTGTCTTTTGTTATGCCGCTAGCAGTTCTATAGGGTCTCTATCTGCTTCCAGGGCAAGTTCCTACAGCCAATGATATAATCTCGGACTTCTTCCTCAGAGATGTGATTCCTGTAGGGTATCCGATTGTTGCTGATAGTTCTGCATGGCAGCTGTTGTGGACTGTGACTTTCTCTTAGTGAATACGTCGCACGGATACAAATCATCATTTAATTGGCCGTGTTATATGAGGAGATGTCCAATTTAGCTATACCATATAGGCTTGCAATGTGTAAGGTAAAAGGAGACTGTTACAGCGAGTCTCAAATGGGTAAAAGGCTCAACGCAGCCTAGATTCTCTGACGAGTCTAACCAGACTACCAAGGATGTGGTCTATCAGAGTAGACAATATGATTGGTGCATTAGGAGTTAGGATACCTTGAGTAGCCTTTTCCCAATGAATATCTCTGAGATTTATCTAGAAAATAGACAGTTTTCGGCCATCCTTCATTTTTACATTGATTTGTTGACCGCATATCTCAGCAGTAGACTGTCTGATATCAGGTGTCGTGCAGGGAGAAATTCAGGGAGAATTGTGGCTCGCTATAGCGGATTCGCGATGAGGATTCTGTATGTATGTGTGTTTATTGACGTGCTAGGCAATTGGCACTCCTATGGGAGCTTGAGCACGAATGGGGCCGGGCCGGATCAGGTTAACTATCATCCAAGTACAATAAATCTTGTCTAGCCCCAGACTTCATCTGTGTGTTGAATTGTAT